GCAAGCAATTGGAGGGCTGCACCCTTACCCATCTACCCTTTAAAAACAAATAAAGTTTACAAAATTGGATGACGCAAAAGCTGCGGAAAGGGACACTGGGAGTTCAAGGAGAACCAAAGAAATACTCTCTCTGGGGGGGTGGTCAGGCGTGTTTGTTTTGAGGTTGTAAAGGGATTCTACGCCCTGGTACTTTCTAACCAACACAGTGGGGGGGGGGGGGGGGGGGGAGAAGTCCCCATCAACACCGCAACAGCAGCAGCAGCACGCGTAACGGGGGAGCCGTTTCCAGGTTAGCTCTATCACAGCCGCCACCTGCCTCACGCGATTTCCTCATGTCGCGAAATAGGTCACTTCCTGTCCTCAACACAGGGGGCTCCCCCCTTCATCCTGCAGGGGCCACACCAAAAACCGTGCTCTTTTACGAGCACATCGATGAAGGTCCCCGTTACCGCTGTGTAGAGGTCGCAAACGGGTTTTGATTCCTTACCCGTACCCGGCCGCACCAGGGTCGTAAACGGGTACCCGTACCCATACCCGGCCGTACCCGTACCCTACCCGTACCCGGCTGGGTACGGGTAGGGTACGGGTATCAGGTACCTGATTGCGACCTCTGGGATGAAGCCATGTTGCAGGCGCGGGTGGGTTGATTCTAGGAACTTGAATTGTGAGAAGAGACAAGACGTTGGGAAATGAGTGACAAACGGTTACTCACCAGTGACTCACGGTCTACCCGTACTCGTACCCGGCCGCACCAGGGTCGCAAACGGGTACCCGTACCCGGCCATCGGGTAGGGTACGGGTATCGGGTACCCGGTTGCGACCTCTGCCGCTGTGCCAGGTGGCTCCTGGTGCGTGCGAATCGTCCGCAGACTGAACCGCGTTTTTGGCGGCTACCGGTGTAGCAGCCAATGTGCAAATGCTTGCCTGCCCCCCCAAACTCCCCCCACTTTCCTTAATATAACCATCAATTCTATTTTCGACTGGAGAAACCAAAAAAACGCATTACAAGCACAAAACAATAGCTCCCACCTATATCGACGTAACTTTGTGTTTACGTTCGCAGAAAAGGAACGAACCGCTTACCGCCAGCAAAAATAATAACACAATTCAGTTTTTCTCTCCCTAACTTAGATTTAGGTGGTTGTCATTTTACGTCATTTCATTGCAGGCGTGAATCACTGGTCATTGCGCATGCAAAAAGGCAGCGGTTCCCAAGGTCACGTCAGCTGGGCAACAGTTTGAGGATTTCCTCATGCATACGTTGAGCTCAGGACAGGTGCCAAGCTTCCTGGAAAACATAAAGCGCACTCTACTTATGGATGCTTTATAGTTCCTTGTGTGCGGTTAATGTTACTTGATGCTCGTGCGCACCATGAGCGTACATATAGAGAGCACTTTGCATGCAAAAATGTGCACGTTTGGTTAAAATCCAAACTCGCAGAAAATAATCTTTGGCAGTTTGGCAGTGGTCGAATGGGTTTTGACCAAGCATGTAATGATTCACTCCTACCACCCCTCCTCCCACGGGATTATATTAATTCTGACAAATCAGGGTCACCATTCAATTTAATAATTCAACATGTTTTTGTCTCATTTGTATCATTTGTGTAATGAATGTTCCGTCTAGCATGTGGTCTCATTCGCAGTCCTGTTCATTCTACCATTATCTAAAATTAAACATTTGTATAATTTGCATAAAATATGCACGAATCAAGAGCACTTGAATTTCATTTAAATGGACGAACCTTAACGAGCTTGGTTTCGACTACGTGACACGCGGGTTCCAGAACCCGATAACACGCATCAAGCGTTTGGTTTTCGGTGACATAAACCAGACCCGCATTCGCCTGCACAAGCCAAGGTACGCACACAGCACGCCAAAACATTCCTCAATCCACGCCTCTCCTGCATGGACTGCATCAACGGATAAACCAGACACAATTTCGCATCAGCTCCTTCCAGAATGAGCATCACAAACAGCCCGGTCCAGCAAGGGGCAAGTCAGAGCGGTCACTGTTGACGTGCAAGGCATAACAGTGTGCAACATGCTTTTTTTTTACAAACCAGTCCAGTTACTCATTTGGCAAGACGAATCGCCGCCGGGCTGACTCTTTCCCGAGGCTGATGCATTGTGCCACAGTTTCCATGGCACTGCTTTGCACTGTTGTCACAGGAAAAACCCCGTTCCACATGGAGAATGTGCCGCACACATGTTCCAGCGCAGGCCGAGCCGCCAGGGCATTAATCAAACTCGACGGGCTGTCCCCTTTTGTGTCATGCAGCAGAGACAGAGGTCGCAACCGGGTACCCGATACCTGTACCTTACCCGATACCCGGCTACCCGTACCCGGCTGGGTACGGGTAGGGCGTGAGTCACTGGTGAGTAACCGTTTGTCACTCATTTCGGGTAGGGTACGGGTAGCGTACGGGTACCCGTACCCGGCCGGGTACGGGTACCCGTTTGCAACCCTGGTGCGGCTGGGTACGGGTACGGGTAGGCCGTGAGTCACTGGTGAGTAACTGTTTGTCACTCATTTCGGGTAGGGTAGGGGTAGCGTACGGGTACCCATACCCGGCCGGGTACGGGTACCCGTTTGCGACCCTGGTGCGGCCGGGTACGGGTACGGGTAAGGAATCAAAACCCGTTTGCGACCTCTGAGCAGAGATATCTGGGTACTTGCAAGACAGTGAAATGAAGCTCAACCCAAAACGTCAGTTCCTTTCACAGGTATAAGCAATTAAACTGTATTATTTTTCACAAAAACCAACACACCTATCCACTGCTGGATGGAAGTCTCCATTCCTCACAGTCCTGTGATGCAATAACCCATCGAGCACCTACACGCCCAGCCGATTTCATCACTCCATCTCTGCGTTGAATGTCCTCTAAGAAGTGTCCTCTTCTCTGGCTACCACTCAGTCATTAGTCCTGACCACTGGCCATTATCCCTTCGAGCGCCGTGGACTGCCCAAGCCCACTTACTTTTCTCAACAGTCCTGGATGACGTACTTTATTTGCACGTGTGTTAATCTTCGTGGCTCTTGGCCGAATTCCAAACAGGCACATCGCCATTCTTTTTTGCTGCATGTTATCTTTTGTTCCATTCTCTGTGATAATGAACAGCAACAGCAAGCACAATGTGCCCAAAGGGAGAAAGTTTTTGACAAGCATATATTGCCTCCTATGACACAAGCATTAGAAAAATGGGCATTTCACAAAAATAATCAAGCACGCAAAAACTAGCTTAAATAACAAAGACCAACTGACTATACACGGTTAAAACCGGACAAAAAAGAGAAAACACTACAGCTGTACATTCCATACCCGAGAAGTAAGATACTCTTAAGTTTTGTACATAGAAAAACGACCATAAGATGTACTTCGGCAAGACTTTTTTCAAGGGCTTCTTAGGGTAAGTAACCTCTTCCGTTTTGAGTGGAAACACACGCGGTATTGCAGGCAGCGTGCCAGTTTCACAACGCTCTCAGTGTATCCATCCACGTCTCATGATGTGGCCGTTTTAAACCGCTCCCGAGAAGATGATACAAACGTTTGATACACGGAATGCAGAAACGATGAAACAGCATGCCAAGCCAGCAAAGAAAGGCGCCATATTACTTGAGACCATAAAAAGGTCATGCGCACAGGATCTAAATCACCATTTGAAGCACGTTCAACATTCCATCTCAAAACTTAAAAAGTCCACACAACGGTTAATTATACAAACATGATATAGGGCCACGGTAAAGTAGGGCAATTACGCTTCCACCGCATACTGTGAACGTTTGCCTGCAAACGTTTTTGTGCACTGGCCAGCGTTTTTCTGCACACGATGAAATCCGTTGCAATTTTGAAAAATAGCAACAACACAAACTTAAGGCGGTTGATTTAGTCTCCTGCCACACCTCTACCGAGTGTAAAATGATCTTTAAATGAAAGCAACCGGAGATTTTTTTTCCCACAAAAATTCAACCGGTGCAACATTTCAACCGATGTAAATGTTCAGACGCACCTTTTAACCAAATAAAGCATCCGTTGATATAGATTTTTCTCAACGAGTGCAGTAAATATGCTAATGAAAGTGCTTACGGTTCACCCTCTCAGCAAATTACAAACAAGCCGCGGGTTTGTGAATTTAACAATAATGTCACAGTGCTAACTCTGTCAGCTGGTTTTGCAGGAAATGATTAACTGCTCTCCATTACATTTTCACCCTTGGCACTTGCAACAAATACGGGCAATGCAAATGCAAAACATTCACCACTTTCGAACTCATTATGCGCAAAAAAATCCTTCACAAAGCAAAACAAAAACCACCCCAGTCCTTCTGTCATTCAATCTGACGTTTATGAAACGTAAACAAGGAATTGCAATTAACTGCACCCTCGTGGCTGCTGCTGCTGCTGGGTGCATTTATCCCGAGTAAAATCCGCCCCAATGTGACAAATTGACAAGCCAAGTGGAACACCACACAATGCACAGAAAACCAATACAAATAAATCACGAACCCTTCAATGTTAAGCAAGTCTCATTCACGAGAGAGGGTTTTATTATACTTACGTCACAAACGACAATACACGACAGAAGACGCTTAGCATTTGCACGTTTCGTAGAAGTGGTTACGGAATTTCAAGAACCTGCACTGACCAAACCGATGGGACATGGGGAAGCACTCCACCCAGCAGTAAATTGACAAAAATTTAATCAAACCATAATAAAAAAAAGTGGCTAAATTATAGCTCTGTTAAACTAAGCTGCCACCTACTGAGTAGACCAGAGGTTCCTTGAAAAACGATCTGAGGCAGCTCCGTCGTGTCCGCTTCCAGGAGCCGTTCCCTAACGCGCAAAGTTGTACTACTCTGCCAGCGATCCCTACGGATGCTGCATCACATGACATGACAGCAACACCACAATCGCACATCTGATTAGCATGATTCGCTACATACGGTGCGAAATAAGTTTTCATTCACTACAAAAAAGGCAAACACACGCTCGGTACCTGGAAGAGTAGTCCGTGAAGTTTCCGCCGTCGAGCAGCCTCAGCTTGCAGAAGAGCACGGCGTTGAGGAAGGGAATGTGCGAGAGCTCGTCGAGCTCGAGAACCACCTGGAAGCGATATCGCTTCTTCTTCATCATGAACGCCATTCAGCTGCAGTCACGGGCGGACACCGTCGCCGTCGTCGCCACCAACTCGTGCTTGGTTCCCCGCACGTGAGCGCGTTTCAATTCAGCGAGAGCTTTAGCCTTGCCCAACGCTAATCTCAAACCGCAAAAGCTCCTCGACTGTGGGCACACGAACCTGGAAACGGTACAAACACGCCCACACGCACAGATTAACGTGCGGAAACACACAAACGTTATCAACGACTGTGGTGGGTCATTTCATATAAGTTGGTCGTGAAGCACGTTTTTAACGTGAGTTGTAAACCCCGAGGTGCTGTACGAATCTCCTTTTTCTGAGAACTATAAACCACTTATGCTAAGCTGCCTCCTTCGATAACAACACACAGAGGTGTGTGTAAATTCCCCTTAAGCATTTCAATGGGTTTTACAGTGAACAATGATCTCACATGGGACTTTATGATCAGTGTTTAAGCTTTAGATTATTATTTTTTATACAGCAGCTGCAGTGTTTGGACTCACTTCCCAAATACTTTTAAGAGTGCCCCATGACCGTCAGTTCCTGCTGTATATAATGAGTAAAGTTCTAAAACCAAACAACAGAAACAAAAACATTACTGTTTTTACTCGATCTATGGTGTACTTTTTTCAGTATTCCAGAGTTATTTGCAAATCTAATTCAAGGTTATAAGTATTCAATGCCAACCCCACTCTACCAGTTCACTACGGATTCGCATGTGGAAAGCACTGTATCGCCGTTGCAAACAAGGAATTCAGGCACGCACAAGATTCTTCTAAAGTTACAGGGTCTCGGACAAACTTCGACTGCGCAGAACTCAGGGTCGTAGCTATGTCTGGAGGCCCTCGGGATTAAATCCTTTCCTGTCCACCCAGCAGAGATCAAGTGGTGATAAGCTCAACCTTCACTGCTTTTACGTCCATTGGGGTCACATGTAGAGCCCGTTTCCCTCCTGGCCTTCCCCCACCACTGCCCCCGCCCACGTCAGTGGTACCAACCTCGCGGGCCCCATTAACAGGCACTCACGCTAACAGCGTGCGCGCAGACACACACACATACACTTTCAATTATTCTATCCTGCTCATGTGGCTAGGCATTATGTAATCTTAAGAGGCATGCCACGTAGCACTCTGCTCTCTTGCACGTGAAAAATCGCAAAGCGCCTGTCAATGCTGCGGTGGCGAGATGTTAACTACATCGCCTGGTACACGGGAAGGAGGTCGCTGGTCTGTTGATCCCGACCCTGACGTCTGTATATTTGGAATTTCCATGTTCTCGCCGTGGTGGTGTGCTTTTTTTCTCTGGGTTCTCCGGTTTTCCTCTCCACATTTAGAATTAACATGCGTTTCGAGTATTTGGCTGCTATAAATTTTCACATAACCTACACTTTGTTGAGTCATCATTAGTGGCCAAGCCGCTTCTGAAATAAGAGCTACTGTATACAGCCGTGGGCCTTAGCTGGTAAAATAGTTGTAATAGTTGTAAATGCTGTGAAGCTGTAGGTGTGGGTTGTATCGTCTGTTTGTTGCACAGGGATTGTGAAAGGTGTTCGAATTGGGGCCCTATGTTCCCACCTTCATTGACGCCACCTCCGGCACCCTGCCGACAGACACTCATACCGAACATAATTCCATCACATTCTATCGTAGCAAAATCGTGCTAATGGAATAGCACACGAGTGACTGTCAATGTTGCAGGTTGTCGTCGGTTTTGTTGCTGTGCAGATTTCGTGTGGATGGGGGGGCTCAAAACTCGCCTACCGCATTCTCCTTTAATCCTCTCCCACCAAACCTCCCACCAGCCCCATTTCTCATCATCACCGACTGATTTCAATGCTAACCTTTAGATACTAATCCTCACCTAAATGTTACGTATTCATGACCATTAACCCACTCCCCAAGTCCTATGATTGTATGCAAATAATGTCAAGACAGTGATTGATTGCGACGGCTTAGAGACACCTAAATTCAACAGTGAAGTGATCGTGACTGATGGTGAGGATTTTGATTAATTTCAATATCACCAATGTGAACGCAACGCAAAATATCGAACACCGGGTTCTATTCACGGTAGCGGCGCTTGATACACACACTCACAACGCGTACACACACACACAACGCGTACACACACACAACGCGTACACACACACACAACGCGTACACCCACGCACAACACGTACACCCACACACAAGTGTGCAGACAGTCATACGATTCAATCACTTATGTGTTAACGTTAAAGTCGTGTGGCCAATGTGACGCATGAGAGAGCTCTAACGGTGTACACAAACGTAGAGCTGGCAGGACAACTATATCACGTAAATACACAAAAGGATTTAATGCTCGCGAACGTTGGATGGCGCGGTGGCATAGTGGTTTAGTGCACTGGGCTACGAACTCGGCCACCTAAGTTTAACTCCTGGCAACGGCGTACACAAGTGGCGAACGTTTTTTGACCTGCACCAGTCCGCAACAAACCAACCGGCAACCCACCGCCAATCTGCACTGACCATCGCGGTGAAGTAAGGCCAAACAAAACCCGCAAGGCCAAACAAACCCCGCAGGGCGAAACCGACAAGGCGCGGGGGAGGCCCTTCATCCAGAAGTGAATCGACAAAGGGCTGAACGAATTTTTAAATCCTTTATATTAAGTTCGCTTGCGCGCTTACGACCGTGCAAATCTTTCGGTCGTTTTTTAACCCACTTCCCGTGATCCAATCGAGCTGACATTTTCCACACAGACTCGTTGTGCGTGACAATTATTGTTCGTAAAAAAAAATTCCAAAATTTTACACTTTTTAGGACAAAAATATTATATTTCATTACCAATTGCTTAATGGTGCAATGCAATCATCTGACCCATAGGTGGCAGCCATCTCAAGCCAGAGGACGAGATGACTCTAGCCGCCACGCATATAAAAAAATTATAATGAAAAACTTTGTTTTTACGGGTTATACTTGTTACTCCTTAACGTGACATCGTGCACCTCGATGCGTACGCGCAGATATACTGGTGCACGATTGAAACGTGGACATGACACGCACAGAAATGCTTAACTGAACGTGCTCACACACATCAGCTGGAACAAACCGAGTGTGGGTTTACACGTACCGCGGTGCACGTTTGACAGCATCACGTTTGGTAGCATTCCAGGGTGTCTACTGCACACGTGCAATGGTCATATACTGTACGAGGACGTCAAGTTGAAAACCCATACGTTGGGGAGTTATTCCTGAACACCCCAAAGTTCACGTGTCACAAGTACTGTTTTTGCGCAGGTGCAATGATGGTATTTATTCTCATACCTGTCAACCCATACGGGTCGACCCCGTATTCATGGACAGAGAAATTGAGTTTTCAGGTCCATGCGGCGTACAGACGTTTCAATACGGGCACAAACACGTGTTTTTTGTATACTTGTTTGTGTTTCTCCCTTGTGATGGGACTTTGTAGGATAAACGTTGAGATTTACCAGGGCACGGGGTGGCCGATAAGGTCTGAATTGGTCTGTAATCAGATAGGCACTGATAAGGAGGTTCACAGGTATGTAATGGTGAGTGTAGTAAAGGTGAGTGTACTAGTGGTGAGTGTCGTGATTGATGAGTGTACTAGTGGTGAGTGCAGTGGTGGCGATTGTCAATTTGTTTGTGTTTCTCCCTTGTGATGGGACTTTGAAGGATGGACGTGGATATTTATAAGGGGCACGGGGTGACCAACACGGTCTGAATTTGTCTGTAAAATGATAGGCACTAAGGTATGTATTCTAGCCGGCACGTGTACACGTTTTTATCGCGTTCGGTGGCACTGTAGAATACGTGGACGTTGTAGTCTTTGCATTATGCAGGAATAGCAAATACTGCACCAACTCTCTCCTGAAGCAATCTCGTCGCGGCTTGGCAAACCTCGACATGTGCATCACGCGTTCGTGAACACATTGCTGCTGCTGCCACTGCAATCATTCGCAAAATATAGAATAAAGTATTCCACATTGCGGGGCATTCCCATAAATGTCAATGCACACGTGGAAAGAGCATTTCAGGATATGTATTGCACACACATACGTGTGGGGAGCGGTGGTGCAGCGGTCAGCGCGCTGGGCTATGAATCCGGCGACCCGCGTTCGATTCCCGTTCACGGCCAACACCGGTGACGATTATCTGAACCGGTCATGGGGCCTCACCTAGGTCGACTCAGCCACAAATTGGTACCCGGTGAGATGTGTAAACATCGCGATCATTGTCTTTGTACGACGTGAATGCGCAAAGCTGCGTGCATGCTTGGAATGACATCGCGAGATGACATACGCAGGATGATGGGCATTGGCAATTGAAACTGTTGAGAAATGTAAAGTGGGAGCTTGGGTTTGGGACACGTCATGGTCCAGGAAGAAGGAGGAGGGGGATGATGATGATGATATCATCATATGCTGTTGGTCGAGACTCACTGCAGTGGCAGCCAAAGGAGTTATCTAGAGGGAGGGAGATTCGTCCGACGTTTTAGACAGCGCACCGAAATGTGCTCGCGGTTCTAACACTCAAGTATACACATTCTTTTTTGCAGGTTAATGGCCAACTAAGTTACGTACTGAGTCTCCTTTTTTTCACAAGCGACCTGGCTGTCCACACAAACGAGTGATGTTGATTCTAAATGTGGAGGGGAAAACAGGAGGACCCGGAGAAAAAAAAGTCAACGCGACCACGGGGAAAGATACACCGCAAACTCCAAATCTACAGCAGCAGCAGCAGGCATCGTCTGGGTCGGGATCGAACCCACGACTTCCTGTATACCAGGAGATGTAGTTAACATCTCATAGCCACCGTGATGATGATGATGATGAGAGACACACAAACTTCAAATCTACAGCAGGCGTCAGATTGGAGATCGAACCCACGACCTCCTGTGTACCAGGCGAGGTAGTTAACATCTCCTAGCCACCGTGATGATGATGAGAGACACACTAACTACAAATAAACAGCAGGCGTCACAGGACCGGGATCGAACCCACGACCTCCTGCATACCAGGCGAGGTAGTTAACATCTCCTAGTCACCGTGATGATGATGATTAGAGACACGCAAACTCCAAATATACAGCAGCAGGCATCAGAGTGGGGATCGAACCCACGACCTCCTGCACACCAGACGAGGTAGTTAACATCTCATAGCCACCATGATAATGAGAGACACGCAACCTTAAAATCTACAGCAGGCGTCAAAGTTGGTGATCGAACCCACGACCTCCTGTGTACCAGTTAACATCTCATAGCCACCGTGATGATGATGATGACACGCAAACTCAAAATAAACAGCAGGCGTCACAGATTGGAGATCGAACCCACGACCTCCTGCACACCAGGCGAGGTAGTTAACATCTCCTAGCCACCGTGATGATGATGAGAGAGATACAAACTACAAATATACAGCAGGCGTCACAGGATCGAACCTATGACCTCTTGCACACCAGGCGAGGTAGCTAACATCTCATAGCCACCGTGATGATGAAGATGAGAGACACGCAAACTCCAAATATAAAGCAGGCGTCACAGGATCGGGATCGAACCCACGACCTCCTGCACACCAGGCGAGGTAGTTAACATCTCATAGCCACCGTGATGATGATGAGACACGCAAACTCCAAATATAAAGCAGGCGTCACAGGATCGGGATCGAACCCACGACCTCCTGCACACCAGGCGAGGTAGTTAACATCTCCTAGTCACCATGATAATGAGAGACACGCAACCTTAAAATCTACAGCAGGCGTCAAAGTTGGTGATCGAACCCACGACCTCCTGTGTACCAGTTAACATCTCATAGCCACCGTGATGATGATGATGACACGCAAACTCAAAATAAACAGCAGGCGTCACAGATTGGAGATCGAACCCACGACCTCCTGTACACCAGGCGAGGTAGTTAACATCTCATAGCCACCGCGGCGAGGAACTACGATTAGATTGAATTGTTGCATCGCCGAAGCCGCCGTTAAGGGACTGCGAGGCGTACATGCAGCAGTGGACAGAGCAAGGCTTGGTGACGTGGCCCACTACGGCTGTGTTATTGTTTGCAAAGGCGCGAGCATCAGCAGCAGCAGCAGCGCCGTTACGAGCGTTCATCTCTGCCTGAGATTCGGCGGAAATCGACACGAGCGTTCGCGTTTTTTTTTTGTAAACCGTGTGAACACATCACTAGATGTTCAGTAACGACGACTCCTCAATTGTCGACTGAAGAGAAACCCCGCAACACAAACACACAAACACGAGGGTCCACTGCTCCTCCACTCACCGGTCAACATCGCCGTGGCCGCCTCCGTCAGCGTCTCCAGCACACAAGCACGCGCGGGCCGCGTCACGTGACCTCGTCCTTCCACCCCCCCCCCCTGTAGCCCCCGCCTCCTCTTCCACAAACCCCGCCCCCATTGCGCCCCCCCCCCTTCCCCGGTTGTCCCCCTCCCCCTTATTCCCCTCTCCCTCCTTACCACCCCCTCCCTCCTTACACCGCCTCCCTCCTTACACCGCCTCCCTCCTTACCCCCCCTCCTTACCCCCCCTCCTTACCCCCCCTCTCTCCTTACCCCCCCTCTCTCCTTACCCCCCCCTCCCTCCTTACCCCCCCCCCTTCCTCCTTACCCCCCTCCCTCCTTACTCCCCTCCCTATCCCCCCCTCCCTCCTTACCCCCCCCCCTTCCTCCTTACCCCCCCTCCCTCCTTACCCCCCTCCCTATCCCCCCCTCCCTCCTTATCCCCCCTCCCTCCTTACCTCCCCCTCCCTCCTTACCTCCCCCTCCCCCCTTACCCCCCTCCCTCCTTACCCCCGCCCCTCATTACCCCCCTCTCTCCTTACCCCCCCCCCTCTCTCCTTACCCCCCCCCTCCCTCCTTACCCCCCCCCCCTTCCTCCTTACCCCCCTCCCTCCTTACTCCCCCCATCCCTCCTTACCCCCCCCTCCCTCCTTACCCCCCCCTCCCTCCTTACCCCCTCCCTATCCCCCCCTCCTCCTTATCCCCCCTCCCTCCTTACCTCCCCCTCCCTCCTTACCTCCCCCTCCCTCCTTACCCCCCCCTCCCTCCTTACCCCCCTCCCTCCTTACCCCCCCCTTCCCTCCTTATCCCCCTTCCCTCCTTACCCCCCTCCCTCCTTACCCCCCGCCCCCTCATTACCCCCCCTCCCTCCTTAACCCCCTCCCCCTCCTTACCCCCCCCTCCCTCCTTACCCCATCCGTCACTCAAACCTCCACCAGCTCAGAGTAATTCGCCTCCCCATTGGTCAGATGTTGCTCGCCCCCACCCACTCACCCAACCCACCCCCGTCCACAAGCTCCTCCCCCTCCCCGCCCCCCGGGAGGGGGCGGGGAGGGGGAGGGGAAGGGGGAGAGGGGAGGGGAGGGGCTATGGGGGGAGGGGAGGGGCACTCGCGCACGTCACACGTTCCGTTGTGCGCATGCGCGCTGGACGCGGTTGTTGGGTCGTGGTGCAGTGCCACCTGGAGGCTGTGATTGGAAGGTGTTTTAGTTGAGAATGTTTGGTTTTTATTTTGTTAACGCGTTATTTAATGAGATACTCCGTCGTTTCGGGCGTGTTCTGGAGGCTGTGACTGGAAGGGGTTTTAGTTGGGAATTATGTTTTTTATTTTGTTAACGCGTTATTTAATGATGTTTCTGGCGTGTTTTTTTTTTCATTTTTCTTGCGTGTGTGCGAGCACAGATAGCGCACGTTTTAAAATAACATACAATAAAAATTATAAGTCTGGACGGTGTTATCTCATTTTCTGTGATTTGCTGTAAATAGATAATTACATGGTTCGCATGGTAAAGCGATAACGACGGCAACCGGCCCCTCAGTCATCTCAAATGTCACATTTTTTTAAAATTTACGGATGTTCAACACGAGTTTGAAGCTTTACTAGTCAGGAGAAAAATAAAAAAGATGCCTGGCCTCATGGTGTCTTTGGTGTTCATGTTTGCAGGCTCTCACATGACCTAATACAACACATTCAACATCTCTGCATACATATATCAACAAGCCATGTTTTGATAATTGGTTTTTTACCCTTCTATCTGGCAACAAAACTGACACCTTTTTTTACAAGGAGTCATGTTTGCATAGACCACAATACCTGCAGTCATAATGCAAACAAAAACATATGCACTGTGCATACATTATCAGAGTTATGTATTTTGTTTGCATTATGACTGTAGGTATTGTGGTCTATGCAAACATGACTCCTTGTAAAAAAAGGTGTCAGTTTTGTTGCCAGATAGAAGGGTAAAAAACCAATTATCATATTTTTTACTGGCAAATGAGGTTCCAATGGTGTAAAAGCTATGTTTTGTCAGCTAATATTAATCACAGGAGACCCTCAAATATCGCGGGGGTTACGTTATTGGAAAGTGCCGCGAAAGCCAAAACCGCCATAATCAATACTTACATAATGGGTGCACGACAACCAAAAATAAACACATTACAATTGAAATAAGCGCATGTATTGCATGCCAAATAAACTAGACACTAAATCGTTGAAATAAACACGTAAAAGACTCGACCACTGGCACCTAGTAGACCGATTAGAGTATTTCAGAGCTACACGCTTGTAGGCCAAATCATGTAATTTCGGTAGGGTTGATAGTGCTTGGATGCAAACCCAGATATTTTTTTAGGGCTGCTGAAAATCAATTGTTGAACTGTGGTTCTACGTTCTCATATACATTATATGCTCGCCTTGAACAATTCACACTAACAAAGCGAGGTAGAATATTCAATTCAAGATTCGAATCAAGATGAAATATTGTCAAATGACCCCTGGGCATGAGGCATGTGGCATGGGGAGGCCCTGACAAGATGGCTGGACAGAATACTGCCGTCAGAACAGCCTTCGAGACTATAAACCTGCCACACTTGCAGTTAAACTGGGTAAAACAAAACCTTATTGGTTTCCCAAAAGCCTCAGAAAGCCTTCAGAGCAGTCTGGTGCTGCATGCATTGGCAGCAAGCCAGGCAACCAGATGTGCAGCAACACAATAGCAGGCTGGTTTTATAATTGTAAGTAAACCACAGCAGCTCGGAATCTTGGCCGATGTTTCCCGCATTGAAACACAAAACCTGGCGTTAACTAGCTCGTGTGCTTTGACTCACTTTTAAAGGCTAATCTCAGTTGGCATGTGTTGGCTGCTTGCACTGTGACTTAACGTCGGGAAAGTAGCCAAAATTGCATGACTTTAAGAAGCTCGGTGCCGTAAATGAGCTGCTGTATTGCATTAATGGAACACCTGCATTTTGCAAGTGGCACCTTCAAGCGTAGGTGCGTGCATATTCTCTTGTGGTCAACGTAAAATTTGACTGGGTCATTCAGTTCAGAGTTGACACTGGTTCAGACGCTGTTTTATGCACTGAATTTTTTTTCTATACAATACAATTTGGATATGTATATCGTTTAAAAACAACCGTTTGTCAAGACGCTGTACAAAAACGGCGAGCGTATTTATTTCATTGAGAGAAATAAAATCAGTGATAGGCAGGGAAGGAAGGATTAAGCGTGGACTTGGACAGGGGCATGGAGTCTACAGCATGGGTAGCTTTCATAATTGGTTTTTTACCCTTCTATCTGGCAACAAAACTGACAGAATCAGGGCAGCAGATTCCGAGTGAGCAATCATTGAGCGACGCTTGAGATGAGAATGGAGAGGTAGGCAGGAGCTAGTTTATTGGAGAGTATTGAAGAATTTGAGTGCAATATCGAATTTAGTACAGGATTAGATTGAGAGCCAGCGGGAGTATCAGAGCATTGCTGTGATGTCACATTTACACGGGAGGAACCTAGTGGTAGTGGCACTTTGTCGGATCAACTTCAATATTGTTTGGGTGCCAATACAAAAATCAGGTCATTGGAAGACTTGTATAAGGATATCTTAAGATATGAGAATATGGATACACACGGGATTGTCAAGCTTCGTCTGTTGATGAAGCTTTCGCTAAACAACAAGACAGCTGCTTTTGAGTTGCACCACTGAAAGTTGTACCCTGTTTGTAGCCAGGAGCTGAGAGTTCATATATCGTTAGCTTAATCATTCACTGCAATTATACTGGGGAAATGTTACAGTCATTGGAACATGTGTTACAATGGAAAAATATACTGGGAACTACTTTTTATGTTCATGTGTGTTTTTAATAATATTTACAAGTAAACCCTGCTGAATCGAAATAAACATTGATAATGGATAGACGGCCAAAGTATAGTAGTGAATTACTGATAAAAGATGCCCATCATCCCAGGAGTCATTAGATCAGATGTGCTTTTTTGTTCTTTTAAAAGTATTTTCAAACGCCGACCAAGGTATGGGAGATGTGTGCAGTTTTCAAAAGCTTGAATTATCAATCGCAATGGCGTCTTTCTACCGCCATCTGCAGGAAATTGGTCATGTTACTACTGGGCGCGCCTGGATTGTTGCCATTTTCAAAATACGTACCATATGCTTCACATTAACATTGACGAAACTATGTAATGGCAGGGCTTGATATTTAGTCTACATGTGGCACAAATAAAGTTCGCCCTGCATTTCCGGAAAGCCACATTTTCGATAGTTCAATTCATGACTCATTTTCGATAGTTCAATTCATGACTCATTGGCTTGGGCTTGTAGAACATTTATCACAAAACTATTGCAATTTGGTGTGGATCCCATCATGGCTTTTGACAGTGGGTACACCCCCACTACTGAACCCTCTCGACCCGAATCATCGCTGGATGTGATGTGTTTTGGGAGCCTGTTACATTCTAGATTTGAAGCTTTCGTGACTGCAAGGATTCATACTGTTAGGTCACGTAGGTAAAAAAATAAAATTAAAAGTAATAATGGAAATAAAATAATAAATCCCACCACCCCCACGTTCCATTCCCTGGTTACCACATTCAAATAAGCTCCTCCCTCCTTAACTTGTATTTAAGGGCTGGTCTTTTGGAATTTTCCTCACTTGATGCAGTAATTTTAGCTGTGACGGTCCCACCTGATGATGGAGACTTGTGTTGCCTCCGAAACGTCGTGATTTATTATTTTATCTTATTTCCATTATTATTTTTTATTAACTTTATTTTTATCTACGTGACTTTACCGAAAAAACCTAACAGTATGAGCCTGTTACAGTTTAATTCCCTCCTGAACTTGATTCAGCCAACATTTTCACAGACCTAGTATGTGCCCCTGTGAACCCCTTGGAGAGATGGAACATTTTCAATGGAATGCCTGGCATTGTTACTCATCCAGCATTAATTGTATAATTTGTACGTAACTCTTTAGTCTGTATAGCAGTGGTGCAATTAATAACTTGTGCTTCGAACCCCAGCGATCTGAGTTTGGCCAGGGCCAACAAAAGTCCTGAGTAATATCAAAACTGATCCTGGGCACCCCTTCACCAACCTGCACTGACCAGCATGGTGAAGTATGGTAAAATAAAACCCCATGGTCTACAGAGTTTTGGGAGGCCTTCATCCAGCAGTGGATTGACAAAGGGCTGTACAGCCAATTGTCAAGCCACGGTTACATCAATGTCTTCCAACACTTTCCGGTAACGGGAGTTGTTTGACCATACTTCACTACACTGGTTAGTATGGGTTGGCGAATGGGGAGCCGAGGCCTGGAATCAAACTCAAGTCACCAGATTTAAAGTGCAGTCTGCTAAGGGGGCGTCCATAAATGACGTCACGCACCTAGGGAGGGGGGGGGGGTCAGACATTTGTGACGATGTGTGAGGAGGGGGGGGGGGGGTGAGAAATGTGACGTCACATCAAAATGCGCAACTTTAAATAAATATAGACAACACGTTCTATTTAATTAAATATACTTTTCAATGCATGTTTTCTCCTACAACATCGGAGTGCAGCGCCACATTAAACAATAGTTTAAAGTGATTTGAAGCATGTTTTTTTTGGGGGGGGGAGCTTTGTGACGTCATATTTGAGGGGGGGGGGGTCTGACTCTCTGTGACGTCGTGTGACGAAGAGGGGGGGGGTGAAAAATCGTCCAAAATCGCGTGACGTCATTTATGGACGGCCCCTTCAAGTTTCAAGTATTAGGTATAGCCCTGTGAGCCATTCGGCTCTTGAATCGGGTGCAACCGCAACAAACAAAAAAACAAAAACATGAACAAGAAAACATCTTAAAGTGACTATGTGCAAACAGAAAATCCAAGAAAAAACGGCAAAATATTGCAGAAAAAGCACCGTACACCAACGCTGTGTGCACAAATTCCAGTGGGATGCAAGTCAAACAACAACAACCACAAGACAACTTAGATTAAGGCCATCAGTCTAACTCTGTACTACAACAAACAAACATGGCCAAACCGAAAAACTTTTAAAAAATCACCAAAATAAAGCCATAAAAGCAATGAAACAGTGATCATAGGAACTGTGACCGAATTTTCACAATAAACGACGGAAACAACATGTACTACCAAACTCTGCAGCCCTAAACCACGATGTCGCTCCGCCAGCCTCAATCTTATTCCACAACATACATAGACACATTTGTCTTTTTTATTTAGGCAAACAAAGACAGTGTAATACTCTGTACAGGGCATATTTTACTAATGAGCACATTATAGTGGAAGCTGTTTACTAATATCCGATTACCAATCTGGGCAACCATGCTCTCTACACACTATATATAGTGCGGTGTGTATTTTGGGAGCACGTGACATCTCTCGTTGTGTTAAAGCTATTCGTGCAATTCCAGAATCACGTTAGTACTTCTATACCCAGGCTCCAACAACACAAAAAGTTTACACCATTAGAACCTCATTTGCCAGTAAAAATATACGATAATTGTTTTTTTACCCTTCTATCTGGCAACAATTATCATATTTTTTTACTGGCAAATGAGGTTCCAATGGTGTAAATGCTTACCCCGAGCTCTCATAGTCTGATGGTGCATTGTCTTTGAGTTGTGCGCCTTTTGGCGTCATCTGGTCCAATCCATGTGAGACGAGGCTCTAAGGAAATCTGTCTCGGGTGTGGACCAATCAACTTCAAGGACAGTGCATACAGAGTTATGTTTTTTGTTTGCATTATGACTGCAGGTATTGTGGTCTATGCAAACATGACTCCTTGTAGAAAAAGGTGTCGGTTTTGTTGCCAGATAGAAGGGTAAAAAAACAATTATCAACACAAAAAGTTGTTCATCACTTTGTTGTACAATTTCGAGTGCTTGTTTTAAACGTGCAAGACGTGCAATGTCAGCATCAATACGGCGTGGACTTATGTGTCGGGATCCAAGCAACATGCCCAACAAACACTGATCAGCAACCCAACCACCGCACTGCCCATATTGCACTTTTCACGGAAACATAGGGCAGCACTTAACCGTGACACCACAAACCAATATCTGCAATATTTTGCTGTCTTTTCTTGGATTTTCTGTTTGCACTCAGTCAGATATTCACTTTAAGATGTTTTTGTTCATGTTTTTGTTTGTTGCGGTTGCACCCGATTCAAGAGCCGAATGGCTCACAGGGCTATACCTAATAAATGAACTTGAACTTGAACCACGGAAGATGCAGACACTTAATACGCTAGTGGAAAGTAAAACTTCAGTGTGCGGCTACGAACACTAAACCGTGGCCAATATAACTTCGCACTGCCCCAAACACAGCACAACTCTAAAGGTGGTGGTGGGTGTCTCTGCAGTTTACTCAGACTCAGAATTAAGCAATCGAATGGCTGACTCACAACGTAATCTATAATAGTTGAGCTTCATTGGCCATACGGAATCATCAGTATCACCATCAGTGTTACATTTCCTTGTGTTGAAGCTTAAGAAATGGGTCCTTAGGCGAAACGTAAACGTCATTAAAACGACGTGGTATGCTTTGATGTTATCTGCCTTGAGAAAATTTCTCAACAGCTGAAATGGCCTTTACTCGGGAAATGAAACTTCAGCATTTCTACTGTAGATTTCTCCAATCGCGTGCAGTATTTCAGTTATGAATTGTGTACATCTGGTACTGTATTGGCAAATTGTCTGTAATTTGATAAGGACTTCAATTCCCCCTCTTTATACTTTCTCAATGCCCCCTCTGGGGGGGTGAGAGATTACACACGAAGTATTTGCACGTCTGGGTGTGGCAAAGCCTCCCTTGCAGGCGTGGCTGCAAATGCCAAACTCGGGCACAACGCCACCAAAGGCGTTACATGGCTTTGCCATTGGCTTTCCACGAACCATTGACGTCCCCTATTGAAAGACCCCTCCTCCAAGTCCCTCTCTCTCTCTCTCGAGAAAGAGTACAACCCCCTTCCTGCAACACAGCAACACCGCTCTCTGCAATTGGCGAAGACGACACTGCAGTGGTGGTTTGCTGAGTATGCAGGAGAGTGGTTGGCTTTCGTCTGCTGCTTCTTTGCGTTGTGTCATCGGGAGGACGGCGGAACCACACCGACCACTGCCTGCCTCGTTGGTGCATATTTCTTAGGGGCGTTGGTGAGCGTGCCGCTTTGTCAATGGGCTTATCTGCTTGGGGTTGTTTTTTATTGTTGCTGTCGTTGTTTCTCCCGCGTTCGTAGCACTGTAAGTAAGCCACCTGCACAGTTTAGCGGAGCGCAACTTTCTGGGAATCTTTGGTCGGGTTGTGTTGCGGTCGTGGTGTAAGTGGAGTGGCTTGAGCAAGCCGCTGGTGGATTAAGATCAGCACCCAGTGGGTTTAGAGCAGAACCCAGTGGGTTAAGATCATAACCAGTGGGTTTAAGAGCAGCATCAGTGGGTTAAGATCATCACCAGTGGGTTTAGATCAGCACGCAGTGGGTTAAGATCGTCATCAGTGGGCTTAAGATCATCACCCAGTGGGTTTAGAGCAGCACCCAGTGGGTTTAAGAGCAGCATCAGTGGGTTTAAGATCAGCACATTTGGGTTTAAGAGCAGCATCAGTGGGTTTAAGATCATCACCAGTGGGTTAAGATCAGCACCCAGTGGATTAAGATCATCACCAGTGAGTTTAAGATCAGCACGCAGTGGCTTGAGCAGCATTAGTGGGTTAAGATCATCATCGGTGAGTTTAAGATCAGCACCAGTGGGTTAAGAGCAGCATCAGTGGGTTTAAGAGCAAAATCAGTGGGTTTAAGAGCGGCATCAGTGGGTTTAAGATCAGTGCCAGTGGGTTTAGAGCAGCATCAGTGGGTTTAAGAGCAACATCAGTGGGTTTAAGAGCAACATCAGTGGGTTTAAGAGCAGAATCAGTGGGTTTAAGAGCGGCATCAGTGGGTTTAAGATCAGTGCCAGTGGGTTTAGAGCAGCATCAGTGGGTTTAGAGCAGCATCAGTGGGTTTAAGAGCAACATCAGTGGGTTTAAGAGCAGAATCAGTGGGTTTAAGAGCGGCATCAGTGGGTTTAAGAGCAGAATCAGTGGGTTTAAGAGCGGCATCAGTGGGTTTAAGAGCAACATCAGTGGGTTTAAGAGCAGAATCAGTGGGTTTAAGAGCGGCATCAGTGGGTTTAAGAGCAACATCAGTGGGGTTAAGAGCGGCATCAGTGGGTTTAAGATCAGTGCCAGTGGGTTTAAGATCAGCATCAGTGGGTTTAAGAGCAGCAGCAGCAGAGCAGTGATCACACGTAGCCACAGCAGTAACTGTGTGCAATCCCCAGCCAACAAGGGGTGAGAAGGGTGACATTTCAAATCCTTGCGAAAAAGTAAAGGAAACTGTTTGTCAGCGCTCGCTTATTTTGGCTGTCACGCAGTTGGCAACAATAACACCACCGCCCGTCCCTTGGTCCCTCTTTGGAGTGTTTATATATATTTTTTAAAGAATTATCGGTGCAGTATTTGTAAGCTCAGACATAGCAAAAGAGTGCATTCTCTTCTGCAGTACAAGTTAAAGCAGATAGGAAAGTATATATATTTTTTCTGCTCCAGACATTTTGCAAAGGGGCCCTTGCCTCGTTTTATACTTTGCAATTTTTTGGTTTTTCTTCCCGTAGAGATTGAAATCGTACAAGTTTCGAGAATGGCCAGCCTATTCTCCTTCGCGAGCTGCTGGGTTCGAGCCCTCCTGCCCCGGGCCGCGTGTGAGCCAAGCCCCGCGCCTGGAGAAGGGGATGGTCGCGAAGCGTCGCATGAGAAGAAGATGTCTGAGCTCTTCGAAAAGCTGGACACTAACAAGGATGGACGGGTAGATATTTCCGAACTTCGAGAGGGCCTCAAGACCATGGGCTACACTGGAACGGGTGCGGCCAAGGTAATGGAAATATGTCTTCAAGCCCAGCGGTTGTGTCTCTAGTTCGTACGGAGTTGCTTGCTCTTAAGTGTTAACGCTTTATAAACAGTTTAACACGTAGGCTTTCGCGACCAATATTATTCATAATCAACGTTTTTGGGTTAAGATCGCGTTATTTATAAATGTTTGTCTTTTGTCAACGTGACACTTTTTTACTGATTGGCCGTGTCGGGTGGTGGAGGGTTACGACACATTTATAAATAACGCGATCTAAACCCAAAAACGTTGATTATGGCTTTATAAACAGATCTCGGAACAACTCTTTTTTTATTCTCACCACAGCCTTGGGACATTGTGCGTCGGTGTCACGGCCCAATTAGCCGCACTTTAAAAGTCTTTTTCTGCAAATGTCTGGCAGGGTCTATTCCACATTCACGTGGTTTTGTTTGCCAAAATTGAGTTGGTCTCAGTAAAGATGTCCTGCGCAAGACTGACTTGATGTCTGTTGTGACAAGTTACGTTAACAATGAGCACTGTTGTCACAGTGGTGGCAAGAAAATTATTTTTGACTATTATTATTTTAACCTTATTTTACAAATGTTAAGTTTTATAGAATTAAATAGAGGTCCCAAGACGTCTGGACCACCCTGTACACAGATATGCTGCTGGTCTTATTGCAAAGTACAGTACAATATGTTCTCCTGATACAGCTGGCTTGAAGCGTCGTGTGTTAGTTATTGATTCCATGGCCAAGGAGCTGGCAAGCATCTTGAGTTTTTCACTGCTTGAAGCATTTTTGAGGCTTTGCCAGCGTTGGGTAAAGTTTCAGCTCCACCCCGCACACACGACGTCGTAGGGCAGCAGTGGAGTGGAACGTGCAACAAACCATGTGTGTGTCAGTAGCATCCGTTTATGTACATTTTTTCATTGGAGTTTGTGGCCACGACTAGATGTCGAGATTAAAGACATTCTGGATCGGGTTCATTATGTAATAATTAACTTATCCAGGAAAGCCACACAAAATGGCAGCACTCTAGTTTTGGCAGGAAGATTCGGTACAGTAGTTGTTTTTTAAGATGTTTTGAGCCATTTAATGAGTTTATTTTACATTTGCGTGGAAACCGGAGCACCCGGATGAAAACCCACGCGCTTGAGGGAGCAACGCTCTATACCCGTACAGATGGAAGCGGATGGCGATTAGGCCACTTGCTGTACTGCCTTCTGGCGAGCCAGGGTTATGGCACCTCGAGTGGAATCCACCAACCCTTGCTACCTCCACAGCGCTGGATGACTGTACAGGCGTACACCTACCAAAACCAATACCTACCATTCGCAACCCAGTGATGGTGACATCGCCACGGCGCCCGTGCCAGGCCAGGTGCACTTTGAGGCCACGTGAAGTGTCAAAGGCTCGCTGACAGGTCACGAGACAGACCCAGCAGGTGCCATAGGTGGGCTGACTGAGATAACCTGTGGATGCACCAGCTGCACCCCCTACTGCGCAAACTTGCTGCAATTTATCCGCCCGGCGCTCCGCTCGTTGTTGTGAGCGTCGCTCCTCTACCCTCCGTTGTTGTTGGCGGGCGACTGCCTCCAATTGCTCAGTAGCGTCTTTCACGAGCCACTTCCAACCACTGCCCGATGAACACACATCTACTTCATATCCATGGGACAGCCAACTCGAGTCGACTTGAGTTGACTTAATTCCTCCAGAATTTCAAGTTCAAGTTCAAGTTCATTTATTAGGTATAGCCCTGTGAGCCATTCAGCTCTTGAATCGGGTGCAACCGCAACAAACAAAAAACAAAAACATGAACAAAAAAAACATCTTAAAGTGAATATGTGACTAAGTGCAAACAGAAAATCCAAGAAAAGACAGCAAAAATATTGCAGAAAAAACACCGTACACCAACGCTGTGTGCAAAAATGCCAGTGGGATGCAAGTCAAACAACAACAACAACCACAAGACAACTTAGATTAAGGCCATCAGTCTAACTCTGTACTACAACAACACAAACATGGCTAAACCAATACACTTTTCGAAATCACCAAAATAAAGCCATGAAGGCAATGAAAAAGCAATCATAGGAATTGACGGAATTTTCACAATAAATGGCATAAACAACATGTACTACCAAAACCCTGCAGCCATAGCTGGCTGCATGAGTCACTCCACAACAGCAGGAGCATCAATCGGAGTATTGTAATTTTTCAATGCACCTTTAAGATCAGCACACTAAATCAAAACACAGGTCATACTTTGTAGCGATCATCCGGAGCGAAACATTTTATTTTAGGTCACTGAATAGCACTGGCAGCTAGGGGTGTACAACTCCTCTAAAGCAGTTTTGAGTGAAGATCTCATAGGTAGTGACTCAAGTTTCAATTTATTTGCAACAGCATTCCAGACCCTGGGGGCATCAATAGCAAAGGCCCTTCCTCCAGTATATGTACGGCAATAGGGAATATTAAGCTGGTAAATGAGTGTAGACCTTAGGTCAAATTTGTTCTTTGAAACAGAGACGAGATCCAGCAGGTAATCTGCAGATTTTTTTGCAAGTACATCATGAATAAATAAGATCTGGTGCACAAGCCGTCGAACATTCAGAGATGTTAAGTTTGACCCAATGTAGAGATCACAGTGGTGAGTCCTATATGGGCAGTTCAATGCAAATCTTAAGGCCGAGTGATACATTGAGTCAAGCTTCTTCAGTACAGTACTTGGGGCTGATTTATACACAATGTCACAGTAATCAAGTAGAGGCAGTACGGTAGCTTTAATCAATTCCAAACGGAACATAGGAGGGAAGCAGTGCTTGTGTCGATATAGAAAACCAATTTTAATTTTGTCTTTTTCCCAATATAATCAATGTGATCTTCAAAATTCAGTTTTGAATCCAGGATGACCCCAAGATACTTATAGATCTTGACTTGCTCTATTTGATCATTATTTAAGGTATGTAATTGGGGAAAAATAACTTCCCGCTTTAGTGTGAGATGGGGAGATGGGCAGGTCTTTCTCAGAAATACTTACGAATAAGACTTTCCTACAAACACTCGTAAAATATCAAGACCGTATGGGCTGGTAGGCTGGTTTTTAGATGACATTTACAACGTACAACCTTCAATATTTTGATTCAGCTAAAATTTAAAGATGTAGGCTTGTCAGGACAGCCATGGAGTGAAGCAAAACGGGCCCAGATAATTTGGGTTACCGCCTGAAGTCGTTAACGTGTCTAGTCGACGCAAACTGTGTAAACGAGCTGCTGGGAATGCATCTCGAGTTATACCTGGAGTTGTATGGCTCTTGACATCTGGGTACAGCGTCTACAAAACTGCAACACACAAGTCCCGCGTTTAGCCTCTAATAAGGGGGAATGTTGGAGTTTACTCGCATCCTAAAACTGGCAAAACCAGTTACAGTTTCAAAAGATAAAGACCACACCCTGGTTGTGCCCCTAAACCCCACTTGCGTTTTCATCTGGAAACCATAACTTGTGCTTAATGCAGTATACTTGAGTAACAAACAACCCTGTGATGCAAAGTACAATGATTCAACATGCTTCCAAATCTGCGTGTTTACTCAAGCCAAACTCCCCACAGATTCCACTCCTGCAGATGTTGAAGCTGTAAAAGATATACTGCAGTATTTGTCATTTAATTAACTCTAAATATGGACGGGCATTTTGAATGAGTTTCAACTTCATGGTGATGCCAAGGTACAGCAACTGCTGGGGTCTGTGCTGTCTGCTTGCCTGGTGACTATCAATCATCAAGGACCGCACAGCCAATGTATGGCAGTAAAGCATGGTCACGTGCCATCTATGGTGGCAGCACTTGCGTGTATTGGTTTATTTGTGCAAGCTATTTCTACTTTTGCCTGTTACTTGCAGGTTATCGCACTGGCCTTTGGACGTGAATTGTTTTAGCAGGGCATTAGTCATGGATGTGTGCAAACCACATACATTGGAAGAGCAGTATATTATATGGAACCTGATGTCACGGTTCAAAAGACAACCTGGGAGATGTTTGCATTGGTGGAATACATTTGGGTCAAGTTTATAATCGGTAAACACTTCCAGCAACAAAAAAACGGATGGCCTGGGGGTGTTTCATAGCACTATCTTCAGGTGTGTTCAGTACAAATAAATCAGCGAGCAGTTCTGGAACCATTAATAATGTTGTGGTGTAGTGCACAGCCCTTGTTGTCAATCCACTGCTCGTTGAAGGGCCTTCCCACAGGACATATGCTAATACTTCTTCACCACGCCGGTTCGTGAGGGTAGAAAGAATAGACGTCGGGCATATAAGGACAGTAAACTCATGAATTTAGCTGCACTGACCTATGCTACTCGCCACATATCTCTGCAGCATATAGCACCTGTTGTCCCTGGTGGTAATCCATCCAAGCACTGTCTCATCTCAGCCTTGCGGAGCATCTGAGATATTTGATCGAGCACATTCTGGGCGCTTTGGTCATAGGTGGAACTCATAAGTTGTAGAAGAATGCAGTTTTCAAGTCAAGACCAATTCAGACCTTATTGGTCACGCCGTGCCCTTATAAATCTCAACGTTCATCCTACAAAGTCCCATCATAAGGGAGAAACACAAAAAAATAGACAAAACAAATATTTACCCATATTGAAAGGCTGTAAGCCATATGGACCTGCACTTAATTTCCCTGTACAAGAATACAGGGTAAATCGTATGGGTTGACGGGTATGCATCGTCCAACTAGTCGATACCATTACAGTGTTTACATTTAGATTTAAAGCTTTTGTGACTGCAGAGATTCATCTTCTTGGTTCTTTCGGTAAAGTCACGTAGAAGGGAAATAATAAAATAATAAAAATAAAACATTAAACAATTCTCACGACGTTTCGGCCACAACGCAAGCAGCCGTCCTCAGGTGAAGAAACGTCGTGAGAATTGTTTTATTATGTTTTATTTTTATTATTTTCCTTCTACGTGACTTTACCGAAAACCAAGAAGATGAGTGTTTACATTTCAGGTTAATTACACGACTGTGGGCTTGTGCTGTTCACTGGAGTGCAGGAAATCTTCAAGATCTCCGACAAAGACCAGGATGGGCAACTGGACTTCGAGGAGTTTGTGAAATACCTGCGGGACCACGAGAAGAAGCTGAAACTTGTCTTCAAGAGCCTCGATAAAAACAATGATGGTAACAGCCCTGAATCACCACGACAAGCGTGCACTGGCATGTGTCACAGTTTGTTTGGCAGTCAAACATGTACGCTGATGGGAAGGCGCAAGCTGGATAAATGAAACACGATGGCAATTATAATATACTCTTAATTATAAAAGGGCACATGGCATGTATATGTACAGCCCTTTGTAAATCCACTGCTTAATGAGGGCCCATTCCACGCCGTGTGAGTCATGGGGGTTGTTTGACCATATTTCACCACTCTTGCCAGTGCAGATTGGTGAAGGCGGGGAACATAGATGTGGGAGCACTGAAGTACAATACAATAGTAGAGATTTAGTACAGTATTGTAAATCTATATAGCACATGTAAGGGTCATATATTGGCACAGTAACCTAGTTGTCCCTACAGTTGATGATAATATTATTTTTCTGTCGGCTATCTTGTCATGAGATGGAGAAAAAAACATTTGTAACTCTTACAGCTAGCAATGTGTACCCCCTTGTGGTCGTGAAATTCCCTGCAATATCACGTCAGAACCACAGTCGGGCACTTCTGAAGTCACTTCAATAGGGCGTCTCTATCGACATTAATGGCACACGTTTTACTTGTCGAGCAAAGAAGCTTTCACGTGCCATGCCAAACCAAACCAAAGCTTTTAATTTGAAAGCCTACAATAAACTAGATAAAGTGGAAATTAAATTCACTACAGGCACTGGTGATGGACTGAGACCATACATTTTCTATACTTGAGAATCCAGTTGGTGACAGATTATTCAAAATCAAGGATTTGCCTCAGTGTTATGAGATACCCTGGCCACCTCAAAAATAGGCATCTTAAAATCATCACATTTTGTACAATGTCTGTTTAATATAATTTGAGTATCTTATTTATAGATAACCATTATCAGTTATGTTAGGGGTAGTGTGGTGGTTAGCGCATTGTGCTGTGAACCCGTCAACCTGAGTTTTGATTCCTGACCATGGCTAACATCTGTGGTGAGCGATATCCGAACCGGTCCCGGGTGCCGAATCTCCCAAACCCACCGCTTTACCAACCCGCACAGACCAGCATGGTGAAGTATGGTCGAACAACCTCCATGACCGTCATGGCATAGGGACAGTGGCATAGCTATAGATTATACAAGCTATGCAATTGTACTGCAACCCACAGGCCAAAAGGGCCCAGGTTCTGGGCTAACAAGAGAGGGGAAATTGAACAGAGGGTCGCATTTCATTCCTTGTACCAGGGTCCATGCCAACCATGCTTCACCACTGCATGGGGAGGCCAACATCCAGCAAAGGGTCTGAACCTGTGTGTCACTATGATTTGATACGGAAGACACTGAGAAACTGCTTGTATATGCTGGTGCTGTGTTTGTTGTGTGGAGAGCGTTGTGCAGCAGTTAGCTCGCTGTGCTACGAACCCGGCGACCTGTGTTCAATTCCCGCTCGTGGCCAACACCAGTGACAATTATTTGAACCAGTTTTTGGCCTCCCCCAGGTCGACTTGCCATTAAATGAGCGCCTGGTGCGGTGTGTAAACATCGCCACTAGGGAGACAAAGGCGGCCGGGCATGGTGCTGTCCACCCACTCTGTCGTGTGCCGTGTCAGCCTTGATAGGTGCTCGATAACAGTACCTGCCCCAACAATCTGTTCGGACTACACGGGAGAGATCCTGGTCTTTGTGTGTTTGTAGTTAAGTTGTTTTGTTCTAACGTTGAGTCCACGGCAGGACGCATCGATGCCGCCGAGATCGTGCAATCGCTCCAAAGTCTGGGAGTCGAGATCAGCCTCTCGCAGGCTGAGAAAGTCCTCAGGAGGTAAGACAATTATTTTGTGAGTAGTTGTCCAGAAGCGTTATGCATTATCTCTCTGCTGCATATAACAGCATTGCATAATCAGATTGAACATTAGACACATTTTCTGCACCATATAAATATGTTAGCTCGAGTGTTATTTTTTTGTGAGCTGACATTTCAATAGTACAGGAATACATCTTCTTGGTTCTTTCGGTAAAGTCACGTAGAAGGGAAGTAATAAAATAATAAAAATAAAACATAATAAAATAATATAATATATTTTTATTATTTTATTACTTCCCTTCTACGTAACTTTACCGAAAGAACCAAGAAGATGAATCCCTGTAGTCACGAAAGCTTTAAATCGAAAAGTACAGGAATATTTGTAAAAGTGTTTCTATGTAAATGAACTGTGAAGCTATCGCCCACTCGCCGAGTTGCCACGCGTGGAAGCGGCACATCCCCGGTGTCGTCTTGTTGCGGCGGCAAGCGCGCGCGTGCATGCGCCCAAAGTTTCGTGTGCCCCTCTTGCGTCTCATTTTCTCTGCCACGTCAAATGGGGGGACCCCGAGTGATTTGTGTAACATCCGTCAATGTGCGTCTGTCTCTCTCTGACCGTAATCGCTTGGTTCGGCACGTGCGGAGTTCGCTAGAATTTCCACGGTTTTCCACTTAACGTGTCTCTGACAATCTCTCTCATTTAGTACCTTCAACTACAGTGCCGAGGTCTACTTCCCTGTACATATCAAATACCATGGTACTCATTTTCAACAGCATAAATGACTCCGATGTCAGTTGCGACCCAGTTTAGCTTACGTAAAACATGATTGAATATTCTTCTGGACAAATTGCAGGAGCTGTTTTTATATAGCTACTACATACAAACATTTGTATTCTTATAATTACCAGATAAAAAGCAGTTTGAAAACAGTCTAGTGTTGTTACGTAACATTAAATGTTAAATGATCTAAACACGATTACTTTCTCCCTGTTTAAAATAACAGTGCATTCCACTTTTTAAAAAAGTTTTAAATAGCTTCTAAGATAACGTTATTCATTCTGTACAGTTTCCTTCAGTGCAGCCTGATGTAATCAATGAATAGTTCTGTTATCATTACCCAACATATGGCTACACACACCACTCCCTACGTATTAACATTAACGTCACGATACTCATATATTTAGCATAATTATTTGTATGTTTATAATAAATTAAGCCAAAGTACCATGACTACTAAGTTTTGAATAGCAGGGCATATCCCATTGATAACTTGACGAATAAAATTAACATATATATATATAACCTGATTAACCTAATAGTACACACTTCCAGTAACAATAACAACACGTTTTAATTGTAACCTAATCCTTTGTTCTATAATCCTCATTCACAACCTCTTATTTTAAAATTGACAAGCTTCTATGTAAATCATTGTCAACGCTTAAGTCTTTTCTTATTTTGCGCTGTGATCTTACCAACGTATCTGTGGGTTTTATTTTAGCCCTTTCAAACATTCCCTTTTCGATTGTCTTTAAATACTTGTTTCATTCTTTCCTCCTTGCCTTCACTAATCCGGCAGAATCAGGATGGGGAAAATGTTTGGCACAATCAATTTGTAAGTAGTTGGCATGCCCTTCTTGTGCATATAGCTGCTCTATACAACTGAAATGAATATACAGTTCCCGCATTAAATTTCACGATGCAAGCTGAGTATGCGCCGGCTTCAACATGGCCAACAAAGTCTTTGTAGTAGTTTCATCGGCAATGTGTATACATACGTACGTACACACACACATATTTAGGTCCATGAATATTACACGGTATATATTGAAGCGACCTCCACCCCAGTCAGCCAACCGTTCTGCTGTTGTAGGCGTTCTTTGCCATTCTCCATCCTTCCACTTGGTGGTAGCAAACGTGTTGGATATCATTCTTGTGATTGTGACATTCCTTCATTGTCCAGAATTCACAAGTTGTCTCAAAATGCTCATGACATCAGTGAAATGACAATAACAAGGCCAGTTATTCACCCACGAAAGCCTCGCCGAGTCTCGAGGGCGTGGCTTCGATCGTGAGAAAAATTAACGCAAGCGGAGAAAGCGTCCGCTTAATAAGGAGATGACATCTTCTTGGTTCTTTCGGTAAAGTCACGTAGAAGGGAAATAATAAAATAATAAAAATAAAACATAATAAAATAATTATATTTTTATTACTTTATTATTTCCCTTCTCCGTGACTTTACCGAAAGAACCAAGAAGATGAATCCCTGCAGTCACGAAAGCTTTACATCGAAGGAGATGACACTCGGCACTGTCATCGTTCAGGCCAGTTCACAGCTCCATGAAGTCAACACCTGCCACGTGCTGGTGTTCACCCATCGAAGTGGTGATCTGGCTCAAGCCTGCTTGGCTTCTGAGATCTGACGCGGTCGGCTGCATTTTGAGTGATTTTGTCTTCGGCAAGTACTGTGCTGAAATGTAATGGATAAACAAATTAATTCTAATTGGCAGTAGTTTCCAAGTACAAGTTCAAATACAAATCACCACATTCATCGTTCATGCTACCCTTATATCAGAAATGTTATACTCTGGTAGGTTTTACATGAAAGACAATGACCAATATACTCTGAAGGGGACACTCCCATATGTATTATTCTACTCTGACGAATGGTATTCACCTAAGGCATTAGCCCTCCTATTTTTTTCTCCCACTCTAAATCAGTCTTAGTGACGAGCGTGGTGAGTTTTTACTTATTTGTGCTTGAACGTAGCCGATACAACATTACTGGACATCTGTGCAAAAAAGCTCAATATCTCGACGGATTTCTCCAATACAAATAAATATTTTCATTCAGATTTTTATTTTTAAAGAAAACAAATATTAAACTATTTAAAGCCTTGTCATTCTTTTTTTTTCTCTAACTGCACACTCTTTCTACATTTGAATGACCTGATTAATAGTGTCAAAATAACCTTTTCCCTCGATTGGTGCTACAGCATTTAAACACGCTCCCCCCATTGATCTAAGAAAAACAATGTCACTGCCCTAAACCACTTCTACGGTATTATCTACCTGACAACATAGAAAATAATCGAATGCTTATTGATTGAAACCCATTGGATATGTGTGTGTGCTGAAACACCTGCACCAGCTCATTTGGCTAACTGAAATAGAATTGAGGGTAATCCCTGGGTGTTCAAGAGGTGACTGGTCACACATGGACATGTCGTGTTCTTCAGTCTATTGTCGCCATCGGCATGCTTCATCGCAGCGTTCCATTGCTTAAAGAGAACAGGACGTTCGTTTTAAATAATGGTGCTATTCATTGCTTGAAGGCATGCAAGGCTGTCCATTCCCAAAATGATAGCCAATTTCACCTTCAGACTGAGAATGTAGCGCCGTAATAAACGACGAGGTGTTAAAATAAACACAGCATGTGTTGACCATTATTTACAATAAAGAATTTGGCCACAATATGTTCTTTTCAATGTTCTTGCATGTCTGCAAGTGTAGGAAATACATTGTGCGCGTCTTCACGCGTAGCTGTTTGTCAAAGCATTGATAAACGAGGGCCTTCCCGTGCGGGGTGGGTCATTGGGGTTATTTGACCATAGTTCACCACGCTGGTCGTTGCGGGTTGAAGGTGGGGGAGCATCGCCGTTGGAACATGATACAGCGCAACAATGGATTTCGCTGCCCGGCCCTCTGCTGACAATGTAGCCCTCTGCAGAAATTACAATATTCGCAAGATGCATTACATTCAGTCTAAAGGTGAAATGTGCATCTCGGGATATCTTGCGATTTTGTCATTTTAGAGCACCGTCGTGCATTGCCGTCGAAGAATATGATATGGTGCTTGCTCAGAGTAATGTGCCACCCTCCCTGCTGGTTACAGCATGGACAAGGATGGCACGATGACCATAGACTGGAGTGAGTGGAGGGATTACCACCTCCTGCACCCGGCAGCGAACATCCGTGAAATCATCCTCTACTGGAAACACTCCACTGTGAGTGCGGCCTTCCGGCGTGGGTCGTCGTGAAGCCGTTCGCGATGACATGTGCAATTAATGGATTTTTTTTAGATTTGTACTTATTTAGTCTTGCATTTCCTGGGCTGTCCAATGTGAGTTTGAAGCATTGTTGCTAATCATATTTTTGAGCTGCATTGGTGCAGAAAAACATGCTGAAATGACATTGCAGTGACGTCAGTAGTGTGCTAAAATTACACGTCGCCTGACCATGACTTTTTAACTCTTTCGTCTCATTAATGATGTATTAAACTCCTGTTCAGATACCCCTGCCTACATATGGGTCTACAAGGTAATTTCTGTTGTTTTTTTATTTTCATATATACGTAAGGAAATATTCCATTTTATTTTTATTATTTTATTACTTCCCTTCTACGTGACTTTACCGAAAGAACCAAGAAGATTAAAAAATCCAGTTTGTGAAATTTTGCAAAGATCTCATTATTTTCCAAGGAACTGTTGGATAGTAGGTGCACAGGGCAGATTGTGCCAAGAGGCTTGGCTCTGTCCAATTTCGACAGCGACACACTTTGTACGTACAGGAAACGCAATGTAACGGCGGTTGAGCACAATGTTACAGACTACCGCGTTTCATGTCATACTATGTCAGTATCTGTAAAATCTAATGGGACTACATCTCATCAGACAAGCCATGACATTTATGTTATTTAGGAAAGCTGCCTTAGGCGCGTTACTATAGATTGTGAAATTGAGAAGAACGTGAGCCAGAGTATTGACGATGACTTTCACCTGCAAAGACGGCTTGGTCACTAATCTGCAGAATCAGATTCTTGATTTAGACTGGATGAATTCAATGAGCTATGCAGCTCTTTTTCACAGATGTCCAGTAGGGGGGAGGGTCAGCAAGCTACAACAATAAACAATACAAAAATACAACATCCAACCTTCTTACAAGGGCTCATTAGTAAAAGTGCAAATTGCGAACAGGAGTGACTTCTCTGGCACAGAATTGGCTCGGTGTGCCTGCGGTCTCGCGTGTCTATTAATGTACAGTGGTTTGAGTTAAGGCGATTAGCAAACGAAAGCGCATTACTGCGAGCATAAAATTCGGTGTCTGTCCTGAGAAGAGCCGCTGTACTCTGGCGGCAACAGCAACGGAATGTGACGGTGCAGGTGCGCGGCAGCTGCAGTGGTGCGGTGTCTCTACTGCTGCATGCGCAGCACTGCGATCCGCATTCGTCCGTGCCGAATGGGAGTCCTTGTGTTTGAAGAGGCAGGCGTAGAGGAAGGGTTTATTGACTGCACGCATTACGGAGATTCGAAAACGGTGGGCTCGTTGTTGACGTTATCATTGCTTCCTTCCTGAGTTTGCTATGGACTGCTGATAAGACACTACGAAGATAAGAAAAGTGCAACTGTAATATTTAAACGGTAACATTTCATGAAGGCCTCGATTATTTTGTGACTTCTTTAGACGTCACATTTCGATTTAAAGTTTTCATGACTGCAGGAATTCATCTTCTTGGTTCTTTCGGTAAAGTTACATAGAAGGGAAGTAATAAAATAATAAAAATAAAACATAATAAAATAATTCTCACGACGTTTCGGCCACAACGCAAGCAGCCGTCCTCAGGTCTTTAGACGTGTTGAAACTCGACTGTATTCCCGTTTGACGGTGTTCACGGATGCCCACCGGCATGGACGCCCACGAACACTCTGTCCCCTCTTTCTCTTTTTGTGCACAGATCTTCGATGTGGGGGACAGTCTGACGGTGCCCGACGAGTTCACGGAGGAGGAGCGCAAGTCGGGCATGTGGCTACGCCAGCTGATGGCCGGGGGGGCGGCCGGCGCCGTGTCCAGGACCGGCACCGCCCCCCTCGACCGCATGAAAGTGTTCATGCAGGTACCGTGTTGTTGTGCTTGCAGTACATAATGAGCCTGGACACCTTCATGCGGGCACTGTCCTGTGGTACATGCCATCTACGGCTGCAGGGATTTAGCCCGTTGTCGATTTGATGCATTGCATCGATAAGGTGGTTTGATGGTTAAATACCATCGTTTTTTTCCCTCTTTATAGCCAATATAATTGGCTTATGTTTACAATTTGTTATTGATGTACGTATGCTGAACTTCTTTCATGCCGTACGTAGCCAACCGTGCTAATCGGAGTTGCGGGGGAAGGACAAGAAACTAAACACGAAAATCAGTTCTGTCTTTAGTTAGTTGTTCTTCCCGCGCACATTGATGTAATTAAGTACACCAGTGCATAATACTAAGTCCTGCACCTTAATTTGGTTGCATACGTTGGTGACCAAAATGCAGTCACTGCACATCAGTCTGCAGTGTTCCCTGGGGTTTCCTTCCCGGCATATTGTATAGCCTGAGAGATGAGCACAGCCTTTGTGTGTGCCTAGTATTTCTGGAATATCACATTTGTACCTGATAATTTCATTTTTCTTGTGGTACGTAGTGTCTGTTTTGTACTGTGTTTTGTGCATTGTCTCTCCTGTGCTCTATTTTGCCTTGTTCCCACTATATTTTTGTTTTCATCTGTACCGTATTGGGCACTGTCACATGTTGTACTTTTGTGTTGTCTTTTTGTACTACCTCATCTGTACTATACTCTTTTGTCTTTCATATTTCTGTATCGTATTATCTCATCTTGTTCTGTCTCCATCGCAATGCCTGTCTCCCTGTCCCGCGTTGGTCTCTGGATTAATATAAGAGTAGCATATCTAAGCACATCACTGATGAATAATTGTATAATCAAAAATAATCTATTCTTGGGCAAACATTTCAACCCATTTTCATTTGGATCAAGAGTCCTTGTGCAATTGTAGCGACTGAGGAACGGCACGGGACTTTAGCCAAAACAAGCGTTTAATTACAGCCAACAGAAATACTATAATGCAAACTTTGTAACATGGCTTATTTACGTATTTATACCCCCTTAGCTGCATACCCAAACCCCTAATGTTATCTCATCGCTCACACTCAATCCGTCTTGGGTCTCCTCGAGCAGCTACTTCCTCTGCTACTCTGCACACTTCTCTACCCAGAAGGCACACCTGCTCTGCTGCACTGCTCGCATATAACCCGAGCAGATACATCTCCTCTGCTTCTCTCCGCTAGCTGGCAGGCAACCTTGACACTGCACGATGATGGCTGTCTGACCCAGATGAAAGCCAAGCTACAGGCTCTCCTGTCACTTTCATCCATTTCACCTAACCCCGCCTTATCAAAAACTACCAAGCCCCACCCTGACTTTGCACTCACTGCTCCCTTAAAAAGTTCATTGCCCTACCCAACAGCAAAACACTTTGCATCATTTGTACTCTCAATGCACGTGCACTCGCCGTCTCGTTAACTTCTTAACCATGGTAACCCTCAAGCGCAACATTCAGTTGTTCTATCCATGCCTGACCAACCCTTCGTAATAAAACTCCCTTTGCTATTCAGCTATTATAATACTTAAATTTCCCATCTGAGGAGGGGTCACTACACAATAATGCGTCGATGCATCGTTTCCGGCCCGGGTACAATTTGTGCAAAGCCCAGCGCGCCGTACGATCTAAAACGTTTGTGCCGTGTTATCGTGGCTATAATTCGCAGCAAGGGCATCTCCTTTGCGTGTCGATCATAGCCTGCCTCCAGTTTGACAGTTGCAGTGGCGTCGCGTTTGTCTTCGCAGGTGCACGGGTCAAAATCCAACAACATCAGCATCCTGACGGGCTTCAAGCAGATGATCAAGGAGGGCGGCATCGCGTCGTTGTGGCGAGGAAACGGGGTGAACGTCATCAAAATCGCTCCGGAGACTGCCATCAAGTTCATGGCTTATGAGCAGGTGTGATGGCGGAGAGTTAATAGGAGTGGAAGAAAGCCCTCTCTGGTGCCTTTTCAGATTTAAGCTCCGGTGACATAATGAAGCAAAGTGACAGGAAGAGTGCCGCACAAAACCTGACATGGCTCAATTAATGGTGCTGAAATGATTTTCTCCCAGAAGGCCGTGCGGCTGGTGGTTTGTGTTAGAAATACTTTGAGGTTTTTACGTTGAAAGATGGTTAATTTAAATAAACATTCTATATTTATGTTGGTAAAGCAAAATAACAGGAGGCACATAACCTGACATGGCATAATTAAGACCTCCTCACATTTAAATCCTAATTGATGCCATTTTGTTATTATTGATGATGTATTTGTTATTATTAGTCATCATCTCACCACCTACTCTAATGCAATTGCATTGTTTAGTCATTGTCTTATCGATACAATACTATGTCGTGTCAGCGATAAAAATTTGCTTTTTGATTTACTTTGTTCTGCTCAGATAAAGAAGTTCATCGGAAGTAATAATGTGAGTCTGGGCATCCATGAGCGCTTCATGGCAGGATCTCTTGCTGGAGCCACAGCTCAGACCATCATCTACCCGATGGAGGTGAGCACTTATCTATGCTGCCGACAAAGTAACCACAACATCAATAATCAATTACGCAACGGTCATAGCCACGGCACTTTAAGAGAAAATGGGATGATGGTGCGCAATTGAAGAAAGTTCATATCGAAGAGACGGTCTTAACATACGCACAAAATAACCGGCGAGGAATAGATACTGTCCAAAATTATAGGTATGCAAAGGTTATGCTTCCTCAATGCTTTCTAAGGTTGATGCTAATGCATTAGCCTTCTGTTGTCAGTCTACAACTGAGGTCACAATACATCTCGCAAATGTAAAAATAGTATGAAGTTGTGTGTTGCTATTCATCGACGTACCCTCCACAAGACTGGTCGCATTGATCAAAGAGTTACTCAAAACTTGCTGATTAAAAAAGCAGCGCTGAAAGCAGTCCACTCCGATTGTCAAGGCAATGACATCTCACGTCATGCGTTCGCCTCGGCTCTCTACGACATCATCATGTTCGACGTCGTCTGATTGTGCAGCTCGTAACGTAACGTTGCCGTGTTTAACACTTCCCAGGAGGACCGCGTATTTGAAAGCGTCACAGAATCCAAGCATACGCGTCACGTTCCTTTTATTTCGCATTTTTGTTTTTTGCTCTGCAGGTCATGAAGACGAGGCTGACGCTCCGCAAGACGGGGCAGTACTCGGGCATGATGGACTGCGCCAAGAAGATCTTCATGAAGGAGGGGGTGATCGCCTTCTACAAGGGCTATGTGCCTAACATCATTGGGATCATCCCCTATGCAGGAATAGACCTGGCCATCTACGAGGTCAGTGCAGATTGCAACACTTCCTGTCCGCCATTGCCTGACTGACCCACAAAGGATGGGCTAAATGCGCGTAGATAGATGTAGTTGTAGCATTGGAAATGATGCTAATCTGGCTGTGACGATCCCACCTGATGACGGAGACTTGTGTTGCCTCCGAAACGTCGTGATTTTCATTGTTTTATTTTTATTAATTTTTATTTCATTTTTTACCTACGTGACTTTACCGAAAGAACTAAGAGTATAGCTTAATGTATATTTCCACATGTGTCTGTACCCCTTGTTCATAAATATTGTATATAATATTTAACATTTGAATGTATTATGCTTAATTGTAATGCATTTTAGTAAAATTGTGTTCTACACGTGTGTGTTATACCATGTGTGTTGTGGGGAACGGTACGAACCTGGCGTCCCGGGTTCGATTCCCGCTCACGGCAAACACCAGTGTCGATTATCTAAACTGGTCCTGGGTCTCCCCTAGGTCGACTCAGCCTCAAATGAGTACCTGGTGCGGAGTGTCGACATCCCACTAGGGAGACAAAGGGGGCCGGGCGTGGTGCTGGCCACCCACTCCCTCGTGTACCGTTCCGGCCTTCATAGGTGCTCGCTAATAGCACTTGCCCCTACAGTCTGTTAAGGTTATACGGGGGATCTTTGTTATGTCTGTGATCAAATAACCCAGAATGCACCCGATATTGTCACATCTCGGAATCCGATTTGGTCTGCTAAGTCGGGTTTAGCCTGGATAATGCTTGGATGGGTGAACATAATTTATTGTTACCCAGTGCCTGAGCACAATCCCAGAGGGCCCAATATGTCAGATATCCAGCGGCAAACGAGCGCTCTAAAAGTTGTAATCGATGAAGATGAACACGTGTCTTGAAGTGAGCGAGGTTAATAAGCGCTTGGGATAAGAGATGGTTGTGGAGGGAGTTCCAAAGTCGGGCAGTGCAAGAGAAGCAGAACGAGAGAAGTGTTTTGACCTGCAGTATTTAAAACGCATGTCATTTGGTGACGCTCCTAGGCAGCGGTGCGCAAATGACAACAAAAACAACTCGGCACATTCATCAATAAGACTGCCTTTGAAAATAATAATTACATAACAGGCGACATTTCACACGGTGGCCCTTGTTCACAGCACCGACGGGTCAGACAAGTGTCTCCACCTTTCTGGCCTCTGTATATCATAGTATACAGATTCTTATTAAGGCAGTGTTGTTGACAAACGTGTTGCGTTTGCAGTATGATAAATAAAGAGGTTGTTCCTGGCTGTGTGGCTACGTTGTTGGCAGTAAGAGGACAGTACAATAATATATATGACTCCCGCCTTCACAAACCCACACTGTAGAGCGTGGAGAAGTCTGGTCAACTAAACGTAATTTTACCGCTTTATTACCACTCATCTCGTGTTGCCAGATAAAAGGGTAAAAAAACAATTATCATATTTTGCTACTGGCAAAGGAGGTTCCAATGGTGTAAATGCTTACCCCGAGCTATCATATTCTGATGGTGCATTGTCTTTGAGTTGTGCGCCTTTTGGCGTCATCTTGTCCAACACCATGTGAGACTAGGCTCTAAGAAAAGCTGTCTCGGGTGTGGACCAATCAATTTCAAGGACAGTTCATACATTAACAGAGTTGTGTTTTTTGTTTGCATTCTAACCGCAGGTATTGTGGTCAATGCAAACATGACTCCTTGTAACAAAAGGTGTCAGTTTTGTTGCCAGGTAAAAGGGTAAAAAAACAATTACTATTATCCTCTCGTCTAGCTTCATGATTAGTGTTCTGCCTTGGCGGACTTAATGGTAGTTTGTTACATCGTAAAAATTCTACGCTTGTGTTTTTTTTCTCTTGCTCTTAAAGACGCTGAAAAACACGTGGCTGACTAAGTACGCCAAAGACACGGCGGACCCCGGCATCCTGGTCCTGCTGGCGTGCGGCACTGTGTCCAGTTCCTGCGGGCAGGTGGCCAGCTACCCACTCGCGCTGATCCGCACGCGCATGCAGGCGCAAGGTACGACGACAAGCGTCACCCCGGCACCCTCGAGCCTCGCCGCTTTCATTTAGCCAGTTCTAGTTGGCAGGCAGGGACGAGTGTTTACACTGGTTTCAGCTGTATTGCAGTGTATAGATATCACGTTGATCTTGTTTTTGAGAGATTCTAGATTTGAAGTTTTCGTGACTGCAAGGATTCATACTCTTAGGTTTTTTCGGTAAAGTCACGTAGGTAAAAATAAATAATAGGCTCTTTTAGCCCCGCCCACCCCCCCAACACGTCCCATTCATTGGCTACCACATTCAGATAAGCCCCTCCCCCCTCCTCCCCCCTTAACTTGTATTTAAGAGCTTGTATCTTGGAATTTTGCCTCACTTGATACAGTAAATCTAGCTGTGACGGTCCCACCTGATGACCGAGACTTGTGTTGCCTCCGAAACGTCGTGATTTATAATTGTATTTTTATTATTAATATTTTATTATTTATTTTTACCTACGTGACTTTACCGAAAAAACCTAAGAGTTTGTTTGAGAGATGTTGCAGTGTCGCCCCCGACTGCATGGTCAGTCAACACTGAGATTCTTGCCACGCACGGCTTGGTGTGTCTCTGTTCTGAGCTGATGGCAAAATTAAACTTTAATTGAGTCGTCAGATCTCTTGGCGCCACAGATTGTTTTTTAAAATCACTGTATTGTGGAATTTACACACGTGTGATAACATTGGTAAAAAATCATACATTTAAATTAATACATGTATTTTGATTATTTTGCCTTTGATGTTAAAGCAATGTAGTGCTGGAGGTGTTGAGTGTTTATCAGCAGAACCAGGGAATCCTGAACCAAGAGGTACACAGGCCGCCCACTCGGCCAATCCATGCTCGAATGAGAAAGGGCGATTGAACGATTAAATACGATGCCTCATTATTACCCTGTGCCACCACCTCACAGCGTCAATGGAGGGAGGACCGCAGCTATCCATGGTGGGGCTGTTCCGGAACATCGTGAAGAACGATGGCCCGCTAGGGCTGTACCGTGGCATCGCGCCTAACTTCATGAAGGTGATCCCAGCCGTCAGCATCAGCTACGTCGTCTACGAGAACTTAAAACGGGTGTTGGGAGTCACTTCGCGATAATGACAACTTCACGACTGCCAGTGATGGAGGGGGGGGAGGCCATGAAATATCGAAGGGCCCCGACTCTTCACCTCTCTGCCAAACTTGTCTTCCGTCTTTTCTGTTGTTCGTTGTGTTGGCCGTTGGCTACAAGCTACAACTTGCAGATGAGAAGCAATGAACGCCGTTGTGCGGCTGGATGGAGTTTGGTCGGATGCTTTGTTCAGGGAAATTCGACTTGAGTCACTTGGGTGACAATGGGAGGGCAAGTGCAGCTTGTGTGAGGTGTAATGGCAATTGTTTTGTTTGTTGAGGGGTGTGGTGTTTTGTGTTCCCAACAGTAGCAATCTTTCTTCTGCTTTCCTAACAGCACTGAGATCTGTCCCGACAAGTTGAAGAGCAAACTGTCGATTTCGTTACATGTCCTATTGCTTTTGTGAGGTGATTGATAAAGGTTTACCAAAGCAATTTCAGCCACTTTAAGGTTGTTGCTAATGAGTTGCTGATTTTGTTGTTAAGTTTTTTTTTTACAATATATTCAAAGTTTTTTTATTATGTTGTTTTTGTTACACTAGTAACATGCTGGTGATGGGAAATATTGGTGGGAAAAAAGCATATATATAATTCTGTCTAAAGCTCTGAAGTTATTGGCAAAGTTTGAAAAGATGGTTTAATGGTCAACTGCTGTGTACAGAAACTTCTGTTATCAGTTGTTCACAAGGCCTTTCCAAATTCGTGCATCACATTAATAACCTTTTGGAGATTTACACATCAAAAACTCATGAGTTTTTTAACATAGCTAAATGCAATTTAAAGGTGGTTTATCTTTGTGCAGACATGTGAATTTATTATAAACACTTGGTCAAGACATTGTTTTAATGAAAATATGCATACTTAAAATGCACACTGGCCCCAAAGTAAACATGCATACACGTCCTAATAAGCTCAGAAACTCGTGTAATATTTTGACATCTCTTGGTGATTTCGTTTTTTAAATTTCTTCTGCGAATTAAACTTTTTAAAAGTTCCTGTTTGTTCATTGATAAAAGTTGATAAAACAATGTGGAAATAAATGAGTTAATGTTTTGTATTGTATGCCTGTGTTGACAACTCGTTTGTTTTTGCACACTTGCTGAGCACGGGTCCGTAGGCCCCAAAACGTTGAGCTGCTAGCAGCTGACAACCCTATCAAAATTGCAATGGGCAAGAGTTAACGCATTTCTTGAATTGACCAGGGTTACAAGAACTGTTGAAGAGTTGACCACGGGAGAAAATTGCAAAGTGTGTGGAGCAGGGCGAGGGAAGAAGCGAAAAGATGTTGTGACCTGCCGTGTATGGTGGTTTAAAAAAAATGGACGGTTTGAATGAAACAAACTGTCGAATTGCCATATTATTATTCTTTTGTTCTTTCGGTAAAGTCACGTAGGTATAAAATAAAATAAATCACGACGTTTCGGGCGCAACACAAGCGTCCGTTATTATGCTTTCCCACCTAATTTTATTTTCTACCCACGTGACTTTACCAAAATAACCAAAGAGTATGGATTCCTGCAGTCACGAAAGATTCAAATCAAGATTGCCATATTATTGTTTAGGCCACCAACTCAAAAAGTTTCAAATATTGCCAGTCCAAAGTTCAGAGCTAAAGAGTTGGTAGGTGGCTTAGAAAACGCTGAGGGTGTTATACATGCCATCTTCCTGCTGTTTGTGAGCAGATCTTTGAGTTGTTTATTCAATTTGTTTTTTCAGCCTGCATGCATTTTGCCTGTTGTTATGGGGTTTCTCATTATTTACAGAAAGTGTTTGATTTAAATGTAAATGTACATAGCCAAACAGTGTGTTTTCTTTATTGTCCTGTGCATGTCTGTGTACTCTTTACGTCTTCAATGAGCAACAATTATCCACTTAGTGTGCCATATATGAATGTTTACAGATTACATCTATTGTTAGGGCTTCAAAATGTGCTTATTACCAATTGCTAAATATGCCACGTGACATTGGACACGCAGTGCTGTTATATACCTCGTTTTCTTTTTTCTTCACTTCACATCTTATCTTTTCAAAATTGACATGCAGCACACATTGACGCTTCTCCAGTTTTATCATGATTACTATTTGTACGCATTTTCTTACGTTTTCAGACACTTAAGATGCTGCAGTTTGCTATTAACCATTCGAGTAGCACGATTGGCTACACACGGTATGAAGGAAGTTCTACATTGAGGTAAAGCGTTGGAGAGTTGGCATTGTGACACAGCTAACGAGACAGTTTTGCCAAATCCGAGGTTAGAATCTGAACAACCAATGTCTGGCCCAATGCGATTAATGGGTAGATGTGTTTTAAAAGGTACCATCTTCACTGCCTATTATCCCAAGTGGAATTCCAAAAAAGCTAATATCCAAGGTGTGAGCAGTGCAGTGCCTCGGCTTAATATACTGCCATTGTTGGTTGTTTCACTTTGTAACCTTTTTCCTGTAGCCGAAGCGCGCTCCTCTTTCCTGCACGAGAGATTTACTTCAGCGCACGTGTGCACATGGAAACGCACGTTAATTTTCATCATGCGCTAAGGAGCCAAACATCAAAGTGGAAGCAGAAGCATGTAAGTTCTTATCTAGTTTCAACCAAGAAGCCCACTGGGTGAAAATGGCTTTGGTTTCACAATCCACCTGCCACCTTTGATGGTAACACAGAAAAGAGATCCATTGCCCACCGTCACATCAGTACATGGACTGTACTTCAGAGTATGCAATGCAAGTATTTACAGGTTATAACGCAGCATGGCATTAAACTTGCTTCCCAGACAGAAGCTGTTAATGGTGCCTTGAATGTGTAAGTATGCATACGACTCGTGGCTTTATTTTTCCAAGGTCGATTTGGCAGCGTTTGCTGTAAATTCAGCAATTTCGAATGTTTCGGGGCCGCAAACAAGCTATTATACATTTCCTGCGTCCCTTGTTCGAAGTCCGTGTACACTGTGGGACACTGAGTTGAAAGTTGACGTCTTGACTGCGGTGTGGCATAACTGATTCGTATTGTTCTCGGGTGCCGCCGCTGGCTTTGGTAATCTTGGTAATCTGCCTGCACTTTGCTTTTTTGAACTTGTATGGCTGAATGGGTTTGCTGGTCTGCGTGCTGAGGGTCTTAATTTTTTCAATAAAACGAATTATATTAATTCACTTCATGAAGATGTTTTGTTGGCTTTGAACATGTTTTGTGTTTATCTTTGACGAAAGGTTTTTTTTTTAGTTCCACAATCGTGCAGAGAGAGTTTGTCATACTATCAATCGGAATATGGATGAAAGTGACTTTTTACAGATGTGTTTGTTTTACAAAGGTGTTTATGTTATAACCCAAACTATCATCAACGTGATATTGTAAAATGATAACTGGTGTGATAGACAACAAATATGGAATTAATTTTCCATTTTTTGTTCAAAATGTCCTAATTCGTACAACGGCAGGCAAACACTGTCGCACACTAACGTCTACACAGTAAACACATGACCTGGTCGGTACCCATTATCCTTGCACCAGTACAAACACAACACCTGAATCGATAAGCACAAGAGTTCCACATGCACACAGTTTTATACTAGCCAGTGGGGTCGTTCTGCACCTCCGATTGGCACCGTTGGCTATGTACGGTGCGAAATAAGTCCAACATACGTATTGCATATATAATGCAGTCACGAGTCGGCAACACGATTTTAGACACCGTTTGAGCTACAATCATGTAATACAAATGATTCCCCGATTCATTTTACCAGGATCTTTATGGCATAAAGTTTTAGGGAATCTTACTTATGGCTTAGCTGTTAAGTCTGCACGGCTCTTCAACCACTGGCAGTGGCGAAGGTCCGTAGGCCTGCACGTGTCTCAATCAAATCTGTAAATGACGAGAAAACTTCCATCGCAAAAGAATAGTAATAGTGCATCTTGCAAAACACATTCCTGCGGAGGGAGCTGGTAGGAACGTTGGGTTGCTCGGTCAATGGCCAGGGTCAACGGTGGCGTGGTGTATTCCACAAATATGGCCGACTGTGAGGGCGGGCACAAGCCGGCGTGAGTAGGTTGAACGTTGAGTTTTATAAGGGCACCACGGGGTGACCAGCCCCACCCCTCCCACCCCCCACCCAGCCCCACCCTCCCCACCCAGCCCCTCCCCACCCAGCCCCTCCCCTCTCCACCCAGCCCCAACCCTCCCATTTTTTATGCACGACGGACGGACACAATAATCCCCTGTGGGCTCCTACCAGTACAAGATAAAAAAATATGAAAGCACACATCCATTGGTACTCCTGAAGAAGTGCATTGTGGTCCTCTTAGACCACCGTCAAAATGAATTTGCTTTGGACTCTTTGGAGGACGAGACCGATGAACAATAAACATGAAAATGCGGGGCGAACTTTCAGAAGCTGCCCGACCTCGAAGTGCTCAGCGCTCATGGCGCGGTGCAATGCGGGTTATGGAATGCATTATGGATGATCGTATTATGTAATGGATTATGTAATTTATTATTATGGAATTAATTATAATTATGGAATAGATTGTTATTATGGAATGGATTATACTGGTAGGAACGAAGTGGACCAGACCACCAATAGATTAATGTGTCCGTCCATCCGTCCGACTGTCCGTCTGTCCGACAAGATGGCCGCCCGCTCCCCCTGCGATCTGTGAACTAAACAAGATGGCTGTCGCTTCCGGCGCCTCACAGCGAAACTTTAAACTTAAAAGATTTCAAATTTACTTTACTGAAACGCAGCACGTTTTTTTAACACAGAGACAAGATACATTTATATTAACACAGACACGAGATACATTTAATCGCCTTATTTGCGAGGCCTACTGCAGAAAAGGCATCGCGAGGCCTACTGCAGGGAAGGCTTCGCGAGGCCTACTGCAGAGAAGGCTTCGCGAGGCCTAGTGCAGAGAAGGCTTCGCGAGGCCTACTGCAGAAAAGGCATCGCGAAGCCTACTGCAGAGAAGGCTTTGCGAGGCCTACTGCAGGGAAGGCTTCGCGAGGCCTACTGCAGAAAAGGCATCGCGAGGCCTACTGCAGAAAAGGCATCGCGAGGCCTACTGCAGGGAAGGCTTCGCGAGGCCTACTGCAGAAAAGGCATCGCGAGGCCTACTGCAGAGAAGGCTTCGCGAGGCCTACTGCAGAAAAGGCATCGCGAGGCCTAGTGCAGAGAAGGCTTCGCGAGGCCTACTGCAGAAAAGGCATCGCGAGGCCTACTGCAGAGAAGGCTTCGCGAGGCCTACTGCAGAAAAGGCATCGCGAGGCCTACTGCAGAAAAGGCATCGCGAGGCCTACTGCAGGGAAGGCTTCGCGAGGCCTACTGCAGAAAAGGCATCGCGAGGCCTACTGCAGAGAAGGCTTCGCGAGGCCTACTGCAGAAAAGGCATCGCGAGGCCTAGTGCAGAGAAGGCTTCGCGAGGCCTACTGCAGAAAAGGCATCGCGAGGCCTAGTGCAGCAGGCTTCGCTAAGTCTACTGCAGAGAAGGCTTCGCGAGGCCTAGTGCAGGAGGCTTCGCGAGGCCTAGTGCAGAAGGTGGTGGTGGGGGGTGGTGGTGGTGGGGTTGGGTTGTGGTGGGGCGTGGTGGTGGGGGGTGGTGAGGGCTGGTGGGAGGGCTGGTGGGAGGGGTGGTGTTGAGGGTGGTGTTGGGGGGTCTTTAAATCTCACAGCGTTTCTTGTCAAAACAAACACTTTTAATTAACGTTACACTAGAATACAGTAATTTTTTTCTTTAACTCCTCTATACCGGTACTAAGTATTATTCCTACCAGCCCACCCCGCAGGGTCCTGTTTATTATTATGGAATAGATTGTTATTATGGAATGGATTATTATTATGGAATAGATTGTTATTATGGAATGGATTATTATTATTATGGAATTGATTGTTGTTATGGAATGGATTATTATTATGGAATAGATTGTTATTATGGAATGGATTATTATTATTATGGAATAGATTGTTATTATGGAATGGATTATTATTATGGAATTGATTGTTGTTATGGAATGGATTATTATTATGGAATAGATTGTTATTATGGAATGTATTATTATTATGGAATAGATTGTTATTATGGAATGGATTATTATTATGGAATAGATTGTTATTATGGAATGGATTATTATTATGGAATAGATTGGTATTATGGAATGGATTATTCCACGCCTGGAATTGATCCAAAACATCCGTGAGGTAAGCGCGGATTTCGGGAGCTGTGCGCCCCCGCGAATTATTGGAGTTCTACTGCAAAATACATGTCAATTAATTTTAGATGTGATGTTGGGTATAACGTTGTTGGTGATAAGTGCATTGCACAGGTTTTCATTGATTCCGACAGCTAACACGACTGTTTGGCTCGCGGCTGCCTACGTACTAATCTGAGAACGCATCTTTTTGAAGTAAATTCGGTTCTGCAGTTTCTCCTGAACATTTATAGATGGGGAAGTGTTGCTTCGACTCATCTTTGGAACATGAGCAGCCTTGAAGAGCAGCGAGCTTGCATTCACACCGAAACTAAAATAAGCAGGGGTGCTGACAATATACAGTATCTCTCAACATGCCAGATATGTTGAAAAGGCTTTCCATGAGCGTGTACAAATTTCACTCATGTAAATATTGATATTAAAAAAAAACAACTTCAGAATCTAAACACCGCTTTGCAAAAGTTACACAATTTAAAGACGTTTGTGATGTGAAAATGCAGACTGGTCTGTGGTTTTCAAATGAGAAAACATTGTGCAAATCAATGTGGCAGGAGCACTTGGCGTGAATTTGTTAGCAATTAGCAAGTGACACCAAGGGGGTGAGCGATTGTGGTGTAGTGGTTCGTGCTACGAACCCGCCGACCCGAATTCGAATCCCGCTCACGGCCAACAGCACAGTGACGATTGTTTGAACCGGCCGTGGGCCTCCCCAGGGTCGACTCAGCCTCCAATGAGTACCTGGTGCGGTGCGTAAAACATCGACCGCTAGGGAGACAAAGGCGGTCGGGCGTGGTGTTAGCCACCCACCCCCTCGTGCCGCCGCGCCGGCCTTCATAGGCGCTGCTCGCGAAACAGCACTTGCCCCATCGGTGTGTGAAGGCTACACGGGGGACCTTTGTCTTTGTAGCCATGGTGGGCACTTGGCAGTGAATGGGTTAACTCCACAGTTGCCCTCCCACCCCACCTCCCCACGCCGTCACGTGGCGCAAGAGCGACAATGCAGATGCCCTTCTCAGGATCTCTCTCTCTCTCTCGCACTCGCCAGTGCAGCTTTCGACTATCATCGTCCTACCGTTAGCAGCCCATTTGGGTGACCCCTAATTAGCACACCTGCTGACCCCTCCTCCCCCCACCACCACCAGCAGCAGCAGCAGCGAGTGACCGTCGTTGGCAGATTTGTTATTTATTTGGGAGACAAACCCCCCCCCCAGCACAATGTCGACGACACTGCAGGCAAGGGCAGAGAAGCTGTTCCACAGCCTGGACACGGACGGCAATGGTCGCATTGACTTCAAGGAGCTGAGGAATGGTCTGCGCACCATGGGGATGACCCTGCTGCCCGGGGACGAGGAGGTGAGTCGGACGGACAAAACCTTTTCGCCGTTTCTCGCTGGCAGCGCGTTGTGCGAATGACCCCTTGCCGACTGTCGGAAGGTCAGCGGCATGCGCTGCTGCTGCTGCTGGCTGCTGTTGCTGGCTGCTGTTGCCTGCTGCTCGCGTGTGACAACACCGTAGCCGGCGAATTGAGAACCCCCATGCGGTGTTCTGTCAGACTGGCGCCTGCTGTGCCGCTGTGTTGCGCAGCTCATCACATCGAGAGCGCGCGTGCCACGTGGGTTTGCTAATCGTGGAGATTAACTCGTTCGGCAATTCCAGATATGCGCACGGGTTAGCAGCTCTTGCACGATTGCGTGATGCGAGCGGGTGCCTATTGAGGCTGACCTGGCTAACAACGTGGGCTTTCGCTGATCAATGTTATCCACGATAAAATAATAAAAATAAAACATAATAAAATAAAATAATTCTTATTTTATTATTTTATTTTATTATGTTTTATTTTTATTATTTTATTACTTCCCTTCTACGTGACTTTACCGAAAGAACCAAGAAGATGGATCCCTGCAGTCACGAAAGCTTTAAATCGAAATTTATCCACGATAATAAGTATAACCCGTAAAAACAAAGTTTTTCACTATAAATCCTTTATATGCGTGGCGGCTAGAGTCCTCTCGTCCTCTGGCTTGAGATGGCTGCCACCTATGGGTCAGATGATTGTCTGCCAGTATTAAGCAATTGGTAATTAAATATTTTATTTGTTTTCCCTAAACAGTGTAAAATTTTGGAAAAAAAAATTCACGAACATTAATTGTCTCGCACAACGAGTCTGTGTGCAAAATGTCAGCTCGATTGGATCACGGGAAGTGGGTTATAAAACGACCGAAAGATTTGCACGGTCGTAAGCAAGCAAGCACGCAAGCACGCAAGCAAGCGAACTTAATATAAAGGATGTAAAAAGTGTTTGCGGCCGGTTAGATCGCGTAAATATGAATGCGTATTTATATTTATGGTGCGAGGTGTAATTGCTGGCGAAACGTCGTACTCGAATTGTAAACGGTGTGAGGTTCTACTCTCCAACACAACCGGTGTGCGGCACGAGTAACGAATTGCCACGTTTTGTTTACGTGACAAACCTCACACTCATCGGCTGCGTCGGGTGGTGGTGGGTTCAACGACACATTTATAACCCAAAAAGCCCTCTTATGGAAGGCTGGCTTGGTTTGGGCTTAGTACGTGCCCAGGAGTTGGGATGGCCAGCACCGTGCCTGGCTGCCTGCTTGTGTTGTGGTTATTGCAAACATGATGCATTGTATAAGTATAACCCGTAAAAACAAAGTGTTTCACTATAAATCCTTTATATGCGTGGCGGCTCGAGTCCTCTCGTCCTCTGGCTTGAGATGGCTGCCACCTATGGGTCAGATGATTGCATTGCACCATTAAGCAATTGGTAATTAAATATATTTTTGTCCTAAAAAGTGTAAAATTTTGGAATTTTTTTTCACGAACATTAATTGTCACGCACAACGAGTCTGTGTGGAAAATGTCAGCTCGATTGGATTACGGGAAGTGGGTTAAAAAACGACCGAAAGATTTGCACGGTCCTAAGCAAGCAAGCGAACTTAATATAAAGGATTTAATAAAGGTGTCAGTTTTTGTACCAGTTGAAAGGGTAAAAAACTATTACTATATTTTGCCACTGGTAAAGGAGATGTCTCATAGTGCCTATGTCTCTCCAGCCGGCTACGTTAACACGCGACACTGCTTGTTCAACCCATGGGAGGGCTCAGGGCAGGTTGAGACGCAGCAGCAAGCCATAGGCACCGTCAAGTATTGCTGGGATAACGCACAAAATACACGAGGGATGATGGAGTCATTTTGCGAGCGGCTTCGTTGAAGACATCGTTGATCGATGTTGTGCACAGTTTCGCAGTGCCGTTCACGTCACGTGCCACATCGCGTGAGAAAACTTCACCCACTTTACAGCCCTCGACAGGTTTTGCAGACAGCGTTTATGTTGTGCACGGGGGGAGCAATCCAGCCCTGTGGGTTCATAATCAACGTTTTATAAATGTGTCGTAACCCTCCACCACCCGACACGGCCAATTATCAAAAAAAAGTGTCACGTTGACAAAAGGCAAATAGTTCACTGCTTTGGCCCACCGGTGTGTTGAAGCGTGAAATCACAATATTTACAAAAAAAATTTGAGTACCACGTTTCGTTGGTAATTGCATCCAGCATCATCGGGCAATTCGCCAGAATGGTAAATGTTGTTGCTTGCTGCCCACACACACACGGGGCCACTGGCAAACGCACCCTGTCACTTTGGCCACAGCATCTTGTATTACTCGCAGAGCCGAAGGTCCTTTTGTATAAATGTAGCATTGCACTGCATCGAATGCGTGCTAATACGACGCCATCCATTGATAGATAGATGCGCCCAGACGGTGGGTGAACTTTCACCCCAGTGTGTGTGACACACACACACTGCTTTCCTGGCAAGAGATGAATGAAGTTTGCCATTTTCATTTAAAATTTAAATGCACCCTGTCGTGCAAACACTGTATTCACAAATATCTGAGTATAGTATCCACGTGTAAACTCTACTCAATAGTTTCAAGCAATATACTCAAGTTATAACAGGTTATATTGTAACAACTTCCATAATATTACTTCATGCGTAATGCCCGCACGCGACTTACTCTATAACAACATTTACTCACATACCCTGAATGTGATGTACATATACAGTACTGTATAGAGTGAGCTTACGAATCGATATTTATTGATTCGTATATGTTGTGGTCCACTCACAGCAAACATAGTGCCACAACCACGTGTATTAGGGGTCGTCCATAAATGACGTCACGCGATTTTGGACGATTTTTGACCCCCCCCCCCCTTCGTCACACGGCGTCACAAAAAGTCAGACCCCCCCCTCAAATATGACGTCACAAAGCTCTGCCCCCCCCCCCCCAAATTTTTTTTAAAAACATGCTTCAAATCGCTTTAAACTATTGTCATTGTAGCGCGTATTTAATGTGGCGCTGCACTCTGATGTTGAATGAGAAAACATTTATTACAAAGTCCATTTAATTAAGTAGAACGTGTTGTCTGTATTTATTTAAAGTTGCGCATTTTGATGTGACGTCACATTTCTCAAACCCCCCCCCCTCGTTACACATCGTCACAAATGTCTGACTCCCCCCCGCCCCTCTAGGTGCGTGACGTCATTTATGAACGGCCCCTTAGTAAAACAGCTTGCACAGGGTGTTGTGATAAGATCGGTGTTGTATACAATATATCATTATAATTACAGGTTCGGTATAAATATTTGATAATTAATTACGTTTTATGTTGAACTTCATTCGCACCGTACGTTGCCAACCAAGCTGATCGTGGGTGCGAGGGAAGGACAATAAACTAAACACAAAGCAGTTGTAAAGAAATTACAATGGGCCCTACAAAGCTCGTGACCAAGGGGAAAACATAAGGGGCAGCTGTTGGGATATGTTTAGGGCGCATGTTGGAAGGTACGTGTGTGTCAATCTTAATTTGGAGCTTTCGTGACTGCAAGGAATTACTCTTTGGTTCTTTCGGTAAAGTCACGTAGAAGGGAAATAATAAAATAATAAAAATAAAGGGGCTGTATATTATATAATATTATATAATACAATAATAAATTAAATACTAGCATACTACGACGTTTCGATTGCAACCACAGGCAATCATCATAAAAGAAATAGCAACAAAAATCTAACCAGAATACTACAGACAGACATATAAGCAGGCAGATATCACAACGATACATAGAGATGATGATGATGATTGCTTGTGTTGCAATCGAAACGTCGTAGTATGCTATTATTTAATTTATTATTTTATCTTTATACGTGACTTTACCGAAAGAACCAAAGAGTACATGTGTGTCTTCTGCGCAACTGCTGCACATGGTCTGGCAGACGGTGGGAAGCGTTGTCAATGTGGTGATGGTGGTGGTATCAACACGCTTGGGCCACGGTGACATCTCGATGTTGAAGACCATCGTTGTCCTGTCTCCACTCTCTCCGTAGCGGCTCATGAGGGAGGCTGACAGCAATGGGAATCACCAACTCGACTACGAAGAGTTCTGCGTCTTCCTGGAGAGACGCAGGGACAAACTCAAGGCTGTCTTTTCCTCAATCGATAAAAATGTGGATGGTATGACATTTTTCGATTTAAAGCTTTCGTGACTGCAGGGATTCATCTTCTTGGTTCTTTCGGTAAAGTCACGTCGAAGGGAAGTAATAAAATAATAAAAATAAAACACAATAAAATAATATAATAATTATATTTTATTTTATTTGTATTACTTTATTACTTCCCTTCTACGTGACTTTACCGACAGAACCAAGAAGATGGTATGACATTCCTCATTTCCCCCGACTGAAAGTATTTTTTTTATGTTTAATCACAGAACGGTAAATGACGCGTTAAAATATAATCTGGTTTAATTGTACATTACCGTATATATTTGTGTACACAGTACGGTATTATAATGGGGGAAAAGGCGGTGGTGCAGTGGTTAGCGCACTGTGCTATGATGCCTGGAGAGATGTTAACTACCTCGCCTGGTATCCGGGAGGTCGTGGGTTCGATCCTGACCCTGACGCCTGCTGCTGTATATTTGTAGTTTGCGTGTCTCTCTCACTCATCATCATCACGGTGGCTGTGAGATGTTAACTACCTCGCCAGGTATACAAAAGGTCGTGAGTTCGATCCCGACCCCTGACGCCTGCTACTGTATATTTGGAGTTTGCGTGTCTCTCTCACTCATCATCATCACGGTGGCTACGAGATGTTAACGACCTCGTCTGGTATCCAGGAGGTCGTGGGTTTGATCCCGACCCTGATGCCTGCTGTTGTATATTTGGAATTTGCTTGTTCTCCTCGTGGTGGTGTGGGTTTTTATCCGAGTCCTCCGGTTTTTCCCTCCACCCCTCCACATTTAGAATCAACATGCGTTCAAAGTATTTGACTGCTGTTATAACTACCCACGTGATAAGCACTGGTGTTGTGATATGGCGACAGGTCTATGTCGCTCCCCTTCACCATCTCTTTCAGTGTGGTCAGGCAACGCCCATGACTCATACAGCCTGGGGAGGCCTTTGTCCAACAGTGGATTGACGAAGGCTTGTAAACTATTGTGTTCGTGCATTATGATATAATGTACAAGAGTATATCGGCTAACACCAAATCGTTTCCACTCTAATTCTGGCACTTGTAGATATTCAGTAGATATTATCAAGTGAAAGTACAAGGGGCTGTATCTTCTTGGTTCTTTCGGTAAAGTCACGTAGAAGGGAAATAATAAATAATAAAAATAAAGCATAATAAAATAATTCTCACGACGTTTCGGCCACAACGCAAGCAGCCGTCCTCAGGTGAAGAACAGGTCTGTCGGAAAGACAGACAGAAAGACAGACAGACCTGTTCTTCACCTGAGGACGGCTGCTTGCGTTGTGGCCGAAACGTCGTGAGAATTATTTTATTATGCTTTATTTTTATTATTTTATTATTTCCCTTCTACGTGACTTTACTGAAAGAACCAAGAAGATCAATCCCTGCAGTCACAAAAGCTTTAAATCGAAAAGGGGCTGTATATTATATAATTTTAAAAAGAGCCCATCGAGACCAGGGTGTTTACTTAAATACGGCAAAGCATCAAATTCCAATTTGTGAGCAAAGCAATGCGAGAGAAAAAAACATTTGAAAAATTCACTGCTGAAAAAAGAATGAAGCTGAAATTGGTGATCGCCTAATGTAGCCCAGTGTTGTTGGAATGGGGCTGCAAGGTGGTCACAGCTGAGTCTACTTACTCAGTTCGTTTTTCTCCCACGGCAAGTCAAACGTCCATTAATAGTATCGGTCAAATATCCCGATGCTCCAGAAAAAAAGTCTTGAGACACACATTGAGACTTTTATGGGTAAGCAATTGGCACTGATAAAGACAGTAATACAAAAATATATACTTTTAAATTAAATATTAATACATTTTCCATTCTGCTAAAAAAAAACACTAAAACGTGTATGCGATTATACATTTAATATTTATTTTAAGTCACTTAAATGCCTCTCTTAAAGAGCGTAATGTATCGAGCGAAGCCCATGGGATTGTCCTGCGAATGACGTTTTCTTGGAGCTCTCCTCTCGTTCGAAGTGCCCGCGTGTTGCCGGTCCTGCCGGCGTGCGTGACGCGTGCGTGACGCGTGGACGATTTGCGTTTGCGGTCTGGGCAGGCAAACTCAGCGTCGAGGAGATCAAGCAAGCAGTGGAGCAGCAGGGCCTCGCGCTCAACCCGCGTCGGGCGAAAGTTCTCCTGTACAAGTAACAATCCCACCCCTCACCCCTCACCGGGTGTGCTCGCTCCCTTTCGCTGAGTCTCACGCTTGGGAGAATTGACCCTCCAGCCATCCTTACGCTCAGCGTCCAAACAAAGTCAAAGATCTTGATTTGAAGCTTTCGTGACTGCAGGAATCCATACTCTTTGGTTCTTTATTTTGTTTTATTTTAATTTATTTCTAACTACGCGACTTTACCGAAAGAACCAAAAATTAAAGACAAAGATCCCTCCCCACCCCATATATCCTGTAACAGACTGTTGGGGTCTGGTGCTGTTAGCGAGCTGCACCTATGAAGGCCGACATGGCACACGAGGGGGTGGGTGGCCAGCACCACACCCGGCCGCCTTTATCTCCCCAGTGGCAGTTTTTACACACCGCACAGGCACTCATTTGAGGCTGAGTCGACCTAGAGGAGGCCCAGGACCGGTTCAGATAATTGTTACTGTTGTTGGCCGTGAGCGGGAATCGAACTCGGGTCGCCAGGTATTGTAGTGCCGCGCGCCTCCGATTAACACATTTGGCTACATACGGCACGAAAAAAGTTCAACATACATAACCACTGCCCTACTGCTCCACACCTGCACTTCGGGGCCGTCCATAAATGACGTCACGCACCTAAGGGGGGGGGGGGTCAGACATTTGTGACGATGTGTGACGAGATGGGGAGGGTTGAGAAATGTGACGTCACGTCAAAACGCGCAACTTTAAATAAATATAGACAACACGTTGTACTTAATTAAATATACTTTTTAATAAATGTTTTCTCCTACAACATCAGAGTGCAGTGCCACATTAAATACGCACTACAACGACAATAGTTTAAAGCGATTTGAAGCATGTTTTATTTTTTTTGGGGGGGGGGGGCAGAGCTTTGTGACGTCATATTTGAGGGGGGGGGGTCTGACTTTGTGTGACGCCGTGTGACGAAGGGGGGGGGGGGTCTTAAATCGTACAAAATCGCGTGACGTCATTTATGGACGGCCCCTTCGCCCAGCGTCCTCACGCGCACGCGTGCAGGCGCACGACTCCTTCACGCAGGTTCCCCACTCGTCGCTCCCCACAGGTTGGACCGCGACGGCTCGTCCACCATCGACTGGGACGAGTGGCTGGACTTCTACCTGCTGCACCCGGCCGACAGCATGGAGCAAATTGTGCAGCGCTGGACCCACTCCATGGTCAGAGCCCCTGCCCTAGGACACGGAGCGTCGCGGGCAAATGACTATCGCCGGTCGACGCAGGCGATCCTCGTACACCGAACGAGGATATCACACCGGTGCCGTGCGCACGTGTAGTTACGAAAGCCCTGTCTCGAGCCATGGCTGAGCGAGGACCTCCCCACTCCGCGCAGGTTTTGGTTGTTGTTTGTGATGATTGCCTGCAGCCGTAGCAAGAGGTGTATGTCTATTCCAGGTCGCTGACCAGGACAGACTCGGATGATTCTAAGCCCAGACTATAGGCATATATGTTTATCTTACAAAGACGTACCCGTATGTTACTGGAACGAAATCGGAAGAAAAAAACTGATGACGTGCACGTATGTTCCGATGACGTAGTGTGCACACAATGAACACGTCATTTGCCCCACCCCTGGCCCCAATTGTCCCAGAGATAAATTCGGATGTCTTGTGACGCCAGAGATTCATGGCGTGGTGCCAGCTGAACACGGCAAATAGCCAATGGAAAATCACCCAAACCGTGAAGGCCCACGCCTTGGCTTTGCTCGAATGTGACAAATCAAGGCCGTAGCCATGGAGTCAACATTGGGGGGGACCAAATCTTCCAGGGGGTCTGGAGGTCCCCCCTTAGAATTTTTTTTAAATATGCAAACGAATTTCCTGCCTAAAATATAAAAAAATTCACTAACACATTGGATGGACTTTTTATTTATTTTTTACAAGAATGTCTAATAGTATTTTGTATTACATTGCTCTGTTTTTTTCTTTTTTACCTTTTCTTGTTTCATTATATGTAATGGCAGAAATTATGGATTAATAAAGTACAACCATAACCGCAATCATATAAATAGAAATATATTTTATAGCAATATATTGGTGGGGGGGGGACATTTTGAGCATATTTGAATATTGGGGGGGATGTGTGTCCCCCCCAATATATATTATAATTGCGGCCTTGTGCCAAATTGAAAATGGGGTGTGTGTGAGGAGCGGTGGTGCAGTGGTTAGCACGCTGTGCTCTGCGCGACGACCCGAGTTGGACTCCCACTCACGGCCAACACCAGTGACGATTATCTGAACCTCCCCGAGGTCGTCTCAGCCTCAAATGAGCACGTACTTGGTGTGATAGTCGACCACCCCATCTCCTTGTGCATCGTGCCGGCCTCCACAGGTGCCGCCACTCGCTCACAGCACTTGCCCCAACCGGTCTGTTAGGTTTTGATTTAAAGCTTTCGTGACTGCAGGGATTCATATTCTTGGTTCTTTCGTTAAAGTCACGTAGAAGGGAAATAATAAAATAATAAAAATAAATCAATAAAATTCTCACGACGTTTCGACTGCAACACAAGCAATCATCATCAGGTGTGAAAACCACAAATTTTATTGCTGTGGTTTTCACACCTGATAACGATTGCTTGTGCTGCAATCGAAACGTTGTGAGAATTTTATTGTTTATATTTATATTATTTTATTATTTCCCTTCTACGTGACTTTACAGAAAGAACCAAGAATACCAGTATGTTAAATTTCAATTTAAAGCTTTCGTGACTGCAGGGATTCATCTTCTTGGTTCTTTCGGTAAAGTCACGTAGAAGGGAAATAATGAAAATAAATAAATAATTCTCGCGACGTTTCGGCCACAACGCAAGCAGCCCTCCTCAGGTGAAGAATGAAACACCACCAAGCTTGGAGCGTATATTTCATTCTTCACCTGAGGACGGCTGCTTGCGTTGTAGCCGAAACGTCGTGAGAATTTTTTTTTTTTCTTTTATTATTTCCCTTCTACGTGACTTTACCGAAAGAACCAAAAATATCAGTCTGTCTTCTTGGTTCTTTCGGTAAAGTCACGTAGAAGGGAAATAATAAAATAATAAAAATAAAGCTGTCTCCCCGACAGACCTGGTCTTCACCTGAGGATGGCTGCTTGTGTTGTGGCCGAAACGTCGTGAGAATTATTTTATTGTTTTATTTTTATTATTGTATTATTTCCCTTCTACGTGACAGTACCGAAAGAACCGAGAAGATGAATCCCTGCAGTCACGAAAGCTTTAAATAGAAATATCAGTCTGTTAAGGCTACACACACGGGGGAGGAGGAGGAGGAGAGGTCACGTGATCTTTGTCTCCGTCGACCTTGCAGATCTTCAACGCCGGCGACGGACTCATCATCCCGCAGGAGTGCGAGGATGGCGTCACGTGGTGGCGCCACCTCCTGGCGGGGGGCGGGGCTTGCGCCGTCTCCTACTCGAGCACCGCGCCACTACTGCGCCTGCGCGTGGAGATGCAGGTATGGGGCCGTTCCTAAATGACGTCACGCGATTTTGGACGATTTTTGACCCCCCCCCCCCTTCGTCACACGGCGTCACAAAAAGTCAGACCCCCCCCTCAAATATGACGTCACAAAGCTCTGCCCCCCCCCCCCCAAAAAAATAAAACATGCTTCAAATCGCTTTAAACGTTTGTCATTGTAGTGGGTATTTAATGTGTATATTTTTATTATTTTTTTATTTCCCTTCTACGTGACTTTACCGAAAGAACCAAGAATATGAATCCCTGCAGTCACGAAAGCTTTTATTCAAAATTTAACCATAAGAAATGTTTTTAAAGGGCATAATAGACATTGGGCACATGCCTCTAACATGAACAGAACACCGTTCTGACGCTGAAGCACATTACGATTTTAATACGTTCAGCGCATTTAATGTGAATCTATAGACTTATGGACAGGATCAAAATACTTTTTTGTTTTACCATCCGTATAATTTGACATGGGGTTGAAGCGGTGGCAAAGTGGTGAGCGCACTGCTCAATGAACCCGGCAACCTCAATTCAGTTCCTGGCCAAGGCTGACACCAGTGGCGTGGGGGTGTCTGAACCAATCCTGGTCACCCCCCTTCGCCAAGTCGCACTGACCAGCATGGTGAAATGTGATCAAACAACCCCCACAACTGACACCACGTGTGGAGGCCTCATTAATACTCTTAATGGTTCCGAACAGGTGAATTGTGACAGGCAGCTGCGGGTCTGCTCTATATTGATATTTTCAACTTCCAATAATAGTTCTCTCACAGCACTGGCTGCGCTGTGGGCGACAGAGGGCAGTTCAGTGAAATCCATTGTTGTACAGTAGTGCTTCTATGCTCCCACGTCTATGCTTCCCCCAACGCTCAGTCAACCAGGCGTCGTGAAATATCCTCCGTCGGGAAGCCACCACGTGGCAGCGGCCCTGGGCAAAGAGATGTTACGGCACAGTACGCGCACGCCTAGAATATACGGTACGAGTTGCGAAACTCGTCCGCCGTGCCCTCGAGACGCCGACTGCGCGCTGGTTCCGTGCGCGCGTGGCCCCCAAGGTGCGTGGCACTCCGGAGCGGCCGCTGCACATGGCCGAGAGCGTGAGGAGGATGATCCGCGAGGGCGGGTTGCGCGCCCTTTGGAGGGGGAACGGAGCCAACGTCGTCAAGATGCTGCCCGAGTCCGCCATCATGCAGATGACCTACGAGCAGGTGACGTACACACACACACACACGAAATAAAGTCAACGCGAGCCGGCAAGTTTACGAATTTCACTGGAGATCTTGACCTAAACAACTACACAGATCTGGGATTTTTTTGTTGGGATTGGAAAGCTATATGAGTACCAGACGGTATGTATGCATATCTATGGGACCTTTTTGCCAGTATCAAGACAATGAAAAAATAAGATTTGGCTGAAAAAAATACTCACGTATGGGGCAACGATCGTGAGCGTGGATATTTCTAGGGGAGGGGAAGATGAGGGAGGTGGGTGGGGAGAGAGAAGAGACCCCAGCAGAACCAAAATATAAAATAAGTCAGTTTTTAATTCTTGAAATTCTCCTGAATGAGCAGACACCACATGTCTACCAAAGAAGCGATACGTTCGGAAGTCCACCCCCTCTCCTCCAGCCTCCGAACGCACGCTCACTCGCGCTGGATTTAGTAGAAAGGGGGGACGATGTAATCTGTTGCTAACGACGACCTTTCGCGGGTCTCAACAGCTGAAGAAGTATTTCCGCGGGGAGAAGCAGCGAGTCAGCACGAGCGACCGCTTTGCCGCAGGCTGCATCGCCGGTGGCGTCTCCTCCTCCATCAGTCTACCCGCTGGAGGTACCGCCACCACCGTCACTGGAGGAATGCCACTGCTCTGGCCCAGGGTCGGGGAATCTATGGCCCATGAAAAACTAAACGAAAAGATGTTTCTACATCTTCTTGGTTCTTTCAGTAAAGTCACGTAGAAGGGAAATAATAAAATAATAAAAATAAAACATAATAAAATAATTCTCACGACGTTTCGGCCACAACGCAAGCAGCCGTCATTCAGGTGAAGAACAGGTCTGTCAGAAAGACAGCGTCATTCAGACACTGTCTTTCCGAAACGTCGTGAGAATTATTTTATTATGTTTTATTTTATTATTTTATTATTTCCATTCTACGTGACTTTACCGAAAGAACCAAGAAGATGTTTCTATATGTTACCAGGTAAGGCCCCACTGAGCTATGAGGCTCTTTTCAGAAGCGACTTGGCTATCACAAATGAGAGCTCAACGAAGTGGCTTACAGTGTGGACATTTATAGCAGCCAAATACTCTAAAAGCATGTTTATTCTAAATGTGGAGGGAAAAACCGGAAGATCCAGAGAACAATCCACGCAAACTCCAAATATACGGGCGTCAGGGTTGGGATTGAACCCACGACCTCCTGTACACCCAGCGAGGTAGTTAACATCTGCTAGCCACCATGGCACCCATGAGCCGCATGCCACCCCCGGGCATCGTTTCACGCGGCACGCAGCCACTTGCAGCCTCCTGCTTCCAAATAGACCGCAAACAAAATACGCATCCATCACTACGAGCATCTTAGCCACACTACTCGGGTACTGGTGGGGAATAATGTTTGACCGCCAACACTTGTTTAGTCACTCCTGTCACTAGAAGGGCCTCTTGCAGTCTTGGGAGTGATCGAGGTGTGCATTAGTGTGTGTCCTGTAAATAGTATTTGAATGTCTTGTATGGCCCTCAGAACAGCAGTAGGCTTTCGGCGTGGTGAGGTGGCATCAATGTCTTTGGTTATTGTGACATCTTGATCTTAACAGGTTTCTGCTCACCCATGGACTATCCTAACCCCCCCCCCCTCTCTTCCTCTGCTCACACAACCCCCTAGAGGCTCCCTCATGGGATCCTCCCTTAGGGATTGAGTCACTTACAGAACCTCGCAATTACACTTTGAACACCACCTATGCCCAGCTATGTTAACTGGCCAGGTTGCAATCGGAATGGTTGCAAGTTAAAAACCTGGTGGAGGGTTGACTCAGCCCATCATCCCGCTGAGGTCGGTACAATAGATACCACTTTCTGTGGAAGTCAAGAGTGGCTAACCTGAGGATAGATTCTCTCCTGCCATAAGAAAGTGGTGTTTCCACCACTGGCTCAGGGCCGTGAACAGTTGATGACAACGATAGAAACACCATCTACAAGCGCCCAGCAATGGTGAAGCCAGTACGGTCCGGTTGCATGAATGAATATCTTGGTGGCGCGCGTGCGCATGTGTGTGTGTGTGTGCGTGCGCGTGTGTGTGCGTGTGCGCGTGTCTGTGTGTGCATGTGCACGCGTGTGTGTGTGTGTGTGCAGGTGTTGAGGACGCGTCTCACTCTGCGCACGACGGGGCAGTACGCGAGCATGGTGGACTGCGCGAGGCAGGTGGTGCAGGCCGAGGGCTGGAGGGCGTTCTACAAGGGCCTTACCCCACACATGGTCGCCCTGCTGCCTCACGCTGGCATCGACCTGGCGCTCTATGAGGTGACATCGCCGTTGCAATCATCCTCCCATCCTCCTCCGCATCATGTTAACCTGCATGCCCAACATGGTGATCATCGACGATGATCGTCAATTATATCTTGCCGGTGGTGCCTCCTTTTCCCAACGTCTGCTGCTCAGTGAAGGTACATCTCCCCAAGTGTCCTGGTTGGCTGGCACGGTGCCGCTTGCATAAATGCTGTCCCGGTGTCCCCGAAGCATTTTAGAATATTGGTATTTAGTACAAATCTCGCATTTTCTGGCCACGTGCTCAATTCATGATGTAGGCAAGGGGCGAGGATACCTGAGTAGTGGGTGAGGTGTATTACTAATCGTTGGGGCTTACGAGCAGAGAGAGCGAAGCCTCTCACTGGGGCAGGGCCGGTGGTTGAGTCGGTGTGGCATGCAACTGAAGGTTTTTGCTCATGGAGGGAAGGGCAGACAGCTCACCATGTGTCCTGGTTGAACCTCCCGGACATGTTGTAGCTTCAACTGAAGGGACCGTTCTCACCTAAGGAATGCCTCAATCACTGAGATTTATTTCACACACACAACAACAAATGATGAAAAGTGTACCATACAGTTGTGGCAACCTGCCAGTAACGAACAAACAAGATGTTAGAAATGCTGCAAAAAACGTCTCCTTTAGTGGCTCATGGGGCGTGCATGCGGTGCAGACCCTGAAGGAGCTGTGGCTGCAGCACTGCGAGACTGAGCACACGGAGCCAGGCTTGGGGGCAATGCTGGCGTGCGGCGCCGTGTCCAGCACGTGTGCCCAGCTGGGCAGCTACCCCCTGCTGCTGATCAAGACCAGGATGCAGGCCGGAGGTGGGTCTCTTCACGTGGTGGGGCCTCTTGTCATTTGGGGTGGTTTCAGTAAAGTCCTTCCCCCTCTAACCCAGCTTAAATATATGCTCCAAGCTTGGTGGTGTTTCATTCTTCACCTGAGGACGGCTGCTTGCGTTGTGGCCGAAACGTCGTGAGAATTATTTTATTATGTTTTATTTTTACTATTTTATTATTTCCCTTCTACGTGACTTTACCGAAAGAACGAAGAAGATAAAGTCCTGATGTGAACGATGAGACTGTATTGCATCTCCACTGGCCATCAGTCACGCATGGATATGGGCACCAGTTATCCAGACGGTCTTGGACCGTGGCCAATAAACCAGTGGCATGCAGATGTACCATCTTGGTTTGTGTGCCACCCCTACATGTGACTGCAGAGCTGCCCAACAAACACCAGGTCCACGTTGCTGAACATTGTCCCTTATGACAACGAGAAGGTGGAATGAGAAGGGTGAATGACCTGGATAAAGTGGAGATCAAGTGGTTGAGTGACTTAGATATAGGGCAGTACTATGCACAAAATGTTGAGTTGTTGTTGTTGTCGTTTGTGCTTGTGCACCACTGCCAATGCAGTTTCCCCCCAAAATAATATTGTTTCAAAGCAGAGGTCGCAACCGGGTACCCGATACCCGTACCCTACCCGATACCCGGCTACCCGTACCCGGCCGGGTACGGGTACGGGTACCCGTTTGCGACCCTGGTGCGGCCGGGTACGGGTAGGCCGTGAGTCACCGGTGAGTAACCGTTTGTCACTCATTTCGGGTAGGGTACGGGTAGGGTACGGGTACCGTACGGGTACCCATACCCGGCCGGGTACGGGTACCCGTTTACGACTCCGGTGTGGCCGGGTACGGGTACGGGTAAGGAATCAAAACTTGTTTGCGACCTCTGTTTCAAAGTGAGAAATAAAAAAATCACTCAGTGGCGATTAATTTATTCCGTCTCGTTCAGCCGTGCTGAACGGTGCTCAGGGCTCAGCGCAAGTCGGGATGTGGGCCTCGCTGTGGCAGCTGGGGGCACGCGGTGGCCTGCTGGGCCTCTACCGCGGCATCGTGCCCACGTTCGCGCGCGTCATCCCGAGCGCGGCCGTTTGCAGCGCCGTGTACGACCACATGAAGCGCGGCCTCGGAGTGACGCACGATGCCGGGGAGCAGTGCCAGTGCGCTCACGACGAGGAGGACCTCGCCAGGTGAAAGCGAACAAGGGGTGAGCGGCGAGCGGCTGTGACATTTCGTCGCGGGAAATTTAAAATAAATAATAGGATTGAGAGGTAAACCGGGTAGCTCAGAGGTCCGAGTGCTGAGCTGGTCGACCTAAGATCCTGGGTTTTGAGTCCAAATTTCAGCTGTCTATTGTATTTTTCAACTGGATTCTCTGGTATCGCGTCAACGGTCTCAGCTCGGTGACAAACGACCGCACAAAACGAATACAATTATATTTGGGTCTGCGGTTATTTGGCTAAATTCCAACTCTGAGAGTTACACATCTGTGTTGACTGTCATGCTGTGAACATTTACTCTCAGTGGATGTTTTCAGTAAGCCTAAGAAATAAGCCAATGCCCGATGGTGAACGGATTACTCAAGAGAGAAACCGTCATGGAAGCGTCTGTGTGTGGTTTGGCAAACGCTCGACAGCGCGACCCACATGTTGATGGTTTGCTGTGGAGTAGTTTCCTAAACCCCAGTGATTGAAATATACCACGGCAAGCCTTTCGATCAACTTTACAAATGAAATCATTAAAAGTTGCATGCGACCGACGATTGGTAAACACAGTTCACATGACGTTGAGAGAAGCACTTATTCAGAGTAAGAATACTTTTATTTGAACGAGCTCCGTCATGGGTGGTGTACACGGACACACATACACGACATTCACAATTTGTCTAACCTAAAAGTAACCAATTATGGATCGTAACATTGATTGTGAAAGCACGCACAAAGAATATCTTAACCTATTTTAAACCATCACCCTTAACGTCACGTTGCACATGTCGGCACGTGCAGAGCGCGACAACGAGAACTGTCTTTGAAGGGAGACGATAGGTAAAGAGAGAAGATATAGGTCGTGAGGACTGCAGTACAACACTTTCAAGTTAACGCTTCCTCTAGGACCGTGGTTCTTAACCTGGGGTGCACGCAACCGCTGGGGCTTGAGAGATGCCCTTTCCGTGGTGGGTGCGATACATGGCCTTATTTTTTAAATCCTTTATATTAAGTTCACTTGCTTGCGCGCTTACGACCGTGCAAATCTTTCGGTCGTTTTTTAACCCACTTCCCGTGATACAATCGAGCTGACATTTTGCACACAGACTCGTTGTGCGTGACAATTTATTTTCGTCAAAATTTTTTTCCAAAATGTTCAACATTTTAGGAATTTATAAAAATATTTAATTACCAATTGCTTAATGGTGGCAGGCAATCATCTGACCCATAGGTGGCAGCCATCTCAAGCCAGAGGACGAGAGGACTCTAGCCGCCACGCATATAAAGGATTTATAGTGAAAAACTTTGTTTTTACGGGTTAATTTTTTTAAAGGTAATTCATCGAAAACACAAATTAGGCACGGGCACGTAAGTACAACTACTTTGTTTAATCAAACCTATGTATTTATTCACATTCTACATTTTATTTTTTTACGATTGAGAACCAAAGGAGTGCAAGGCTGCGGCAAAATGTTTAAGAACCGCCACTCTCGGAGATGCTGGCGATATCGAGTGCAGCAGAGGGCGTTGCTTCTGGTGGTGAAGAGATTCCTGGAGATTAACCGCGATGGGGGGAGAGGAAGCTTGTGCCTGGAGGATGCCATGGCGCGATGACGAGGTAAGGGTAAGGCAACGGTGGGCAATCAACTCGATATCCCTTCTCACCGACATGAGCCTTGATCAATCCACTGCTGGACGAAAGCTTCCCCAAGCCTTTGCCTTCTCGCATGGTCCAGCAAAGCAAGGATCCATGTAGCTACTACACACAAGCTGATGTTATTGCGCCATCTCTATACACACAAGCTGATGTTATGGGGCATGTCTTCTTGGGCGTGTTCCCTCCTTGGCCTGACACTCTGTCGTTAGTCTCGACCACCGCTGGCCATCGTCCCACTTCGTGACACGTCCAGACCGAGCCCAATAACTTATATTCAGTCACGTATTGATATCGTGTATTGACTCCTGGAGGATACATTTCCGTAAAATTAAAACTCATGCTGTATGTATATACACAATTTGTGTATTCTTTGGTTCTTTCGGTAAAGTCACGTATAAAGATAAAATAATAAATTAAATAATAGCATTTATTATTTTATCTTTATACGTGACTTTACCGAAAGAACCAAAGAATAATTCCTGCAGTCACGAAAGCTCCAAAATTAAGATACAATTTGTGTATATACAGTAAACCGGGCTGTTGGCATGCCTTATACCATGTTTAATTTAAACACTTGCTTGATTGTTTTGACGTGATCTATTGTTTTGTGCCTTTGATATACGAGTTGTGAAATGACTGTTACAACTTGTGCCACACAGGGACAGCTGTCATCAGTGGGTCCCCTGGGCTTAAAAAAACTACAACATTGGAATGATTGAGATGAGATGTAAGGTGATTGGAGATACTGGGGCATTTAAGAGCCAATGAATGTGCAAATACGAAATCCTTAGCACGGCGTGTTGGTTGGTGAACTAGGGACAGGCCAGGATCTGTTCAGATATGAACCATCACTGATTTTTTTTGGCATAGCTTCGAACATATTGATTATATGGAATGAATGAATGTGCATGAATATGTCTGGAGTGTCATTTCTCCTGAGTTACACCAAAGGTGGACTGAAATGAAACAATGCAATAATACTGGTCTTCTTTCATTAATAACAAGCTATTTACTTGAATACACGCCTTTTGGCGTCCTCTGGTCTAACACCGTTTGAGACTAGGCTCAAAAGAAAGCTGTCTCTGGTGTGGACCAATCAGCTTCAAAGACAATGCATTATATTATCAGAGTATATTTTTGTTTGCATTCTGACCACAAGGATTGTGGTTAATGCAGACATGATTCCTTGTAAAAGGTTTCAGTTTGGTGTTTTAACATCTTAACACCTGTTTTGTTGCCATAAAAAAGGGGAAAACCTATTCTCATTTACTTGAATACATTCACAGTATGCAAACAATTGCCATTGCCCTGGCCGTGTATGAATATAGTACAGCAATATGTTACAATATTCAGATCACCGTTTGAACGGTCTTCCGAGTAAACTTGAATGTAATTTTACTGAGTTGAATTAACTGTTCATTTACAGATTATTTATTCGTTCAATGCACTGTTTAAGAACAGCCATTTCATATCATTGCCCTAAGTGCATTTCATATCTATATCTCTATGTAGCGTGTGTGTGTGTGAATCGCTAAACCCCATTGCTTTGATGAGATCGCCTGATCGGGAGACGCTCTCATCGTTTGCTATCGTCCGAGGGATGCGTGTGCTTTTTTGTGAATGAAAAAGTTGAAATAAAAAAAACGATGTTCTTGACATGCTCGGCAAGATGTAATAAATAACCACCACCCATCACACTCACAGCGATTCAACTCACTCACACGGGGGGGGGGGGGGGGGAGATGGGGGGGGGTCACGGTTAGATTCAAGAATAGATCATTTTATATATAATGTTCACCGTTTTTCATTTGTCATCTTTGCTTCATCGTGCAATTTGTACGGGTTTCATTGCCCAGTTATGTTCATTGGGTCTCACGCACGGTATTGGATGATACGTGCACCAAAGATATAACGGGACTCAATTGCAACGAATGATTTCGATGTAAAGCTTTCGTGACTGCAGGGATTAATCTTATTGGTTCTTTCGGTAAAGTCACGTAGAAGGGAAATAATAAATACAATAAATAAAACATAATAAAATAATTCTAACGACGTTTCGGCCACAACGCAAGCAGCCGTCCTCAGGTGAAGAACAGGTCTGTCGGAAAGACAGCGTCTGAATGGGCACCACCAGGCTTGGCAGCGTATATTTAAGCTGGGTTGGAGAGGGGAAGGGGCGCCTTGACAAATTTGCATATCAAGAGGAATTTAGCATATTTATGGGAAATGCAGATATGGGATTAGTCACTACTTGTTGAATGCGTAGGAGGTGGGGGGGGGATTTCAAAGTCATATTATGCCTGTGCATTATGCAGTATGCAGGATTAGCAGCATCAAAGGGAGGGAGTCATTGCCTATTGCAGTGGTCCTCCAACCTTCTTAGGAATGGTGCCTCCCCCCCACCCCAATCAAGAACCAAATGTTCCCACGCCTGCCACCCACCACACACCTCCGATTAGCACGGTTGGCTACGTACGGTGCGAAAAAAGTTCAACATACACACACACACCGCCAGCCCTAAAACACAACAAAGAGATTCTAGATTTGAAGCTTTCGTGACTCCAAGGATGCATATTCTTAGGTTTTTTCGGTAAAGTCACGTAGGTAAAAAATTAAAATTAATAAAAGTAAAATAAAAATACAGCAATCGTGCTGTGACGGTTCCACCTGAAGACGGAAGCTTGTGTTGCCTCCTGAAACGTCGTGATTTTTCTTTTATTTTACTTTTATTAATTTAAATTTTTTACCTACGTGACTTTACCGAAAAAACCTAAGAATACAACAAAGAGAGATCGCATGCCCACAGTCGGTTGTGTTTTCTTTTAGACATTTTGTTTTAGTTTAGTTGATTACGCTTCTGAGCCAGCTGGTGAGAATCGTGCAAAACTTATCCCACTTTTCACCAAGGCAAGTGGAAGGCTACAGACTTGAGTATTTCTAACCTAACAACGACGTTTGTGTGTGTTGTGTTAAGGCATTTGTGTGACGAGGGGGGGGGGGGTTGAGAAATGTGACGTCACATCAAAATTCGCAACTTTCAATAAATATAGACAACACGTTCTACTTAATTAAATAGACTTTTTAATAAATGTTTTATCCTACAACCTCAGAGTGCAGCGCCACATTAAATACGCACTACAATGACAATATTTTGAAGCGATTTAAAGCATGTTTTATTTGGGGGGGGGGGGGGGCAGAGCTTTATGACGTCATATTTGAGGGGGGTCTGACTTTTTGTGACGCCGTGTGACGAAGGAGGGGGGGGGTCAAAAATCGTCCAAAATCGCGTGACGTCATTTATGGACGGCCCCATAGTGTTGTATTTGTGTTAGTACGGCTTTTGTTTAGTGTAGCACCACTAGCTCGGTGACCCGAGTTCGATTCCCGCTCGTGGCCAACACTAGTGACGATTATCTGAACCTGTCTTGGGCCTCCCCTAGGTCGACTCAGCCTCAAATGAGTACCTGGTGGTGCGGTGTGTAAACCTCGCCACTGGGGAGACGAAAGCGGCCGGGCGTGCTGGTGGCCACCCACCCCCTCGTGTGCCGTGTCGGCCTTCATAGATCCTCGCTAACAGCACTTGCCCCAACAGTTTGTGAAGGCTACACGGGGGATCTTTGTCTTTGTGTTTCATGTTGTGTATTCGAGTGTGCTGTGCATTCGAGTTCCGCGCGTACATTCCAAATTTGTCCTGCACGGTATCCATGCCGCTGACCTCGTGTTAATGCGGTAATTATTACTGACACACTCACACAGTACTCGTGTTACCACGCTGAGGTTAAAAACAAAAGTATGCAGACAAAACAAATAAATAAAGTGCGAATTAAAAAAAAGTGTCACAATTAATGTTGATATTATAACAGGGTGCAATATCTTCATAACAGTATTTATCAAACTTCTATCGATTTTTTTCGATTGTTTTATCCAGCAAATCCTCACCGAGTGTCGTGACCCGTCTCTATTGGGGCATTCCTCTTTAAATAATCTTTTGTTGCATGTGGGAGGATACCACAGTACTAGAGAAAACCCACACGAACAACGGGACCCATATACTCAACGATCTCCGACAGACGGGTTCACAAACTTGCTTGCTGTGACGGCGTCGTCTGCTCACTTCAAAGCTCCAGTGGGATTCATCACTTTACAAATCTCTACGTGATCCACCGACCCTTGCCTCCAAAGCACTGGATCAACGGCGTGTGTCACCGCACCCAGACATCTCGCGCCTCGCCATGATGCAGGTTTACTCCACTTAGCGGGTACATTAAATGTGTAGCAACAAAGGGTTTCATTTCAGCCAGGTGTGTCTGTGTCAGTGATCTGGAACACACACCACGTCCAGTATATCCGGTCACTATGACTGTGCCTATTACTCACATGCCACCTACTCCAGTTTAGCAGTGATCTGGAAAGTGCTCAGTGAGAAGTGAAGTCTTGGTAATAACTTCAAATGCATGGAAAAAACGGAGATCATTTTGTAGACCGCTGGAGAAATGCGACTGCGGTGCATTGTGAGCAGGGCCATTGTGGAAAAGGCTGACAATTAGCCAGCGATCTGCACTCACATCCACCACAGTGGCTACCAGGTGCCGGTAACCCTCCCGACATAAACTTAACTACCACTTTGAGAAATGCAACTTTGAACGCGCTTGTTATTATTCACCCCCGTTTAAAAGAGCGGCGTTGGGATCTTTCATCGGTCCACCGGCGAACCGGTCACGATGGGCGGGCGCCAACTCCACCAAACAGCACGCATGGTCCACCAGAGGCAGAGGCAGCGGCTCCTCCGCTTGCACCACGGCGGCGGCCCTTTCCTCCTCCTCTTCTCCTCCGCCTGTCCTCAGTCCGTCGAGCGCCACCACGGAGGCCTCCTTGCGCAGCTCCGCCAGGGAGCCGCCCCCCAGCACGAGGACGCGGCCGGGCCGCGTGACGGCCGCGCCGAACTGGCAGCGCTCGAGGCGCGGACCTTGCAGCACGCTCCACTGGTCGCTGCCCGCGGAGTAGCACTCCACCTCCAGCACACTGACCCACGCGCCCGCCTGCGGCCCACAGCGCACGGGGGCGGCGGTCAATAGCCCGCTGTCCGGTGTCGATCGCCTGCATCCTCGCAGCGGCGGCTTGTGGCAGGCCATCGAACAAAGGCGGTCACCGCATCGCGCGCTCTTTGAGGAGGCGCGCTTCTGCGGCCGTCTGGAACGCTCTTCCTTCCGATATTAGGAAGCCACTGGAGCTATGCACTTTTAAATCATCGAGGTTGAAAACTAATTTCTTTAGAACTGATTTTTGGCTTTAGTTTGTTGTCCGTCCCCCCGGCACCTCCGATTAGCACGGATGGCTACATACACTGCGAAGGAGTTGAACATACATATGGATTTCCTCTCACACCTGTCCCTTTCTCGCCGCACCTATTTGACCACTTTGCTAATGTACAACGGAGCCACACGGGGGCCATGTCGAGCCAGCTCAGGTGGCTGGCCAAGTTAATTTTCCACTTGCGGAACCCGAGCCATGCCGCTGATGTCACACACAATGACGAAGATGATTAACCCCGCCCCTGGCCCTACTTGTCCCCAAACCAGATTCAGATAACTTTGGAGGTCAGAGTTTCAAGGTCTGGTTCTACCTTAGTATGGCAAACAGGCAGTGTAAAACTACTCATGCTGTGAATATGATTAACCCGACCACTGGCCATTCTTGCCCCCAAACCAGATTCAGATAACTTTGGAGGCCAGAGTTTCAAGGCTGGTTCTACCTTAGCATGGCAAACAGGCAGTGGAAAACTACTCATGCTGTGAATATGATTAACCCGACCACTGGCCATTCTTGTCCCCAAACCAGATTCAGAAAAGTTTAGAGGCCAGAGCTTCATGATCTGCTTCAACATCAGCATGGCAAATAGCCAGTGGAAAGCCACCCATGCTATGAAGGGCCCCGCGACGGCACAGGCTCGGACGTGACGGTGAAGAAAGGGGCGTACCTGGTCGAGGGCCCTTCCGCCCAGGCAGTAGACACGCTCACCGGTGGAGGCCATGGCGTGCTCACAACGCGGACGGCAGAGCGGCCGGTGGCCCAGCCACTGGCCCAGGCGAGGGATGTAGCTGGTCACATCCCCCAGGACCCGACCGCCAGAGTAGCCGCCTGCCCACGCAACGCACGGGAAGATGCACGCACAGAGAATACCACATCGGTGTCTAAATGGGAGGCGGTGCACATTGTATGTATGTTTCTCGCACCTCCGGTTGGGTACATATGATGCGAAATAAGTTCAACATACATACATACGTATATATATACGAGGGATTGCTGTACGTTGAACTTTCTTAGCACCGTACATAGACAGTCGTGCTAATAGTAGTTTTTTTTTACCTATTGGTCATCATTGGCATATTATAGATATTCGTATAATTTTGTAGATATTAGTATTATTAGTATTATTTTACGAGTAACCTGGTTCTCTCATATAAACAGTACATACAACCTAGTTCTTAGGTAAAACCATGCATATGCATGGCTTTACGTAATGTTTTCAACTCTGCGTTCGTTCTTAGAAATATTCATTCGGGACCCACAAGCTGAGAGGCATTCGGTCAGGGTTAAAATCAATCGGCCAACCTGCACATCAATAGATATTTCTCTACTCTCACGCGCCCAATTTCTCGAGATCACTTTGAAAACCGCTGCATGGGGGGACGACTCGAGCTGCTGCCTCACCGGACACGAACAGCGTCCCCCTGTGCAGAGCGCCGGCGTGGTCCGCCAGGGGCCGGGACAGGGCCCTCAGGGCTTCCCAGGTGTTGGCGGCCGGGTTGTAGCGCTCGGCCGAGCTGCTCGCTTCGCCCAGGAGGTTTCCGCCGGCCACGGCGAGGATGGCGCCGTTGAGGGCGCATGCCACGAAGCGTGTGCGGCACTCCCGCATTGGTGCCACCTCGAGCCAGGAACACGAGCGCGGGTCCAGGCGGAACACCTGGGGTAGAGACGCGCGTCGGGTGACGGCGGATGATGATGATGATGATGGGGAAAAATACAAAAAAAATCGTTAGGTTTTTGCTTTGCCCTCTCCGGGAATAAGACAGACTCGTTGACTTGCAGTAGGGGTCGATTGGGGAGCCGCGGTGGCGAGCTGTTGACTACCTCGCCTGGTATACAGGAGGTCGTGGTTTCGATCTCGAGTCTGAAAATGCCTGTATATTTGGAGTTTGCGTGTTCTCCCCCCGTGGTCGTGTGGATCTTTCTCCATGTGCTCTGGTTTTTCCCTCCAATATTAGAACAGCGCGTTTCGAGTATATATTATATAAATGTCCTACGTGATAAGCCACTTAGTTGAGCTATCATTTGTGGCCAGCTCGTTTCGGAAAAAGAGCGATACAGCTCAGTGGGCCTTACCTGTTAAAATAAAAATAGTTTAGTTGAAAGTTTAGCTTCCATTTGGTGTTTGTAATATCTTATTGCCGGAAAGGGTAAATCTTAATTCCGGCATAAAGGGTTCCATCGATATCGCTGTTAGCAGATCACAGCACGACTACAGCTGCCATGGGTTGTTCCACTTGTGTCCTGTGGTATGGATCTCCAATGTGTTTGATTGGATGAGTATATCCATGTGACAGCTACAAATGACTTCTCACAAGTGATTGACCCTGGAGGGATGATGAAAGGATTCTAGATTTGAAGCTTTCGTGACTGCAAGGATTCATATTCTTAGGTTTTTTCGGTAAAGTCACGTAGGTAAAACATTAAAATTAATAAAAGTAAAATAAAAATCACGACGTTTCGGAGGCAACACAAGCTTCCCTTGTGTTGCCTCCGAAACGTCGTGATTTTTATTTTATTTTACTTTTATTAATTTTAATGTTTTACCTACGTGACTTTACTGAAAAAACCTAAGAATATGATGAAAGGATGTTGACACCAAACCACTGCTGCAGAGGAAATGTGAAATAACTTTAAGTCTCAATAGGCTCTCACATTAATGCGAAGTGTTTACTTTACTTTCATCAGGTAGGGCACACTAAGCTATGTAGCTCATTTTCAGAAGCTACCTGGCCACAAATAATAGCTCAACAAAATGTCTTATCGCGTGGAAAACTTTAGCAGCCAAATACTCTAGTGTCAACAAAACTACAATGCAAGCAATTTGTATTTATCGATATATGTAACCGCATCTCAAGATGCTGTAGAATATATATACAATCTGGGACGTGTACGAAAATACTTGACTGTTAAGATACATGTCATACAGTGATCCTTTCAGTACAGCTGTGGTAGCGAGGCAGCAGCAGAGGGCAGTGCAATACCGTCCTCCGGCATCCAGTCGAATGCTTCCGTGCTTTCACCGACCCGTAATGCCCAGCGCGGTGAAGTATGGTCAAATTAAATCTCTGGCACACGCACGGACGTGGAGATGCGCTCATCCAGCAGTGGAGTGACATAAGAAGGGCTGTGCATGCACGCGTCGACTGGACATTTGTGAAAAAGAGCTTTATGGCTCAACGGATTCCTCCAGTATAAATACATGTTCCGATTCTGATGTACAAAGTCTTAACTTAGTCACGCTTAAATTTCGATTTAAAGCTTTCGTGACTGCAGGGATTCATCTTCTTGGTTCTTTCGGTAAAGTCACGTAGAAGGGAAATAATAAAGTAATATAAATAAAGCATAATAAAATAATTCTCACGACGTTTCGGCCACAACACAAGCAGCCGACAGACCTGGTCTTCACCTGAGGACGGCTGCTTGCGTTGTGGCCGAAACGTCGTGAGAATTATATTATTGTATTATGTTTTATTTTTATTATTTTATTATTTCCCTTCGACGTGACTTTACCGAAAGAACCAAGAAGATTAGTCACGCTTGCATGATATCGCTCGGCTCTTTTTAGTAAACGTCACATATGAAAGTGGTTGATCACTTTTATAACGTGACTGTATTTATACACGAGTAGTATTTATACACGGTATATCTATACGAATATATACTACACTGATTCAATTGCACAAGGTTACAAAAAAATCATAACAGCTCGTATCAACGGAATGACCATCATCATCTCCGATAAGCGGTTGGGCTACGTACGGTGCGAAAGAAGTTCACCGTACAGACGAAATAAAAGAACTCCCAGACACGAGTCTGGCAACACGACTTTAGACGCCGTCTAATATAATGTACATACAAAGACAAAGAACCCCCCGTGTACTATGAGACCTCCTTTACCAGTGGCAAAATATAGTAATAGGTTTTTACCCTTTCAACTGGTACAACAACTGACACCTTTATACAAAGGATCATGTTTGCAATAACCACAACACAAGCAGCCAAAATGCAAACAAAAGGAAACAACTCTGATAATGATGATATGCACTGTCCTTGAAGTTGATTGGTCCCCATATCATTATCAGAGTTGTTTCTTTTTGTTTGCATTTTGACTGCTTGTGTTGTGGTTATTGCAAACATGATCAATTGTATAAAGGTGTCAGTTTTTGTACCAGTTGAAAGGGTAAAAACCTATTACTATAAACCCCCGTGTAGCCTGTAACAGACCGTTGGGGCAAGTGTTGCTAGCGAGCACGGCACACGAGGGGGTGGGTGGCCAGCACCACGCCCGGCCGCCTTTGTCTCCCTTGTGGCAGTGTTTACTACACACCGCACCAGGTACTCATTTGAGGCTGAGTCGACCCCAGGAGGAGGCCCAGGACCGGTTCAGAAAATCGTCACTGTGGTGTTGGCCATGAGCGGGAATCGAACCCAGGTCGCCGGGTTCGTAGTGCAGCGCGCTAACCACTACACCACCGCTCCCCTGTGTATACATCACAGCTGTCAACCCAAATACTGTTTACTAAGTATTCTTGTACAGGGAAATTGAGTTTTCAGGTCCATGTGGTGTACAGCCGTTTCAATACAAGCAAAAACATGTTTTTGCCTTTGTGTTTCTCCCTTGTGATGGGAATTTGTAGGATGAATGTTGAGGTTTAGCAGGGCACGGGGTGACCACTCAGGTCTGAATTGGTCTGTAATAAGGTAGGGCACCGATAAGGGGTTGACAGGTATGATACATACACACGGGTACATACAAATGACCATCACCTGATTTGTGGCGGACGTTCCTCGCGGCTCGAATCGATGTTGCCCTCCCAGGACGAACACGAACCCCCCCAGTGGCACTGCGCAGTGGTTGTAGACCGGCACCGGCGTGTCGCACAGCTTGCGCCACGCGGCCCTGCGGTGTCCACCCCGCAAGCCACCAGCTCCTCCACCACCTCCATCATCATCATCACCACCTCCATCATCACCACCACCACCATCATCATCATCCACGATCTCATCCTCCTCCTGCACCTGCGAAGCCCAAACCTCGCCGCGCACCCCATTGTCTCCGGAGCGACCTCCAAGCGCCAGAACGTTGAGGCGTGCCCCCCGGGGACTGGTCGAGGGGGTCTGCAGCAGCGGTTGCGCGTAGGGGCGCCCGTGGTAGCGCAGGGCCTCCTGCAGGTGGTCACGGCAGCGCGCGTCGCGGCTCATCGCCGGCACTCGCGAGAGGAGTTCCTTCAATTCACTTGGAGCCACCAGGGCGAAGCGCACACAGTCCAGGAGGTCGGCAGCGTGGATCTCCATCCTGGATGGGGACGATGACGACGATGTTGAGGAGGACGATGTTGAGGAGGAGGACGATGATGTTGAGGAGGACGATGAAGAAAAAGATGAGGAGGACGATGAAGAAGATGATGTTGAGGACATGTCAGGCTCCGCGCGGAGCCACGCGGTGGCCACGTGGAGGAGCTCCGTCTCGGAGGTGCCACAGGCCCCGCCGTGCGCGAGCAGCTCCTGCATGGTGCGCACGTCCACCCGGAGCAGGTGAGCGCGACTCCGGCCGCACTCCATCGCGCCCCGAAGGTTCCGCGCCACCAGCCGCACCGCCCGGCGCCTCAGCTCCGAGGAGCCGAACTTGTGCGCCAGGGCCAGCACGGCCGCGCAGTTGTCCCGGCGCAGGTTCGCGCCCAGGTACTGGAGGCACAGCTTGACGGCGTCGCGCATCAGCAGCGAGTTGGAGGCGGTGAGGATGTCCTCCATCTCGTCCATGCTCAGACGCATGCGGCCAGAGTATATGAAGTCCAGGACTCGCTCCAGACCCACCGGAGTCACACCGTGGATTTCCATGATGGTGATCTGCTCGTTGTTCATCGGTGGTGGTGATGGTGGTTGCAGAAGTGTTGATGTTGGTGGTGGTGATGATGGTAGTGTAGTTGATGCTTGTGATGGTGCTGATGTTTGTGACGATGAACTATGAATAGATGAATTGATAGATGACGAATATGATGATGATGATGAAGACTTCCTAATAGAAGACGAGACATCATTGAGGGCTGGTGGTGGCCGAGAGAAGAAGGACCTGCAGTAGGAGCTCGCTGCAGCCAGCACGAGTCTGTGCGCCGGGAAGGAGACGCCTCTGGCCATGAGCAGGGCATCGCACATCCATCCCTGCCCTCTGCATGACCTCAGTCCCTCCAGCAGCCGCTCCGAGTACGAAGTGGACTCCAGGACGAGGATGGTGTGCGGTCGATTCACTCGTGGCTCCCATACTGCTGGGGTATGTGTGTTTGTCTACGGGTGCATGTGCCTGCGATATTGATATGCCTACAAAATGTATGTTTGCTATGTTGATATGCCTGCTAAATTGGTATGCCTGCGATATTGATATGCTTGTTAAATTGATGTCTATGTTGATATGCCTGCTAAATTGGTATGCCTGCTATATTGATATGCCTGCTGAATTAATATTCCTGCTATATTTACGTGCGTGTTATATTTAAGTGCCTGCTATATTTATGTGTCCTGCTATATTGATATGCCAACTATATTAATATGCATGCGACGTTGACATGCAGTGGTGGTGGTGCCCGAAGAGAAAAAAATAGATCAGGAGCCCCCAGCCTTTAATCTATAGAATCCACGTGAGATGACGGATGATATGTAAAGGGGTATGGATGTAGCGACATGAGAGATGTAGACAAAATAAAAGGTGTAAAGAAGAGAGATGCAGAGAAGTGAGACGAGAGAGATGTCATTTGCCTTATGTTGATTATGATTTAAGATTAAATGTGATGTACCCCGAGTTTTCACAAATCGCGACTGCTTGGTCGGCTTATGCCGAACACCGCCTGTGTCGGCTGAAGCGGTGTTGTGGTGGACCCGGTCACGGTAGACACCACTGGCACTACCAATATCTCAACCGGTCCTGCTCCCCACCCCCCCCGGCACCCTCTTGACGCAACCTCACTGACCAGCGTGGTGAAGTATGGTCAAGCTACTCCCACGATCGACACTGCGTGGGGGAGGTCTTCATCCAGCCGTGAATTAACAGCTGTGAAACAAAATTAAAACCCATTCCATGTACAGCGTGGCCATCCGCGCACTCAAGTTTTAGGAGCTAAAGCCGAGTTTGAATCAAGGTTCGGCTACCAAAATAATAACAATTTTTTGGGGGAATTCGCTAAAAAAAAAACTCAGCATGTCAAAATCCGAAACGCATGTGAATACGAGACGGTTGGTCCTTAATAATATTAATCGGCACGAAGCAGTCCTTAAAGAGCCGCATGTTGCCGACCCACACGACTGTTAATGAATGAGAGGTACCCAAGTTAACCCGAGCACTGCGCAGCTGATAGACACGCAGAGTAGACGCGGCTTGTTATAAAAGCAGGACGTGTTTATGTAAGCATTTTGAAAGCTCACAAGAGCACTTACCTGATGCTGCTCAGTGTTCTTCAGTAATAGAACGACGCTCTTCACTGTACGCTCTTCAATTCACAATAACGGCCACTTAATTGCGAAAATGTTTTAAACGTCAAAGACCTGCCTATATAACGCGAGCACTTGGATGGCAATGAATTATGGCCAAACAACCACCATGATGATCAACGTGGGCTGGGAGACCTTCATCCAGAATTCGACTAACAAAGGGCTGACAATGTAACACTGAGCCACCTCTTGCGATGCGACTTGAGATGCCACGTAGGTTTGCAAAGTTCAACCAACACTGCCTTGTTTTAAGTCAGACGGGTGTACAATACACAGACGCGAGCTTTTGGTCTTCAAATGAATCAGCAAATGTATGACCGTAGCCCAAGATATACAAAAAAAAATGAGCTGTGGATAGCACGCACGTTGCATATATATGAGACCCCATCTCCACGCAGAGAAGAGGGGTAAAGCCCCCTGGCTCTGTAACACATGACCAGCACTTGTCTCAACACGCTTCTGGTTGTTGACTTTACACTCCCGGGTGGCGGAAACAACACAGCGGACAACACAGAGACCACGGCCCCATGCACCTCGCACCGACAACCTCCATCACATGCCGTGACCCACTCCCATCAATGCAAGCCGTGTACATGCACGGGGTTATGCATGTCCTACACGACCGCATACTTTGTGCACTCACGTCTTTGTCTGGATTAAGTAGAATAGGGAGGGGGGGGGGGGTGAAATACATCCAAAGTATTGCTAAAGCAGTCGTTCAGAACAAAGGCCACGGTTGCTCATACGAACACGTGGGGCAAATGAGTCTCGGGTTACTCATGCAGCGTGTTTTGATTTCAATAGGTGTCAACCAATACACTATTTGTTATTTACGTACAGACGATCGGGACCGACTGATGCAAATTCTGTTGAATAGATAGGAAGGTGAGATTTGGCACGAATTGTAGTCGAGCATGTTGTTAAAGAACACATTGTGCGGCCTTTATGTCAATCCACTGCTGGATGAAGACCTCCCCACGTCATGCCGGTAAGAGGAATTATATTCAGTAAATACCCCACCACGCTGGTCGTTGAGGGGGTCACAGGACCGGTTGAGTTATCAGTGAGCACTGATGCACGCCCAGGGCCTGGAATTAAACTCGCGTATCTCGGTTCATAGCGCAACGCGCTGACCACTGCGCCACCATTCCAACCCACGTGTATGCTTGTATCTAAACCAGCAATTATAACTTTGTGTTGCCAAATATTACAAGCCAAAGTTTGATTGGTTTTGGACAATATGCCTAAAGTTATAAATAGGTTAAAGTGTCACATTGAACAATTACGAAATAGAAAATACATATTAGTGGAACAAATAATATAACCTCCATGGAGTTGAGGCTAGATTCGATAGAAATCTTTTGAAGCCACTACTGGTTAGAAGTACCATTTATCTACATGCATTGTCTCATAGCCTTGTGTGTTGATGTTCTGCACACCTCCAGTTTATTTGCAGAGAAAAACCCCCCAAAATACTCACCACAAATAATTCTTACTCAATTACTAAAATTGGTAAACATCATATTATGGTTTGGAGCAGTAGCAAAGTGGTTCACCACTTCGTTATGAACCCGGCGAACCGAATTCAGTTCCCAGGTCATGTTACTGTATACGCTATGCTGTCCTATCCATGTGTATAAATTATACATTCAGAAATCATATATGTAACAAGGATGAGCAGAACAAAGCACAGACGTCTTTATTCGTGAACGTAACGGTAGTGATCACACCTGTAAACACACACCGCTACACCACCCCTTCACCTGTGCACACTTTTATCAATGGATGCCCACATTAGGTAATGTGAATTCAGTTGGACATGAGTTGCAGGAAACCTGACACCCGCAGGAACCGGCAATTCGATGAAGTCTTACGTTAGTTTACTTGACAGGTAAATTCATTATACAAGTTCAGACGATCCCCCCAAAAATTCAAATCTAAGGTAGAGCAAAAGCAATTACATGAACATCATACCCAGCCACATTAGAATGAATTGCACACCTTTATATACAGCATTAATTTACAGATCACTTTTATCACTGCACCTGTGAGCTTAGAAAAATAAAATCAACATATAATGCTCTCTTTGAACTCCTCTTATTCTTTTAAACCATCTGGCACAGACTCAATTATATAAGTTGGCATTTTGCAGCCGTGTGATTATAAATGTAATCAAGTATAGTATATACAGTGTATGTTACTTGTGAAACACGATGTGCTGTCGGTTCTGGACATCAAAACCATATTAAATGACAACCTCTTGAGCTCAAAATGATGCACCCACTTAACATTTCTGGATAATTGCTCCCGTCCCCTGCACGGAAGTTCGCCATTGTTAATTTGCTCATTGGTTTGTGTCGCTAAGTGTTAACCAATCCATTATTTTAAGATACCTAGATTGTAGAGAGGCAAGGGGTTATTTTAGGTTTGTATTGGGCTGGGGTGGGCAACCTGCGGCTTCGGTGCCGCGTGGGGCCTCTTTAAGGACCCTCTCGTATACACAAGCATTGCCGGCTCTTGAGATATTGAGAACATTTTAACGAATTTGAAAGAAAAAAATATCTCTTCTTGTTGTGTTGGTTGTGGACCCCTGGTATAGGGTTAAAAAAACTAATTTCTGAATGTTCAGGAAAGATCGCTGTAAAGCATTGCCTTGGCACATCATGCAAGATGTATGCATTACGCTTCCTACAGGTTATTATTGGTTGCACGCAATTAAGGGTTTAAGACCACGCTGGCTATAATTAAGCGTGGCTCAAATGTGCGCAGAAAAATCATTGCGTCTGAAATTTAACGCCAGAACTCTCGTTGCTCGGCTGCAAAGCTGCCAGTTACAAATTCGGCACAACATCGCACCTCGTCACCGCCAATGCAAAGCTGTCACAGGGCTAGATTTGAAGCTTTCGTGACTGCAAGGATTCATATTCTTAGGTTTTTTTTACCTACGTGACTTTACCGAAAAAACCTAAGAATGTCACAGGGCTACCACAATAAAAAAAAAGGCGACTCGTGACAACAAAAGACACATTTCCGTAACATTTCACGCGGTGCTGCGAAATTCGTCGCTGCAGGTATTACCTTGGCTGATATTACATTTGGGAACACGCAAACAGAATGGCAATCGAGTTGAGATATCGATCTCAATTGCTTCCATTGTACAGTGCCCCTACCCCTGCAGCATGCACAAAAATGACCGGAAAATATTTACACCCAAACACATAGTGTTCATATATGCCTGGTCAACTTTCGGAAAGTTTTGCCATTGCACAATGCCTCCCTCGGGTTCTCTTGTTACCAACGCGTTCAGTTTGAACTCGGCAGAGTGTAACAGGCATGGGCCACGGTGGTTTCTCTTTGCAGGCTGCATGAACGATTGCATCTGGCAATTATGAGCACTGTAATACAAGCCCAATGGGAAGTGATCAAAACTTTGGCTGAAAGGTGCTGGGCAGGCTTGGGCGAGGAAAAAAAACCCAAGCTGGATCAATTCTTGCCCGAATGGATTTTCTCATAATTTACAGAAAGTGTTGGATTTGAAAGTCCAGTGCCCATGTGCAATCACAGAACATAGGCGTTTTTTTTGCCCATAAAAAAAATTAAGTTAAGTAAACAGAAATAAACTGGCCAACAATCACTCCCAAAATTAACCAGACACCTTGACATTAACATTAAAAGGATTTCAGTAACAATTTTGATTAATTGTCAATAAAAAATATTCATGTACCGTAAGCTAACATCATGACTCCATTCCACCCACATGGAGTAACCGGTTCAGGGTTAATAGAGCACTCCGGCATGCTAATGTACCCATATGTATACATCTATGAAAGTGGTGAGGAGTCACTGTTTGAAGACATGTGGCTATTGTATGCTTGGCCCCTTTGTCAATCCACTGCTGGATGATGGTCCCCCTGTGTTGTCAAGAGTAGTGGGGGCTGTTTGACCATACCTCACCACGATTATCAGTGTGGTTTGGTGAAGGCAGGGATCATATCTGTGGGAGCATAGAAGTACAGCACAATAATCGATTTTGCTGTGCTGCCCACTGTGTAGCCTGGCAGCCCTACGAAAACTTGTTAGTGCATGGTGTTCACCTATCCAAATAATATCCGGGCTCAAACTTGCTTAGCTTCTAAGATCGGATGAGAATGGGCACATTCCAGGTGAGAACGTTGACACGGCAAGGGGTGAAGCGGTAACACAGTGGTTTACGCATTACTGTATGAACCTGATGATTTGAGTCAGATTCCTGGCCACAGCTATAACATCAGTAGCGAGTGAGATATGAACAGGTCCTGGGCACCCTCCCCATCACTTGACTAACCAGCACGGCGAGGTTATGTTAAACAACGCCCATGATCAACATGCCTCTAGCAGCCCTTTGTGCAGTAGTATATTTACAAATGGCTGTAAATTATGGACCATCTGAAAAACCAACATGGTTTAATATTCACAAACTGGAACAAATAAGTGCCTTACAGGTACGATGTACACTCCGAAATCAAGCGAAACGGGCAATGAATAACATTCTCACCATAAATTAAAGAAGCTAACACTTTCGTTCGTGTGTTATTACATTCACAGTACTGGAGATGATTAGCATTAATTTACATTAGCCCCTCTGTGACAAAATAACAATTACACCAAAGCTGTGGTTATTTCCCTCTTCTAATGGAGCATATTATTTTTATCATTACATTTAGGAATTAACACTCTTTAGGCAAAACATTAGATTCTACTGTTAAATCAGCACCCCAGCTTAAATGGATAAAATTGGAGCAATATTTGTGATATGGCTACACAATACATTCCAAATCGAGAATCCTCAATGCACCACAGCATTCACCAGTGCTCCATCCACTCAATACAAGACACGGGGATTCTTAAAGCCCGATGACAACGACATTTAAGCCATTGGTGCCACAAATGGTCACCACAGAGTGGATGGTTGGGTGGGTCGGGTGTGCGGGCAGATTGGTGGAGACTGTGTCCTAGTAGGACCTGGCCCCACCGGCCCACTGGAGGAGCCATCCCCACTGCCCCACCTCAGCCCTCCGTGCGGATGGGGAAGGCGTGCGCCTCGGTGTTGAACACATGCTTGTCGGGCGAGAGCAGCGCTTTGTTGTCGGAGAAGAGCAGGAAGAAGTACTTGAGCGTCTCTCCAAGGAAGAAGCTTTCCATCTTGTCGCGGGGCTCCGGGTTGGAGGGGCTCCGCACGTTGTTTATGGAGGAGTAGCCACCCGTGGCCACCTGGAAACGTGAAACACACCGGCGGCCCTCGTTTATACATTTGGGGTGGAAGCAAGCACTTTGTAAATGTGAGGCATCTTAAACAAAATAATCCTCCAGTGAATTTCGATTTAAAGCTTTCGTGACTGCAGGGATTCATCTTCTTGGTTCTTTCGGTAAAGTCACGTAGAAGGGAAATAATCAAATAATAAAAATAAACCAATTAAATAATTCTCACGACGTTTCGGCCACAACGCAAGCAGCTGTCCTCAGGTGAAGAACAGGTCTGTCGGAAAGACAGCGTCTGAATGTTCTTCACCTGAGGACGGCTGCTTGCGTTGTGGCCGAAACGTCGTGAGAATTATTTTATTATGTTTTATTTTTATTATTTCCCTTCTACGTGACTTTACGGAAAGAACCAAGAAGAAGAAAAAATCCTCCACTGATTTGGCTGGGTGGCTCAGGATGCAAGAGCAGTGAGCCGGCACTGCTGAGACCCTGACTGCAATTTGGGTTTAACCCACTCGTCAATAAACTGGGCTCTCAAGTGTAGCACATTGATGGTCAGAGTTCAGTCAACGATGACTGCACATTTAATTGTTTTTCACTTCGTTTGCCAAAATCTCAGTTCTGAGAATCAGAAAATAATTGGTTTGACTGCTACGTATCAAACATCTCTCCATTTAAAAGGGAGCACCCTCGTGTGGATATCTGAAAAAGTAGTTTTGTGACCTGGATTCCATTCCCCAACACAGTGTGATGCACTGCTCCAACAGAGTTCCAAATGAATGCTTAGTTTCAGGACGTGATGCTGATGGCATGAATTTAATACATTTTAAACAAAAAAACCCGTTTAAAAAATTGTCCTCCAATTAGCAACATGGGAAATATTCTTTCGGGATTTCTTTTAATACTCATCAGGATTAATGTCCATGTTGAAAACAGAAAAATCCCAGCTCAGCACATCGTTCCTAGTCCCAGCTTTTACAAAAATACAAACTTTCCACATTGCTACAAGTTGCATTTGTATTCAATGCATTAAGCAACTGTGGCCTACATACACAGTTATGCCAACGTCCACATTCATTAATGAATGGAGCATGGCTTATTTACACCAGCTTTTATTGAATGTATCAGTTTACATACACCGTGTACACTGTATCAACAGTGGTTAATCGACAGTCCCCCCAATGACTATCCCACTCGCCCAGCCTCCTTGGCGATACCAACACACGTGTAATTAGTGTTTGGAAGTGATAGAAGTCTGGCGTAACAGTGACGACAATCTGCGTGGCAACATGACAACACAATTAGAGCTTGCCGTGCTGCGGCACTCGTGCACTGCCGCAGTGACTCAGAAGCAAACAGGCATGGTGACTGGTACGAGAGGAAACGTGCATTTAGAGAATTTGGCACGCCACTTCAATGAGCTGTCATTTGGGCCAGATCGCTTCTGAAAAAAAGCTATATCGCTCAGTGGGCCGTAACTGGTAAAATAAAAAGTTTAGTTTGTAGTTTAGATTGAGGTAAGCAAGTAATGGGAGATTTTTACGAGAGGCGGTAAGTGACCGGTCTCTGACGTTATCTGCTCTGGCAAGTTCTCCAAACGTGGGTTCGCTGTCACCCCACTCCCACACTCCCCCACCACCCCTTCTCCCCACCAACCCCTGACCCCCATCTTAACCTTTCCCACATTTGTGTGCGCTGGGGCCCGTCGAGTAAAGCGGCTGTTGACTCTCGGCGCTCTCGGGCCTGCCCCAGCCTGTCCCCTCGCCCCCCACAAAACACGTGCACTCGCGTCCGCGTAGCCGACCGACCTTGATGTGCGCCGCAATAGCGGGTTAAAGAGCAACTTCTCATCCACTCCTTGCGGCTCTCAGCTGCTAAACATTAATATGATTTCACCGTTGTCTTGCAAGAGCCACCGTTAAAAACCATTTCAAGCAATCGTATCTCTACCCGCAGTGCTGCCTGCTTGCTGGCAGGTTGTTTTTAACCTCACAGCACTCGTAAAATGATGTTACCGTGTGAGTCAAGCAGCCAACGAACCTCTTGCAACATCCTTTGTTATGTATAAGTGTGGTGCTGTAAGTCAATGTTCCATCATGCTATGCTGGCATGGTTTGCATTGCTTACTTAATGAGTGTAAATCTGAATCAATATTTTTTTATGATTGCTGAGCTGGTATTCTTGGGTCTTTCGGTAAAGTCACATAGATAGGTTCAAAGAAAATACAAATAAACATTATTTGAACCTATCTACGTGACTTTACCGAAAGACCCAAAAATATAAATAGCTACAGTCACTAAATCTCAAAGTTCTGAGCTGGTATTAGCATTAGTGAGAGTTGCAATTATTTTTTGGCTTAAGGCAAATATAATGATTTCTTTATTAACTCCAGTTATCTCGCCGAGTCTCAAGACACATTTTAGGTGAGTCCTGCTTTGGGATGCTTGGCCAACTATAAGCAGGGTTCGTGTGAGAGGAAAACAGAGTGCCTGGAGAAACCCCACATATGATGGAAAAGCAGCTCTCAAGCTCCATCGAGTAGCTTGGCAACCTACAAGTTGCACTGCCTCTTTGGGACCTCAGAAAAAAGTGCATCAACAGAGACTGATGACAGTTAGCAATGATTAGTGAAAGTGTACCACCAAGATGATTCGGATTTTTGTTTTCAAATTGAAGAGGCAAGTAAAGAATGCTAACGTTGACTCTGATCGAGTTAAGTATGATACAAAATTAACGAAAAATTACAATTTGCAATAAAACACAACTGGAATTTACACACCATGTATAACTGCATCTCTAGATGCTGAAGAAAAGTTGGTATATTTATTATATAGAGAGGCAGCCGCTCATCGGCAGAGAAAAAAAAAGAAAGGTCTTAAGCCTAGACTTGCGCACGGACAGGGAGTGATCGCCACAGATGGTTGGGGGAAAGGAGTTCCAGGCTATGCGAGCAGCAGCAGAGAAGAAGCGACCTCCCACCGAGTGAAGGTTGAACGGAGGCCTCGATAGAAAGTTTCGTTTACTGGAGCAGCGAGTCCATGGATGGCAGTAGAGTAAACTTAACTATTTTTTATTTTACCAGGTAAAGCCCACTGAGCTATATAGTTATTTTTCAGAATCAACCTGACCACAAATGATAGCGCAATGAAGTGGCTCATCATGTGGACATTTATACTAGCCAAATACTATAAACGCATGTTTCTGCAAACTCCAAATATACAGACGTCAGGGTCGGGATCGAACCCACGACCTCCTGTATACCAAGCAAGGTAGTTAACATCTCGCCACCGTGGCACCCCTCATGTAAGACGTGAGGATAAGGATGGAATATGACTGCTAATACGCTGTTTGTAGTGTGCACTCATTGAGGACTGTGTTAATGCCGAGCCATCCGAGTACGCACCCGTGTGTATCTCTGGAAGCTCTGGAAGATCTCCCATCCCCAGTCCTGGTACTTGACTTTGTCGGTGAAGCGATGGAGGTAGAAGAGGCTCTCCACCGTCTCGGGTCTCAGCAGGTTGTGCCTATCAGCAGGCTGTAAGCACACAACATCCACCATGGTGCTTGTACCAGGCTAGGTGCAGTTTGATGCCAAATGAAGTGGCAAAGGCTCACTGGCAGGAAGGAGGTCAAGACGCACAAAACTTGTGTGTGTGCACTCCCATGCATATAACCTGAACAAACTGTTAGGCCATGCTGTTAGCCTGCACCTACTTAGGCCTGCGTGGCACACAAGGAAGAGCTGTGTACAGCACTACGCTAGACCGGCATTGTCTTCAGGGTAATAATAAGGGTTACACACTGCACCACATACTAATTTAAAGCCGAGTTAACCTAGAGGAGGCCAAGGACTGGTTAAGTTATCACTGCGATGACGTTAGCCATGGGTGGGAACTGAACTTTGGTCTCCAAGTTCGTAGCAGAGTGCGCGATCCACTACGCACCCCCGCTCTTCATCCTTACACGTGCTCACATGCGCACACACACGACAGCATGCTACGCATAACTCACTCTTGACAGGAAGGGTTATAAGGTGCACATCTGTGTTTATTTTAAGCTTTAAGAGCTTGGATTGTATACTCATGTCCTGCAGGGAATGTGACTCGTACGGCCGGTTACAGCATGCGTTGAGAGAATTTTCCCTCCTCTTGCTGTGAACATTATCTGTGAGTGCTGAGCATTATGAAGTGTTTGTCAGAGACCATTAGTGATGGTTCTGAATGAGTGCTGTGTGCCTTCATAGCATACGACGGTGCTGTGACTTTGCCGACAAGATCGGCGCAGCACTCCCACTCACGTGAGACTCTGCAGATCATGGAATTTATCCCGAATCATTACTTTTAGGTTGAAGTTTATTTTTGGCAGAATGGTGATAACTTCCCACAGTTTCACTCATTTCTCTTTCGCCTGATTAAAAGTATAAAAAATATACACGTGAGTTTTATGGATATTCTCTCAATGCAGTTGTACTTTGCTTATCGGAAGGAGCAATTCCAACACAAGAGATGATTGATGGGATGGTGTGCAAGCTTATGCATGTGTGTGCATTCAGGAGCAAACATGCATGCATGAAACTGAATGTGTGGGTGTGTGGGTGTGTGTGAATGTGCATTTGCATGTGTGAGTACGTAAATAGGTTTATGCACGCGTATAAGCGTGTTGCTCATGCCTGTGTGCGTAAGTATCTTGCACGAGCGTGCGTACGAGTATACGTGCATGTCTATGCGTACATGTGTGTGAATCTCCCAGGAGCATTTATATTCCTGTGTGGCTATGACTGTATGTCTATGAAAACAAGTGTTAAAATGTGTATGTATGTGTGGAAACAAAGGCGGCCAGGCGTGGTGTTGGGCACCCACCCCCTCGTGTGCCGTGCAGGCTATCATAGGCGCTACTCGCTAACAGCACTTGCATCAACAGTCTGTTCAGGCTACACGGGGATCTTTGTCTTTGTACGTGTGCATATGTGTGAGCACGTTCTCAACGGACCTTGACTTCGATGTCGTGCGTGCTGCCCGCCTGCATGTTGAAGTGGCTGATCTCAGGGCTGAGGCCAGTCTCCATCTGCTGGTACATCTGGTAGCAGGTCTCCAGCAGCTTTTCAGCCAGCTCCATGTGCGAGGGGTCCAGTCCGTGCCGAGCTCCCAGCGCTAGCGTCCCCGGCAGAAAGCAAACCAGGTGGTCCTACGAAAGTGGGAGTAGAGAGGGAGGGGGGATGCTCAAACGAATTCAAAGGTGTCTCATTCAGCCTTCTATACTCTGTTTGGCCCAGTGATGTTGTACATGTACAGCTTTTTTCCACCATTAAGTAAACCTGCTTTTAGCCTCAACCTTCAACCCCGTTTAGCCTCTGTGATCTAACGAGATCAGCGCGGTAGGCTACGTACGGTGTGAAAGAAGTTCAACGTACATACATTATTCAGGAGCATTGGGAGAGATTTTGGTGTAGGCGAACATATGCTCGTTTTTAATACACAGCAGCCTTAGCGGTGGGCGATCAAGGCAGGATAGTGAAGATAAGGGAGGCGCGATGCACTCACCATTTTCGGTTTGAGAGCCCCACTGATGAGCTCCCCAATGAACGTCAGGTGGTTGGGCTGCGACGTCCCCAGCAGGTGCTTCTGCATCCCGCTCATAGCCTCCAAGTAGCTGTTAAGTAAGCTGCACCAAGGAAACACAGCACACAGCGGTGCATGCGCACAAACTCATCAAGACCCAGTGAAGGAAGCAAGTTTCAGAATTCCCCTCCATGGGAGCCGTGTTCAGGCTGCCAAAAAAAGGAACAAAAATGTCCGCTCCAAATTCCGGGAAAGTTAAATGTTGTCCGTTTTTTTATGATTGTGGGCTAATAGCCGTTTACAGCCCAATTTACATTGGATTTGCATTAACCGTGTGCCTTGAGTGAAGGCACTCTATAAATATAAATGAATAATCATATTGTTTTAACTCAGATACCCCTCCCCTCCCACCGCCCCATTAACCCAGATAATCACATTATACACCAATTTTACCTTCAGGCTAATGAAACGAGACGGAACAAAACAGACGACACTATACAAAACGCAACCGATTCCCGATTCGAACCACGGCAATTAATCACACCTGCAAGAAACCGTGCCCCGCGGCAAACACCCAGTACGCGCGCGCACACACTCACTGCTTCTCGCGCTTGCCTCCCTGCAGCCACTGCTTGAGCAGGTATTCATAGTAGCTGTCGGCGCGCGCCCCCATCGTGTAGACGCCGGCACGAGAGAACTGCCCCGAGTGCGTGTTGATGAACATGGGCACGAGGCCGTCCAGCTTCCCGCTCAGCCCTAGCACGTGATGAGTCACCGCGTCTGCCGCGCCCTGCACGCCGCCGCATTCCGACGGAGGGCGCTGTCGTTAAGCAGGATACTCACCTTTATCCTATTTTTTCCTGTGACCAAACCAGAGGTCGCAACCGGGTACCCGATACCCGTACCCTACCCGTACCCGGCCGGGTAGGGGTAGGGTACGGGTACGGCCGGGTACGGGTACCCGTTTGTGACCCTGGTGCGGCCGGGTACGGGTAAGGAATCAAAACCCGTTTGCAACCTCTGAACCAAACCGATAAAAAATGTGCCCGATCTCGTCGAACCTCGGCTGATAGCCAAGGGTTGAGCCTGCACATTGCGTAGATAGGCGACCACCGTGCACAACAGGTGTTAAAGGCTGCTGCGGCGCTTTGTTCCCAGCAGGAAGCAGTGCAGCAAATGTCATTGTTGAGTTATACCACGCTACAATGTTTACGCTCTACACCTTCACCAACCCACACTGACCAGCATGAAAAATCATGGTCAAAAAACAACCTGTGACCCACGAGGTGTGTGGGGAAGCGCTCATCCAGCAGGAGATGGACAATACACATGAACATTACCATTCATGGCACTTCATATTAACTTGAAAATAACATATAATGGGTTCTTTCGGGTAAGTCACGTAGATAGAAAATACAATTATTATAAATTATTTTATTTGTATTTTATATCTAGGTGACTTTACCGAAAGAACCAAGAAAATGAATTCCTGCAGTCACGAAAGTTTTAAGTTGAAAATAACAGCCTATTATTAACTACTGCTGCAGGCACTGCTCTGTCACGTGAGCGCCAAATGCAGTCACATAGAGGCCCGGCAACGGTCAACCCTCTCGCACCTCCGAATGGCACGGTTGGCTACGTACGGTGCGAAAGAAGCTAAAACATACGTACGTACATACGTACGAAAACACAAACCTTGTACTTGGGGTCGCCAGTGAGGTGACTGAGCTCACGGAACTCCAGCTGGATACTCGTCACCTCAGCCACGGAGCTGTCGGACGTCCACTTGGGGGGGTGCGCTTGACCCGTCCCCAGGTTCACATCCGAGTAGGGCACCTTGGAGGGCGTGTTGAATGCCGGCATTAGCCGGTTTCCCAGGTCGACCTGCCAAATGGCATGAGGACGATAGGTTTTGAGCAAATAATTCTGATCAGCTTCTATCCCCAATTATGCTATCGGTATCATGTGACGAAGAATCATTTTGGGTCTCTCACAGGGCAGAGCGACCCTCTTGTGTTAGACAAAGGCCCACGGAAGTGGATTCACAGAGCTACCTCTGAGCACGTGACATATGGGACCACAAGAGGGCAGCAATTTCCAACTAGCCCTGCCACTGAAAGTAATGTTCGTTGCATGTTAGGAGGATGATGCACTGACTGCACATTGTTTATTTGGACGTTTATTTTTTGTGTACTTGCTGTATCAGCAGCGGGCGATGGAGCGTTGCGTGTGGTCCTACAATAACGTCCATTCTTGTCTCAAAAGAAATGTACTTCCCTCTCCCAATTATGTGAAAAGGGTGCCTTTGCAAACCTGTTACGATGCAAAAAAAATGTCCACTCAGAATTATGGCAAAAAGTAGTGCACCACCTCATGTCAGAGAACGTCCCCGGAAGGCATCACAGAAACTACTTCTAGTAATTTTACCACAGAGTACGTGTTTTATATTTTTCGCAAAGTTTGTTTGTTGATTGTTAATCAAATTCATTTTTTTTTATTCTCTGAGATTAAATACATTGAAGTAAAAAAGACTCGATGGTATTTTTTACCACCTCTAACATTATTTCTTGTCTGTTATCTCAAGTGCACAACTTTCTTGCTCTATCATTATTGAAAATGTTAAATCAGTAAATAATTTGTATCTAATTTGCATACGCCATAGCTGATGCATTCTCAAGTAATGGAATTATGCATATATTGTGAGCAAAAGAATACATGTTGGTGGCTAAATTGATACGTCACACAAGTCCCACCATCTTCAAATGCAGCTGCATTGAGATGCTACGCGAGTCCTGCTTGTGTTGTAGATCGTCACAGGCCTAGTACCACAGCCCTGTGAGCCAACCAGCCACCTCGAACTCACGGCCTTGTCGAGGAAGAGTTTATCTCCCGTGAGGTGGAAGGTGCCCAGCAGTCCCCCCATGATGCGGATCGTCGACTCAAACAGGTTCACGTCCACGTTCTTGGCGAAGTTCAGCTTGGTGCTCACCCACTGCCGCGCCTCCTCAAACTCTGCCGCACACAACATCGCGCCGAGCGTCAACCCAGCGCCTGGATGGTGCAAATGTACATTGCATGTCATAGGAATGCATCAAAGACAATGATCCCCCTGTTTCGCCATTTGACACGACTGTTGGGGCAAGTGTTGTTAGCGAGCAACGATAAAGGCCAACGGGGCACCTAAGGGGGTGGGGTGGCCAGCACTACGTCCTGCCACTTTTGTCTCCCGAGTGGCCATGTGTACACACCGCAGTAGGCACTCATTTTAGGCCGAGTCGACCTAGGGAAGGCCCAGGTCCGGTTCAGATAACCGTCACTGGAGTTGGTGGCCTTGAGCGGGAATCGAACTCGGGCCGCCAGGTTCGTAGCACAGCGTGCTAACCGCTGCATTACCGCTGACCATAGAAATGCATCACCAACACGTTCGCAAACACATGCAACACGTCCGTGCGATATAAACTATAAGGGCAGTATATTCTTAGGTTTTTACGGTAAAGTCACGTAGGTGACGGTTCCACCTGAAGACGGAAGCTTGTGTTGCCTCCGAAACGTCGTGATTTTTATTTCATTTTACTTTTATTAATAAAAAATGTTTTACCTACGTGACTTTACCTAAAAAACCTAAAAACCTAAAATATGAATCCTTGCAGTCACGAAAGCTTCAAATCTATAAGGGCAGTGCTTGACACTCGTGGTGGCGGTGAAGTAAGCAGGACGAGTGGCAAGCGACCGTCCTGTATGCGTGTCTCCGCCCACCGTTCTCGAGGCCCATGATCCACATGGTGTCGAGCGCGTCCAAGATGGTGAGGCCCAGGCCGAACCACTCGCTGAAGGAGTGCGACAACGGCTTCAGCTCGTCGTGGCCCCATGCAAACTCACGGTAGCCTCGCCACGCGTGCAGGAACGCCTCCACCACCGCCTGCTGGCGCGGGTTCAGGCTGTGGACTGAACATAACCAAAGATTCACGAGACTGGCGAAGGCCTTGGCCACGTAAAAATGTATGCGTGTCGTTTTACTTGTTTACTGCCAAATGCTGGGCATGACGTCGTTTAAATCTGTGTGTAACGTACAGCCCGTGGGTCGGTAACAGTCCACAGTATGGTTAAGACCGCCCTGTGAACTTCAGGGGTATGTGAACGTTCATCTAACAACTCTGCGGGTTTTTTGTTGCTAACAGGCTAGCACGCCCACTTTTGTTCACAAACGTGACATATCCGCAGATGCGTCATCAAGTTCATAAATAGTCTTGTCTGCCAATGAGACATATTTATAAATGCGGCATCAAATTCGTGAAGTTTCCAAGTGACCCTCTCCACCTGTGCAGAGCTAGGAGGTTCCCTAATTTGGTACGAGCTCAAAAAAGCTTGCACACGCCTAGCCTAAACAATATTGGCTAAATTATCAATCGATTCAAATAATTCTTATGCTCGTGATACAAGCATCGAATTGTGCATGTAAGAATCAAATGTTGTTTTGTGCTAAACCGTGCAGCCACCATACTACGCACGACTGAAGTGCAATAAAGCATCGAATCATGAAAAAAATCGTGACCCCAAATACAGACAACTCATAAAATCTTGGAGGGGAGTAACCGCTACTTTTCTACTGCACAATGAATCCGTACGTACACATGCAATTCGTCTTGTTCTGCGAAAAGCCAATTCGTGGGTTTAAAAAAGTGGATAGAGTATTGGTGCCACTATATCTTAATTTCTTTCTGCAACTGAGGCTTTTCATTCAAAAGAAAATTCAGCACAGTCAAAGGTTGAATAGAGTGCCACTCGCTGTCACGCTTACCCTTATTAGGCTCCTGATTGGCGACTGCACCATGCAAATTGGATTCATCCTTCCCGTCAGCGACGATCAATTTTGAAGAATTCACTCCCAAACCATGATCCCTGCAAGGGCAGCACAAGGAAAGTTCTAAACAGTAAGCCGATACAGTACACTTGGCTCGCAGCGTCTGTAGTGTGGGCATGAAGTTGAGCTCAACAATTAGACTCTAGTGACGAATATTCAACTTTCACTTTCAATTATTTGGATGTCAATGTAAAAGTGAATTTTTATAATACATTTCAAATAATAATATAACTTAACCAAGAAAACCACACTAGCTATACCATTTATTAAGAGGGTCCACTCTTGGGAGATTTAAAGCATTTATATGAGGGAGATATCAATTAAATGGGATCAGGAACCCATTTGCAGTACTGCCATCTCCTGGTCAACTCTCAGGTCAGTGAGTGTAGGAGTTTCAGAAATCTACATGATTCACCAACCACACCAATGTCGCCAAATCACTGCATTACATGCGTGGGTCACCACTTAGGAGGTCCGTACACCAATTGTTTAAAAGCAAACAACTGATTTGAAAATAAATGTTCACTTAATTTATGTTAAAAATTTTTTAATGATTATTTCGATTAATATTTTGAAATGTATGGGCCACGTGTGATCTTCTCAGTGGAACGTTGAAAGACATTAAAGATATTAAGGAAAGTAAATGGACTTGGGCAGAAAAAATCGCGACAATAGACGATGGCTGATCGCTGACACCGGTGACGCAATAGCAGCCAAAGTAGAGGACGCGCCCAAAAGCTACGACCACCTCAGAGATGGAGCAATGAGATCAGCTCATGTACAGGAGCAAGATGGATTGTGGCATCGCAGGACTGTCGAGAGATAGCATCGGCGTGGGGAGGCCTTCAGCAAGCAGGTGACAGACCATGCCTCATTGTGATGATCAATGTGCACAATGTGAGATAGCATTTTCACGAGGTTGTAACTAAACAGTTATTACTAGTGTTGGCAGGTGGTGTTAATGACAAGCAATAGACCTGGGTTCCAAGGGCTTGGCAACCTGGCCCTGCTTTTGAACAGGTGGGCCCCTCCGCAAGGGCTTCTTGGGCTTCTGCTCAAATGGACACGGATACAAACACACGCACACAAGTTTGCCACCGTAAAGTCAACGTGCACTTTGCAAAACTAATACCCGTGCACCCCAAAGCGCTGAAATAGCACTGTTATAATTAGAGAGACAGCGGCTGCCTTGAAGGCCATATAAAAACAGCATACCTTTAAAACTTGGCACAGCAATTGTTAATTTTGCGTAGGATTACCTTGGACCACCATTTCAAGTGTGAGCATTCACTGTCCTTATGTAAGCATTGGATTCAGGCTACCAGCACAAAAAGCAACACTTGAACATTTTAGAGACAGCCTTATCATAAGTTAAACAACTTGCTGATGACTTAATGACAAGTGCTCACTGTGCTCTTTATGAACATGGGTTACTGTGATATATGTATGGCCTTTTGTAAATTAATTTATGGATGAATCCTAGTCATGGGGGTTATTTTAATGTATGTAACCAATCTGGTCAGTGCGGGTTCGTGAAGGCAGGGAGCACAGACATAGAAGCCACTGATGTACAATACAACCCCAAGTAGCCCTACAGGCCCCATGACAACCTGTTTGCGCATGGTGGTCACCCATCCAAGCACTAATCCAGGATGAACCCTGCCATGCCTTTAAGATCTGAGGTGATCGGGTGCATTCCAAGTGCCAGGCTGTGTGCTGGTATCAACCTAATTCTGTCATGCAGATCATAGGGACAAACTTCGCTTGAGAATGTGACCGTTTTACCCGACTGACAATTCTCACATGCTGGTCTGCAAAATGAATGGTGAAATTCTCAGAGACTGCAAGATTTACCGGGTTAAGTTCCTGGGCGACCTGGCGTTGCGCATTTCTGTCAGGGTCAGCATCGGGAACGTGTGGCTTCAAAGTGCGAACCTCCAAGACATAGCGATGGGATTCTCCTGCCATGCAGACGTGGAACAAGTCAGCAGCCTCTCACAGCACGAATAAGAAGCCAGGGCAAACTGCGGCAGTGTGCATTTCCGCTCAGAAGCCACACCGAATGACGTCAAACCAAAGTCGCAATCCGTATCGAGTACGGATGAAGGGGTCACTACCATGAGTGAACATTGTGAATTTCGATTTAAAGCTTTCGTGACTGCAGGGATTCATCTTCTTGGTTCTTTAGGTAAAGTCACGTAGAAGGAAAGTAATAAAATAATAAAAATAAAACATAATAAAATAATTCTCACGACGTTTCGGCCACAACGCAAGCAGCCGTCCTCAGGTGAAGACCAGGTCTGTCGGGGAGACAGCATCTGAAGAAACGTCGTGATAATTATTTTATTATGTTTTATTTTTATTATTTTATTACTTCCCTTCAACGTGACTTTACCGAAAGAACCAAGAAAATGAATCCCTGCAGTCACGAAAGCTTTAAATCGAAATTGTGGATTTTGTGAACAGTAACAGCCGCATGGTTGTGAGCTTCCAAGGCATTTATTGTCCAAAATGGTCTCATTGTTAACCGGTTGGGATTGTTTTGCCAGTCTTGGCTCATACACTCAGCGCGCTGGCATGCCTTGTTTGTTTTTAAAGGGTGCAAATCTTGCGGTGCTATTTTTATTTTCAATGCTGGCCCCGGGATTTACGACACGCACAGTGACTTGTTGGGGCCATGGCCAGGATCGCGTTGAACGTTATACCAACTCATGCACAGCCGTGAGCGTACGCGTACTTATTTAAGTTGTCACAACATTAATGTAAATGGATACACTATGTCCCACGTATATGATGTGGTTTTTGGTAATGCGTAAAAATATAGCAAATTCAAATATAAATTGAAAGCTTCACACCCGAAGCTCAAAATGTGAACAGCATGCAGAGCAATACTCAATTATTGTGAGCGGTTACTAAAATCTGTACAGAAACGTCATGTGCCAGACATTTGCCACGGGTTTTGTTAAGAAATAAAATATAAAAAAACACTTTTTTTTAAATACGCTTTAATTAAATGTACTGTCCGAGCTGTCCCTCCTCCTGCCCTCTTCCCCCATCGCCCCTCCCCTCCTTCCACATCCCCCGCCCCTGGGCGTGGCTCCCCGAGGCTTGCCGTGACGTAAGGGACCACGTGTTGATTTACAGGCAACGTGAGTTGAGCGTGGACAATTAGAGCCGTAAAAAAGATTGTTTAAAAATATATATTTAAAATTTGTAATGATAGAATATAGTCTTGTCATCAGTATGACATACCTATACCAAGTTTGCAGTCGATACATTGGGAATACGGTTGAAATTGAGTGACAAGATTTTTTTTGAGGATACAACAGACGGAGTGAGTTAAATAAAAGCGTGTAATAAAAAATAAATATGCGAGGACACGAAATCCCTAGTTTAGCCAAATATTTTAAGAACTGTAAACTATCATTTCTGAACAAGCATAGGCACAAACAAGCTAACAAAAGCGTGGTCAGCTTCCATTTGTAAAGTGGCAAGGGATTTTGTTGTGCATGCAGGCAACTGTACCCTGGAGGTGGTAAGCAGCGAAGGCAGTTCCCAACACAATGAAGAGGAAGAGAAGGATGCTCCGCTGCAGTCGAGATAAGCGCTTCCACCTCTGTAGCAAGAGCACATTTTCACAACAGCAATGTGACACAGACACACAGCACAGTGCTGCACAATCCCTTACCGAGACTCCAGAGTGCACCGTGTGGTGCTTTCAAGGAAAGTGAAAAACACTCGTAAATAATTAAGTGGAGGCAGCATTCGACATTGGAAGAGTACGTGCGACTGCCACCAATGCGGCGGCCTCTCTTCAGAATCCGAAATACATTCTCATTTAATGATTCAAACCTACCCCAGCAGCCATTCAACGATCTGTTGTGATTTGGGGGTGTCTAAATTGAAGAATGAGCTTTTTGACGATTTGTCGTGTGCCCCAAATAGTTGCATGGATCACGTGAACCAATTACATAGAAGATACAATTATTGCCATTTATAGCACTCTGTCATCTCACTTCTGGATGAAGGCATTCCCACACCGTGTTGGTCACGTGGCTTGTTTGACCACACGGGTCAAGAGTGCGTTGGTAAATTAAGCGCCCAAGGACCGGATCAGGTATTACTCATCACTGATGTTAACTATGCCAGGAATCAAACTCAGGACCTCCAGGTTAACAGTGCAGTACGTGACCACTGCGCCACCGCTCCAGCCATATTGGAATAAGAACAATTCACGCACGATCCATGCTTGTAGTCTGCATTTGAAAAAAAAAGTTTACTTTTACACAGGTGACCTTTGTAAAACGGATGTTTAATTTCCATGGGTTCTCACCTAGTAAAGCAATGTCAATAAGTCACTCATTTTAAATTCATGAAGTGATGCAACCTCAGAGGCTTAATATGCGTACAATTACGACACCATTAACGCATGATGGGGACACTCTGTCTGTGGAGTGGCCAAACAGGATATTTCTCCTCCGTCCTCATGTAATTGCAGTGCACAGAATGTGAACACCCAACTCATGGAAGGTAGCTGGATATAATTACTGCCAAACAACAGTTTGTGAAAATCCTTGGGAGTGTATGTTGACGCACAGTCATTTTTGTCCCCGTGACGTGTGGAGAGTATTGTGAATGTGTAACCGCGCTGGCAGCTGAGAGCAAGGGGAGCAGTGAGTGGGTTCACGACCACGGCAGAGGTTAGGAAACATATGGGCGTCTTTGTATCAGCTGCGAAGTAAAGGCAGCGCTGAGTCACTGTGACGTGCGTACTCGGCTTCCTGCTGTTACCCAAACGTGTTGATGAGAACAAAAACATACTATGGAACAGTGTGAACTTGTTTCCTTCTCTTAGGAACAATTGAAATGTGATTTTCGTGTTTATTTTAATAGTACACAGTGATAACGAAAGGCAGGGGAGAAGAGGCAGGCGATTGAACAAGCCGTGCGTGGATGACATCAATTGTGCCGCGCCAAAGACATATCTCCTGTAGAGGCTTTAACACAATCTTGGGGCAAGTGCTGTTCGTGAGCTCCTATTAAGGCAGGAACCGCACACGAGAGGGGTGGTGTGGCCAGAACCATACCTGGCCGCCTTTGTCTCTCCTAATGCTGATATTTATACCACACTAAGTACTAAATTCAGGGATGTATTGACCTAATGGGAAGCTCAAAACCGGTTTAAATATCACTCACCACTTGTGTTAACTGTGGCCAATAATCTGCTCCATACATTTACCAGGCCATGGTTTACATCAGCGGCGAGTGCTTTCTAAACAAGTCCTGGGCTTCCCTCCCTTACCCACTGGGGGAGACAAAGGCAGCCGGGCGAAGAGCTGACCGCACACCACACTTGTGGAGCACCGAGCCAGTCTGGTTAGATGCTCGATCAGCACTGGGGAGACAAACGTGCCCATACCTGGTGCTTGCCACACAAACACGGCTGAGTGCGATAACAGCCTTGCAAAGATAGTTGCCAAGAGCACTTGTCCCCCAGCAGTGTGTTAGAGTTCAACACGGAGTAGCTTTCACGACCAATATCATCCATAATAGAGGTTTTTGGGGGGTTAGATTGCGTTAATATATAAATGTGTCGTTAAACCCGCCACCACCCGACACAGCCATATAGTAAGGGGTTGTCACATGAACAGAACGTGGCCAATTCGTCACTAGTCCAGCACTAGTGTATAGTGTAGTAGTGTATAGTAGTGTAGGGGTATAGTAGTGTATAGTGTAGTGTACTTAAATTTCGATTTAAAGCTTTCGTGACTGCAGGGATTCATCTTCTTGGTTCTTTATTATGTTTTATTTTTATTATGTTATTACTTCCCTTCTACGTGACTTTACCGAAAGAACCAAGAAGATGTAGTGTACTTGTACAGCACACCGGTATGTTGGAGAGCCAAGCCACGACATTTACAATCTGAGTACGACGTTTCGCCAGTAATTACATACTAGTTGTAATGACACATTTATATATTTACGCGCTCTAACTCGATTATAATGTGTTAAAGACGACACGTGCGGGTCTCTATGATGCTACACGCACCACCAATACTCAACCACCAGGGGTCACCCTCTGTGTTTACTGACTGAGTGTGGCCAGCCAATGGAAACGGTGCTCACTGCGTGTCACTCGAGCGAGCAATCCGCACTGTCAGTGGACGAATACAACCGATGGTGTGGGCCGTCCGTATTGGTTGTGGATTTGAAAGGGCGTGGAGATGGTGTGGTGGGAGGTGGTGCGCCGTTAGCAGTCACGGCAATCCGATTGGCTAGCAGGTGGAGTTGTCACTTCGCGATTTCCGTCGGCAGATGGCAGCACCGAGTCAGCATGCCCCGTGCACTGTGACAGACGAGGCAGCACAGGCCGCCAAAGAATTTGAGTCTGTGAATGGGTATCAGAATATTTATTTAGACTAGATAAGCTGCAAAGCTCTTTTTCACAGATGTCCAGGAGGTGTGTCAATTAATGCCGATTATTAAGCTCGTGACAAATGCATTTCATTGTGACAATTTTTTTTTATCATTTCAAGAAAATATATGCAAATTATGAGCAAAGTTTGCATTTAGGGAAAGCGAGCAAACACAACTATGCAAATCAGACAGAAAAAATACAAATATAGAGCAGACAGTAGAAAAACATATGATCAACTGATACACGCTGAGTAATTACATTATTCCAAATGCTATCAGATTTTTGTATAGTATTTGGTTATTGTGGAGGTCGTGGGTTCGAACCAGACCCGGACGCTTACATATTTGTAGTTTGCGTGTCTCTATCCTCGTGGTCGCTTGGATTTTTCTCCGGGTCCTCCGGTTTTCCCCTCCACATTAATAAACGCGCGTTTAGAGTATCTGGTTGCTATACATTTCCACGTGATAAGCCACTTCGTTGAGCGAGAATGTATTACCAGGTCGCTTCTGAAAAAGAGCTACATAGCTCAGTGGGCCTTATAGTTTAGTTTAAATCTAATTTTACAGTGTATCCATATGTAAATTGTAATACATTTTTGCATCGATATTTCTACATCTGATTAAACTGTATCACGATTGTTTTGCTTTTATTCAGGTCTACGATTCCACTTTTGGTCCCATTAGACTTGCTGGGAAAAAAAGTAACATATTTATTTTGCCTGCTATTATAAGATGCAATGATATACAGTACTGTAATATTTATTGATCTAAAGCTCTGAGTCAGACCTCATTTATAAATAATTTAATGACCGTATATGGTACGAATCCAATTCATTTTGAAGTTTCCATACATGTTTTGGAGTCAACTAAATCATGACCTATGATGTCCAATTAACGCCATCATTATTTTAATAACAATGTATGCACAATGATTTACCAAGTGCAATGCAAACCACAATTAATGTATTTTGCCACCATTCTCTGCATATTGTATGTGTTGGGAGTTCTTTCGCACGTACGTAGCCAACCGTGCTAATTGATTAAACACAAAAAGCAGTTCTAAAGAAATTAGTTTTCAATCTAGAAAATTAAGGCCAGAATAATGAATTGATAAGCTGCAACCACATTGATTAAGTCATTCAGCTAGTTTCAAAGTTAATTTTGTTGAACCAGGATAGAACTCAAGAGACAAAGGTAGTCTCAGTTGCAAGAATGACACTGGGTCATCAAAAAACAAAGTCTAGCATTGAAGCAAATAGAAAATCAAAACAAAAAGTGTATTACACTGAGATATAGGAAATATTGCACGCACAAAAAAAATCTGTTTTAAATAATACATTCCCTGTTGGCTTGGGCAGATTATTGTTTCAACTGATCAGAGTACAATTCCAAAAATTAAGTTACAGAAACATTAAAGAGGTATAGGGTGACTATTATACTAACATGTTAACAGACAAGTATAAATGTAAACTGCAAGTTATCGTAAATATTCAAGATATTAGCATCAAATTGTAATCTAGATGGGACAGTAACCAATGACATATTTGAATCAACGGAATTCAAGGTGTTTTTAACAGAGAATGAGTGATAATCATGACTTTTTTCTCCTTGGAGTGTTTAAGATTGAGGATTTTGGACCTGTATAAACACTTTGGAAAAGGAACGAGTTAAGTGTGTATACATTAAAGATTAACTTGGCCCAGTGAATCTCCCTCTCAGTTGATCCAAAGTGGTTTTCGAGGTTGATTTGTATATGATGTCAACAGTCTCGGAGAGGCAGACGTAGCAGCTGTCGTATGTTTCCACGTAGAAGAGGAATAACAAGATTCGTTTCTCTTCAAATGTTTGATGAGGTATGAAGTTGACATAAGAATTGAGCCAGATGTAAAGGTACTTGTGTATGAGGAAACATTTAAAATTGTTGCACTGCAGAGAGTGGGTTATGGACAAGGTTCAATCAACCCAAGTTGCAGTACAGAAATAAAAAAAAGGTTGTCTCGTGTAACACATCAACTGGGCTGTCCATGGATGAACCTAACAAAAGAATAGCGTATTTCACATATAGCATGTAAACCTTAGTCACTAAATGCAAATATGCACGATAAAGCATAAAAAAATACAAACAGGTGATCAGATGGCTGAGCTGGCATCAGATAACTTGGTGTCAAATTCAGGCAAGACATTGTGATTTAACACCAGGCTTTCAAGTACAGTGAGTTATGTTCTTAGCCTGGTAACCAATGACGACACCAAAAAAAACAAACCTATCACATTACATTTGGTTCTGCAATTAAATCTGCAAATTTCCAGCTCTGAAATGAATACAAATAAGTTTAACTGTAAAAAAAGGATGCTTGATGGAATCTTAGAAGTGGTTCTGGTATCCACTTCCACGAGTATAACGTAAAGGTCTGCACCACCCCACGAGAGTTCCGCATCGGTACTGTCTCTAGACATGATATCGATAGGGGTAATGAGGATAAATAAGTGGGGCAAGATTTGAAAAAAAACTAATATTATTCAATACAGATTCCACTGCAAGTTAAATCATGTAGAATTTTTAATTTACATTGGGATCCACGTGTAGCTTGCGTGGAAATTACATTTACTTAATTATCTTAATTAACCGCAGCTTGCCAAACACCAGCCATTGCAGCCCAATATTAACCTAATTTTTTTCCTTTACAATCTCCCAATTGTATATGCAGATTTATCCATTACACATCACAGCAGCTGATGACTGGTAAAAAGGCAAAACTGGACAGTGATGAGTTATAAGGACTGAAATTTGGAAAGCCATACTTTACATCACATTGCAACTCAATGTTCCGTTGGCATACAGGTGTATGTGGATCGTTACATCTGAGGTGGACCATTATGCAAAGCCTGGATGCAAATCCACTGCCAAATGAGGGACTATCTATGCCGTGTGGATTCTGGGGGTTATATGACCACACTTCATGCTGATCAATGCAGGTCGAAGGCAGGGTGAAAATAAATTGGAGCATTTTAGTTCAAAATGGTTTTGCTGCACCGCCCTGTGCTGCCCAACACATAACACTGCAGCCCTATGCCAACCTATTTGTGCACAGTGATTACCAAGCACTATCCAGGCTCCAAACCTGCTTAGGTTCCAAGATGCGATTAGATTGGGCACATTCAAGGTATTTAGTCGTAAGCAAGCACCACCTTGTTTCAGTGCACCTTTAATGCCACGATGGACACGAGAGGACCCATGGGCCTGGGCTTACCCGCCAGCATGACTGACTGCGAGGCGCCTTGGCGTTGCTGTAGCCACCATCCAAAGTGACGGATATGAAGTCTCGCCGCTGTGGGTTGTACATGGCTGTGGTGCTCTGCTCTGCGAGTGCGCTGCTACGGGAGCCCGGCACTCATCTCCGCTGCGGGGATTTCTTCTTTCACCATCGGTCGCTGTTCACACCGGCGGATTCCCATTCACCCTAAAGCGGGGGGGAGAAAGGCAACGTTGCAGTGGTGAATCCAGTCCAGATGTTCCCATGTGTTTTTGCCCATTTGACATGCACATGGATAAGATATGTTTAGGTCTACCTTGAAAATAAAGACATAGAAAGACTCAATGGGCTTCCACACGCATTAAGTAATGATTCTGGCCTGAATTTTGACTTTTCATGAGCTGTAGTAGCTGCCTTCGCTGGAGCGATCGTTTGTGGCCAGGTCGCTTCTGAAAAAGAATACCTCAGTGGGCTTTGCCTGGTAGGAAGGGGGTGGTCTAATTTCATTTGTATGTGTTTGGGTGATTTTTTTTTAACCTTTCTTGTACTTTGCACGACTATTATGTTTTTTCTACTGTTTGTTGTTGTAGAGTTCTTACCCGCCCCTACTGGACATCTGCGAAAAAGAGATTCTAGATTTTAAGCTTTCGTGACTGCAAGGATTCATATTCTTAGGTTTTTTTCGGTAAAGTCACGTAGGTAAAAAATTTTAAATTTAAATTAATTAAAGTAAAATAAAAATAAAATAAAAATCACGACGTTTCGGAGGCAACACAAGCTTCCGTCTTCAGGTGGGACCGTCACAGCACGATAGCTGTATCAAGTAAGATAAATTCCAAGAACACAGTCCTTGTATATATACTGGTTGAGGGTGGGAAGAGCCAAGGTAGGCCCTGGATATTATTATTGTGAGGTTCGGTGCAGCTGAAGCACGCTGTTAGGAATGAGCCTTTGTTGTGTAGACTGGTTGAACTCGGAGGTTCCAAGAGTTGTTAAGGTGCGGCTGATGTAAAGGTGCGTGTAAATGGGACTGGAAAAAACTAAGAATATGAAAAAGAGATTCACAGCTCATCGGATTCCTCCCCTATAAATATTCTGATTCTGATAACATCTCTACTTCCAAAGTGCTCTCAGTGCGTGCCTCTGTACCAACAGAAGCTTGTGCAATGGAAAAAGCGACATTACAAAAATGTATACGACAGAGCAGGTGTGTGTGGCATGAATAGGTATCCAATGCCATGTGCCACGTAGTACAGATAACACGACGCCCAGTTAAAACAAATTTGACAGCTACACCGTAGTTTCATTGTATGCAGCACTAATGACTCGTCGTGTTATTATTCGTGCTATCTGTCCACCGACAGGTCCTCTGGCTCAAGTTCCTATCATTCGATATGATTTCATGTCATCTTTTAGACTCGGAAAATCACAGTTCACTATATACCAATCGCTAGGTACAGTTAGTTAAGCTCGCTTTCCCTTGCTTTATTTTACACTGGTGATCCCACAACTGCATACATGGATTAACAAGTAAAAATAACACAATATAGTGCAAATAACAGCTTTGTCCAAATTCATTGAATCAAAAGCCACACGAAGACAACCCCCCCCCCCCCTAGAAAACAATCTTATCTAATGCTGCAGTATAACGCGTTATTGATTAGGAAATACAATCATCTTCATGCCACGATCAGGAGCTACATCATCGTGCAGTCGTGCCGTCATTTCTTTGATTCACAACCCGTCCGTGACTTATAATGTCTATTTTCTTATCCTCTTCGATCTCCTGTGGAACATGGGGGGCACAGATCGATAAGTTCACGCAATAACCAATAAGCATGCCCCCCCCCCCCGCTTGAATTCGATTCCCAAGTCCAGGTTTAAACATCGAATGACATCTGAACTGATAAGCATGGTAAAGTATGAACGGCTGATGAGTTACCATCATTACCACCAGTACAACCTTATCACAAGCATGCCGAGAAATTAGACATGTTACACCGCGTTTATCATCATCGACACGATCCCATTAAATTACCGTGATCCGGCATCTCCAACTACATTACACGATCGTCATTATCACGATATCACATCACCAATAGCCGAGACAATCGATACCATAGTATCCCTACATGAGATAACTAAAGGCGATACATTACCCATCACCGCATATCGTTATCACTGCAGGTCGCTTCTGATTTGGTGGTCACTTTAAACCCAAACACACCAACAAACGCCCGCACACTCACCCGATGGCAAATGCAGCAGCAGCAACAACAACAACAAGAAACGACTGACAGCCCAATTAACTACTAATTGATCCGCCCTATCTCACCGATCGGTGATTTAATTGATTGCGCCGCGTCGTGGCGGCGATCCGAGCTGATCGCGCTGAGCGGCGGTGGTTTGGCAGCGCGCACGCCGCAGGGAGACGTCCGCCCCGGGTCACTCCGGGTGACTTGAAGCCACGAGAGGGAGCGGCCATCTTACGTAGGGAACTCAGCCACGCCCATCAAACCCCCCACCAACCTCCCCATATCCCCACCCACCAACCCCCCCTCATCACCCCCCCCCCACACCCCAACCAACCCCCCCTTCCACCAACTCCCCCCACATCCACACTCACCAACCCCCCCCACCAACCCCCCCACACCCCCCACATCCCCACCCACCAACTCCCCCCACCAACCCCCCCACCAAACCCCCACACCACCAACCCCACCGACACTCACCAACCCTCCCCCACATCCCCACCCAGCCACCCCCCAACTCTAACCCCCACTCACCCCACCCAGTCCCCCCCACATCCCCCCCCACCAACCCCCCCCCACGTCCCCACCCACCAACCCTCCCCCATTCTAACCCCCACCCACCCACCCCACCCAGCCACCCCCCCAACTCTACCCCACCCACCCACCCCACCCAGCCCCCCCCCAACTCTACCCCACCCACCCCAACCCAGCCACCCCCCCCACATCCCTCCACCACTCACCAACACTCACCCCCACCCCCCCCAACTCTACCCCCACCCCACTCAGCCACCCCCCCCAACTCTACCCCCACCCACCCACCAAGTCACCCCCCCCCCAACTCTACCCCCACACCCCAACCCAGCACCCCCCCCCCACATCCCCATCCACCAACCACCAACACTCACCCCCACCCCCAACTCTACCCCACCCCACTCAGCCACCCCCCCCCAACTCTACCCCCACCCACCCACCAAGTCACCCCCCCCCAACTCTACCCCCACCACCCCACCCACCCCCCCCCCCCAACTCTACCCCCACCCACCCCACCAGCCACCCCCCCCAACTCAACCCCCCCACCAAGCCCCCCCCCCCAACTCTATCCACCCACCCCCACCAAGCCCCCCCCCCAACTCTACCCCCACCCACCCCAACCCAGCCACCCCCACCCACCTCCAACCCCCCCACCAAGCCCCCCCCCCCCCAACTCTACCCCCACCCACCCCATCAAGCCCCCCCCCAACTCTACCCCCACCCACCCCAACCCAGCCACCCCCACCCACCTCCAACCCCCCCACCAAGCCCCCCCCCCCAACTCTACCCCCACCCACCCTCAACCCCACCCAGCCCCCCCCACTCTACCCCCACCCCCCCCCCCACCTTTTCGCCAACTCAACGGGAAGTCGGGAACCTGCAGTGACGACGTCATCGCCCCGCCCCCTCACGAGACGCGCTGATCCCCCCGTGTGACCCTCACGCAAGATGGCCGCCGAATGCCCCTACCGGCTCGTGACGTCACGCGCGACGTCACGCGCCGTCGAGGCGTTGCCGACTTCTCGTGCGAGCGTCGCTCCGGCGTCTTCGTTATCGCTTCCCTGGTGGTGGTTGTTGTTGTTGTTGGTTGTTGTTGTTTGTTGTTTGTTTCTACCGCTTCCGGAAGACACTATACTCGAACGCGTCTTCGAGAAGGAGGCCCATCACCCGAAACGTTTACGATTCTAGATTTGAAGCTTTCGTGACTGCAATGATTCATACTCTGAGGTTTTTTTCGGTAAAGTCACGTAGGTGAAAAATAAAAATAAAATAATAGAAATAATAATAGTATTTCTATAATTTTTATTATTATTATTATAAAAATAATAGAAATAATAATAGTATTATTTATATTATTTTTATTACGATTGCCACTCGAACGCGCATCATCTTTAAGAGGTCCGTCACCCGAAACGTCGTCTATATATAATACAACGAAAACCCTTGCAGTGTATTGCTGACTAACGTGTTGAGGTTTTTATAAAGCAGAAGCGGACGTTGTATTCGGGCTCGACGGCAGGGAGCTTCTGCATGTGGCATGGACCCAAGTAAATTGTTGAGGGCTACTGTGTGCTTGCTTACACAGTTCTGTTCCTAAAATATTGACGACACGTGGTAAGTTCGCACAGAATTACTTGTTAAAGAGTGCTAAGTGGGGTTATGAGCAGGACCCATCCACCTCAAGTGCTTTCCACCTGAACAACCGTGCATCAGATGCCACCCTTGACCTATCATGTGGCACTGTGACCCCCCCCCCACTTCCAAAACACATCATTTGGTTGATGGCTACAATTCTGACCTTCAAGACCCCACGTCAAACAGAGAATGGCTGTGAAAAAAAAACCCGAACCGAGAATCGCCCTGCTACAGGAACTTGCAGGAAGCACCTGGAGAGGCCCACGGCTGATTGTGTTGCGAACTGCTGCCCCTTCACTACTGAGTGGTAAAAAAAATATTTAAAAATACTAAAAACCACGTTTTAGTGAAATGTACTTTCCGAGCTGCCCCTCTCCCTGCCTCCTCCCCCCATCGCCCCTCCCCCTCCTTCCACATGCCCCGCCCCTGGGCGTGGCTCCCCGTGGCTTGCCGTGACGTCAGGGACCACGTGGTGATTTACAGGCAACGTGAGTTGAGCGTGGACAATTAGAGCCGTAAAAAAGATTGTTTGAAAAGATATTTTTTTTATTTTAATGATAGAATGTTGTATTGTCATCAGTATGACATAGCTATACGAAGTTTGCAGTCGATACGACATTGGGAATACGGTTGAAATTGAGTTACAAGATTTTAGCATATGACAACACAGTAAAAGCTGTCTCGGGTGTGGACCAATCAACTTCAAGGACAGTGCATATCATTATCATCATCAGAGTTTCTTTTTGTTTGCATTTTGACTGCTTGTGTTGTGGTTATTGCAAACATGATGCCTTGTATAAAGGTGTCAGTTTTTGTACCAGTTGAAAGGGTAAAAAACTAATTACGACAACACAGTAAGTTAAATAAAAGCGTATAAAAAGTTTAAAAAGATATGTTTTAGATTTTTTTATGATAGAATATCGTGTTGTCATGAGTATGACATACCTATACCAAGTTTGCAGTCGATGGCACATTGGGAAGTGTGTACAAATTTAGTTACAATATTTATTTTTGAAGATACAAGTGAGTTAAATAAAATCGTGTAATAACGAGAATGGTGCTACAACCTGATCCGGAAGCTGCTCCATTAAATTGCGAGATGCACAACAGAACAACGCAATGCGACATCGTAAACACCGAAACCAACACCAATCCCCTGGCTTCACGACCCTGCTTTACGAGACAACTTATCCACCAACCAAGACGTCGACGGTGGACACTTCAACTCAAATCGCGATTTCACCATCCTAGAATCTCAAACTCAGATCCGGAAGATCGCTGGCGAACGGAGTGGAACAACGCGGACATAAACGCCTCGGTCGAGACCCAAAACATCACACCTCTTGGCTTTGGGGTCGTCCATAAATGACGTCACGCGATTTTGGACGACTTTTAACCCCCCCCCCCCTCTCGTCACACGGCGTCACAAAAAGTCAGACCCCCCCCCTCAAATATGACTTCACAAAGCTCTGCCCCCCCCCCCAAATAAAGCATGCTTCAAATCGCTTGAAACTATTGTCATTGTAGTGCGTATTTAATGATGTTGTAGGAGAAAATATTTATTAAAAAGTATATTTAATTAAGTAGAACGTGTTGTCTATATTTATTTAAAGTTTTGCATTTTGATGTGACTTCACGTTTCTCAAACCCCCCCCCCTCCCTCGTCACACATCGTCACAAATGTCTGACCCCCCCCCCCTAAGTGCGTGACGTCATTTATGGACGGCCCCTTTGACGTTACTCCTCTTCGAAGACACTGGTGGTGTAAACATCTTACCGCGTCAGGACATCAACAGGCTGATGTTACAAATCACCTTCATAGGTGCAACATTTAAAGACACTCAACAGTCGTGTGATTATGGCCATACAGCCACAACTACAGATCACATCGTGAACCGGTGGTCTGCGCTCCTATCGAGGACAAGTAAAAGGACACGATCTCCTGAAACCCTCTCGTCGTGGCTATCATATCTCGACATTACCATTTAGCTCTTGGACATATTCGCCATTCGCAGCCAAAGAAAGGAACACGTCCGACAGGCTCCGCTGCCGTGGAGATGGAGCGGTTAAATCGGATCGTGTGCTGTATTTAGATCGGTGATTTACATCGCTAGAGCCGTGAGAGGTGGCGATGGCTTGGGGAGGACTTCAACAGTGGCTAAGGGGCCGTCCATAAATGACGTCACGCACCTGGGGAGGGGGTCAGACATTTGTGATGATGTGTGACAAGGGGGGGGGGGGGGGGTTGAGAAATGTGACGTCACATCAAAATGCGCAACTTTAAATAAATATAGACAACGCGTTCTACTTAATTAAATAGACTTTTTAATAAATGTTTTCTCCTACAACATCAGAGTGCAGCGCCACATTGAATACGCACTACAATGACAATAGTTTAAAGCGATTTGAAGAATGCAAATATGGTTTTGGGGGGGGGGGGCAGAGCTTTGTGACGTCATATTTGAGGTGGGGGGGGGACTGATTTTTTGTGACGCCGTGTGACGAAGGGGGGGGGGGCTCAAAAATCGTCCAAAATCGCGTGACGTCATTTATGGACGACCCCTAATGATTGAACTTCCTCTACAGTATTGAGATGACACGTGTTTTTTCCCCCATGAGGATAGTTTCATGTTTAAAAAAAAACTTGAGCGCGATGCACTCTTAAACACTACTCCCCAAGTTCGATTGCCAACCATAATCTTTATGTAACCATCTAAAAGTCCATTATTATTCCGCCGTGACGTGTTCTCTAACCATCTCAGAACAAAGACTAATTTCCCTCCAAATTGCGTCGAGTGTTATGAAACATTTGAGATCCCAAAGTTCGATTGGCAACCATAATCTTTATGTAACCATCTGATAGCCCATTATCATTCCACCGTGATGTTCTCTAACCATCTCAGAACAAAGACTATTTTTACTGCAAATTGCGTCCAGTGTTATGAAACATGTGCGAATCAATTGAAATGATCTCTTATGACATGTCCTTTGTTTAACCATGTTAGAACCCATTGAGATGTATGTATCGTGACGCATGGGTTTTATTATTATGAGAAACATTATCTGTGGACATTT